ACATAAAAGGTTAGCTGGTTTCACTGGGTAAAATCATTCTTTCAGAACTGGTTTTATGAAGAATGTTTAAGGTATTTATGTGTATTTTCTAATAAAATTCCTTATTCCTCTTACTAGGCGTATGTTATCGACTTCTGTAGATTGCGCGATGAGGTTTATATTTTCCTTGTTACATAAGATTAATAATCTTGAAAATGTTATTAAGAGACTATCGCTGTTTTAAGGCTGCAAAGAATTAAGCAACAGTTAAATGAATAAACTTTTAAAAAACTTGGGATTTGAGAACATGAGTTCAATTCTCAAATAAATTGTTGTACTTTTAGGAAGTGAGTATGGTGATCTTACCGGCACGTTGAAAACTATCCATAAAATGGACAATGGTTTCAGTATGTTTGAGTCCTTATTCAGAATTGACATATATTCATTATTTTATGTTCAGATTTTGGCATCGTGGTATTTTCGGCTCTCACAAGCTCTCACAAAATTAATCAACTAACTTACAGCTTTCTGAAAAAGTATGAACTTACTGAATCCGACATATTTGGTATACTTTAAAAATATTTTCCTGTAAATTCACAGTGATATAGTAGAAACTGTATTTTCTTAAAATTTTTGTGAATGGGGTTACCTAAACCCTGTTTAAAATAAATGTTATTTACCAAAAATATATTTAAAATGAGGTCTAACCTTTATTTAAATATATTTTCCCCACTTTGATTTGTAGGCGGTTTAAACTCAACGATTTCCCGGCTTAATTGACGGCGACAGGCGGCGCAGGCAGCAAATTGAGACGGAATAGCAAAGACAGAAACAACAACAACGAAGTACGTTAAATTAAGTTAGCGTCTGCAGGCAACAAATCTCGGTTTGTGTGTCTGTCCATATACTCATTGCGCATAAATCAAAATCAACTTGTAAATTTAATATGTCGCTGTGTTTTTCTTGTTTCCACTCCTTTTTTCTCGTTTTTTGTGGCGCTTGCCAGAGATTCGCCGATGATTTATGCTGATGTATTTTGAGCGCCAACGAATTGGCGAGAATATGGAAAAATAGTGGGGATTACAGAAAAATAATCAATTGAATATGCAGAAAAACCGAAAAACAAGTTGTGCCCGACAGAAAAGTTAAAAATCAAGTTTTTAGAGAACACTTGCATTTTCTGGGTGCTTATAAGCGATGTCAAATTTAATAATAGAAACCTATATAATAACTTGTAATAAAGGAACTTAAAACTCACTACTTAATTTTCTCTTAAATATTTATATTTATATCCAACAAAAAAATGGTAATACACACCAATTTATATTAGTTGTTGTCACGAATCACTTAAACTTTTAGAATGTTTTAAGCGAATGAAGCTAATACTTTATTGCTTTAAAAAGATGATAAAATATATAACCTTTCATATACTCATGAAGTAAACTTTGATTAATTTCCTTGTGAAAAGAGCTAATTGATAGGCAAAACGAGAAAATCCCTGACACAAAAAAACATACAAATTTAATTGTCACACATTAAAATTAGTTGGAAATACCCCACTCCATTTCCCCCATTTTCCAAATGTAATTCTCAACCTGTAAACGAGGCAATGGACACTGAGTAATGAGAATTTCAGGCCCTGGCGACAGTTTGACACTTTCTTGGATGTTTTGATGTGGATCTGGGTCTCGGTCTTGGTCGTGGTCGTGGTATTGTGGTCGAAGGTCTATCAGTTGGGGATCTGTGGAGTGGGCAGTCCAACTTTTCTCAAGGAAAACAAACATTTTCCGCCGACGGATGTAGCTGCATGTGTGGAAACGAAAGCAAAATTAGGTTGGATTTAAAGAGTGGGGAGTTTTTAAGTGGGATAGGGGGTTTTCCCATTTACAGATCCACATCCAGACGAAGTGCAAGTATGATGTATGTGGGTCTGTCTCGGTTTTGAGTGCAGCGAGCAAAATAAATGAGTTTGTCAGCCGGCAGCGACATGATTTGATAATTGGTTTTAAAAGAAATTCGAAAGCTGAAGTTGCAGTTAAAGTTGTGGGGGAAAAAACAGGAAATGGAAGTGGCTTTGGCATTTGAGTTTTTTTTTGACAGTCAACTCTTATTAGCATGATAATAAAAGAAAATATTAAGTTATTTGCGGAAAGGAGCGTTAAGCCAAGTAGTGACACATGAGAGATTAAGAAATGTGACTAATTAATTTGCCTGAAGAGAGAAAAGGTTGATTTTATTTTACAATTTATTTATGTTATCCAATTGCAAATATTCCTATTAGTTTTGGCCCATATAAACGTTGGTTTATGACCTTTCTTGGGCCACAAAACTTTTGGCCATTGACACTTGAGAGTTGGGTTCCTCGAAATTGGCTTAAACAATAAATGACTTGACAGGGTCGCGAAGCTGACTCACTGATGGCGGATCAGAAGTTTGGACTTTTGGGTGGGGCAATCTTGGGCACTCACCCAGATTGCGAGTCATTTTCAATGTTCGTTACGGTTATGTAAGACCCCCAACACCAAAACCCCACCCCCAAATGACGCATACTTGGAAAAAGTGGATATAAAATCAGCATAAATGACGAAATTCCAGATCGGTTTAGTGCCATATTTTAATTACACGCCCTCGCAAATTGAGGCCTTTTCATCTAAATTCTCAATGGTGGTAATTCCGTCTCTTGGGCGCCCATAATGGACTCATTAAGTTGCATTGCGCTGGGGGATGGCTGCTTAAATGCAATCTGGCTGTCTGCGGTTGTTTTGTTCAGTTTTGTATCGCATGTTGCATGTTGCCGGCTGGGTGTTGCATGTTGCTCACTGCTCACTGCTGTTGTCGTTGGGGCGTGCAGTTGCACTTGTCATTGGCCATAAATTAAAGTTCGGGCTCCCTTTTCTGGTGGGAAATATTTGTCGCATGCCAAAAAATTTTACAAGCGACAGCATTTTCAACATGTTGGCTGCAGAAATTGCATTTCATGGCCTGTCTGGGTTATTGGATCCCCATCCAAGATTGAAGTCCTTGCAGCTGTTTTCTGAAGAGGGAGGATGAGTGGGTGGCGCCAGGAAAACAATATCCTTGGCAATGGTCAGTCAAGTTCAAGTCAAGGCTAAGGACAAAAAGGAACAGCTTCGCTGAAGCTTGAAAATGGCAGCAGCTGGGAATTAAGAGAACCAGGAAAAACTAAAGAAATAGGAATGTTCAGGGATGTAAGCCAGTAAGCACTAGAGGACACTTGAATAGGCCTCTCAACGAAATAATTAACAAATATAATAATATATATTAAATAAAAATAATAAAATGTAAAAAGTATTTCAAAGTTATTCTAAATATAAAAGTAAATATTCACACTTAAAACTACTCACTTTCCCAAAATCTCATGTTTTTGCTCTTAATTCTGAGGGCTTTTCACGAGGCGCAAAGAAATTAATTTAGGGGAGCCCGAACTTGTACGGTAAATTGTACGAGTAGGCGGACAACCTTGGGCCAATAAATCCTTCGTAGCTGTCACAAAATTCCTTGGAGTCCTGCGCCTTTTGACAACCTGAGCGGTAGGAGATAAGCACGAAGATATTCACTTTAGCGGAGGAGCAACTCCCTTCGTGGCGTAGACAAATTAGTGCAGTTTAAATTAGCAGGCGACTAATTTGATTACGAGCTGATGAAAAATGTTTTGTCTCGTCAGGGAGATTTTAATAGACGGCAGACAATTTTCAGGAAAACGCCCCTGAAGTTTGCACATAATTAAAACACAATTGGAAATGCAAGCAGACATGGAAAACGCAAAAAAGTAATGTTTATTTTTGTCAAAAAAGAGAGAATATTCCTAATTGCCACTGGAATTTGTCCGCTTTTCCTTTGCCAAATTTTCGCACAAATATTGACAGTCAGATGATAGAGATTTTGATTGCAAAATGCAAAAGTCTCACATCTCAGCCACAGGCCAAGAATGTTGAATAAATATTTGGCCAGCAAACAATAATGACTTGCTCTAAATGGAAAATGAAATGGGAGAGTTTGTTATTGGTTCAGCTTCTGGCTTAATTAAGTGGCAGGGTGAAATATTCCAAAAATGATTTACTATTTCGAGGGCGAAAGTGCATTAAAGCGAGCCAAAGATAAACACGAGGAAACCCTAATGACCATATATTTAACACACGGAACACATAGGTAAGTAATACTCGGCTCATCAATCATTCCGCTGTGTGAAACTTTTAGCGAAAACGCTTAAACGTGACTTCCGACTGGGGAGCAGAATACCGAAAGCAGAAACCCCAAATCGTGTGTTGATGTTACTTCGCCCCTAAGTGAAGTATTTATTACGGCCATGTATTTCTATCTATGCCAGCGCAAGGTGCCAACTCTTGTGGCCACTTCCATTTCGGGACATGCCCCCAAAATCGTCTGCTGAACCTGAACCCGGCATAAATCAATTATTTTGGGATAGCCGCTTAACGGCCGTTTTAGCCGCCGGCCTGCATTCAAAAGGTAAGCCCCTCTATCGTCCCCCATATCTGATGCATTCACATGCTCGCCTGCACTCGTAAATTGCATTGAACCCTTTTAAGCGTTCCGCAAATTCGATTTGACCTTTCGTCTGAACTTTTCGCTTTTTACAGCACCGTTCTGCGGGGTAAACACGTTTGCCACAGCGTAATTGTCCATAATGGGAGCATATTACATCGCTTTTAACCGAATTTCGTAAGTTATCAGCATATTTTAAATAACTAAAACCATATACTTAAAAATGAAATTGAATAAATTCACATATGAAATTGGCCAAAAATGTTTAAACAATAAATCCTAAATTTGGAATTAATTAACATAAAACCAGCAATAGCATTTACTTATTATCTCTAAGTTTTATTGTTTAAAAAATGCAATCTTGTGTTTTGTTGTTAAAAAGGTAGAAAAGCGCCACCTATCGGGAAGAGTGCTGCCCATCATGAGAAAGCTACTGGCGCCTTTTTCAAAATGGTAAGACCACCAAAATATCCAATAGAATATTACCACTACAGAAATACTTGTTTAACAATCTTTTATTTCTTGGAATAACTTGCAATATCTTAGAACGGATACATTTAATACAAATGATTGCAGGAAAAGAGTTTTATCACTTTGGATTGCAAATAATCCAGTTTCACAAAACTACCCTAAAAATCTCGAACCTTTTATTCCTATTTTCCCTCATTAGTCTTATTTCAGTGATTGACTTTACAAGTGGCCTGGTGGCGTTTCTTATCGCGTCGCTGGCACTCCACGCTGCAGTAGGACGCAGAGAAACAGCAGTCGAAGGCGGCTTCCTCCAGGCAGAAATAGCACCACTGTTTCCTCTTAACCTCGTCCAGCTTTCTTTGCATGGCAGCCAGCTCGCTCTGGCACTTGAGCAGATTCTCGTGCGCCTGCAGTATCTCGGCGGTTAGATTTTCATAGGTAACGGAGTCGGGAATGCCATGATTGGGCACCGGAGATGGGGTATCAGCAGCGGTGACATTGAGTAGCCTTCGCTTCTTTGCAGCGCCGGGAGTGGCCGGCGTCGGAGGTCTTCCTCGCTTGCCAGTCGTCGAAGTTTCCGTGGATTTCGTGCAATGGGAAAGGGCCACTTGTATGAGATTCTCGGCAGCGATGGGATCAGCATGGAACCCAAACAGCGAGGCGGAATAGTGGGACAACATCATGTGGCACTGCAGTTCCCTCAAGGCGGCACTGAGGGCCTTAGAATTGCGTGGTTTTATATGCGACTGAATGTCCGACTCTATGGGCGTGATATCACGTTCAGAGATGAGTGCCCGGGAATGTGAGCCGCCGAAGAAGCGGACATCGTACTTGATGGGCTGCCTTTTCGACACGCTCATAACCTGGTGAGGAGAAAAAACGATATAGTATATAGTATATAGTATATATAGGAATACCTACCTTGGCAGGCCAGGGTGGCGAGCCCGTTTGCTTGGCGAAAACCAACTCGTGCCGCTGGAGACAGGGCTTGGCGAACCACAGTTCGGACAGACTAGCCTCGTTCGAGTACCTATAGCAGTCCGGGCAGCGGCGGATTTCCCGGATATCATGGGTCACATCTCTCAGCAGCCACTTAGTCGCGTTGTACTCAACGCTCTTGGGCCCAAAGAACACGGCAATGTTGTGCTGCAAATCAAGCAGATCCATCAGAAACTCCGCCAAGTACGTATACTTCTCCGCCTCGATGTTCTGCTCGATGTCGGACAGCCCCAAGATCTTGGTCTTGAAGAGGATGCGCTTGATCAGCGTCGTGTCGCGTTCGTTCCAGTGCTTGGCCAGGTACTTGGTCACGTCCATGGAGATCCAGGAGTAGTGCTTATCCCAGGAGTATCTCAGCAGGCAGCCCAGTTCCTGCTTTTCCAGCTGCGGTGGATTGAGGAGAGCCGCCAGGGCGAGCAGACGGCAGCGGGTGCAGCGCTCGAGATCGCTGCCCTCATCGCTGTCCAGGCTGGGCTGCAGTTCGTCCTTGATCCTGGCCTGCTTTCGCTGGCGGGCGCCCTTTTGCTCGCTCACAAAGAAGACATCGTCGTCCCACTCGGGACTCTCGTGCTTGAAGAATCCCGGAGTGGCCATTGCATCCTGATTGATGTTGCTATTGTGATCGAGCAAGGGTTTTGGTGTGGGTGTCTGGGGAGCCTCCAGGTTCTGAGTGCTGCTCCTCGGCTGCTTGTCCGATTCGCTGACCGGAAAACGGTAGGGCTGACCCTTGTCCGAGGGCACCGAGTAGTTGGGCTGCTCGGGATCCTTTCGCTGGCAGGCCTCGTGAAAGCAGCGTTCGCAGGATGCGCACTTCCTCACCACTCCGGGCAAATGGCACTCGAAGCAGTAGGAATCTCCAGCGGAACTGGGCGGAACTTTCTGGCAGAAGGAGAGGGTCAGCCGCTTGGCCCTCGAGCCAACTGCTCTGGGCACCAGGATGCCCCGCTCCGTGGCATTTTTCACCGACAAACTGGCTGCCTCTGCGGAATTATGGGAGTTGTTATGGATTGGATGGAATTGGGTGTAGGTACTACAATTGTTAGCTTACCACCGCTCATGAAATTCAGCAGGGAGCGCTCCAGGACCGCCGCCGGCTGGCCAGCGCCCTTCTTCAGCTTGTGCATCCAAATCCGGATGGCCAAGGGCGGAAAATCGCTGGCCATTTCATCTGCGTTGTTAAGTTTTTTCCTGAATGGAATGGAATCAATCCATGGCCAGGGGTATTTTTGTAAAAAGGTTTGGTCGCACTACGATTTTTTTTTTTTCGGGTACACCCTGTAGTAGGCGCCAAAGATGAATTTAAATTTGAATACAAGACAAATGATGGCACACCCTGTGTACCAGTTTTGTCCTCGTTTTCTGGCGCAAAAATTAAATTAAAATTGGATTAAAAGACAAATAATACACAGGAAAGAACTAATTTGTTTAATTACATTTATTATAAATAATAATTATGGTTCGTCATCATCGTCATCTAAAAGGGCAATTTTGCCCTATTAATAATAAAGGAAAAGGATTTCCAATTTGACAAAGCTGAAGGTTTTGCATTATTCTATAGATAAAAGTATTTTGAAAAAGTTCCATAGAGCCCTTTTTTTCCCCCGAAATTCGATTTGCAAAGTTTTTTATTGCTAGCTTTTAAACTTCTCAAAATTGCTTAAAAAACAGTTTAGTTTACGAAATATGCCATATGGATTATGAAATTTCTAAGATATCGCAGTTAGAAGGACTTTCTTTTATTTATTTTTAAGAAAATTGGCAGTCACACTAGCCAATTTGTGCAAATCAGTGGCGGTGGACACCGCGTTTGCCTTCTAGGCCTAGTAATTAGTTTGATTACTCCCCATTCGGAGAAAAATTCAAGGAAACCAGCAATTACCTTCCAGTTGCTATTTGGTTTCAGGGGCTTAGACCCCACACACTTTCTCCCTATATAATATTTGTTTACAACAATTATGGACTTTCAAGGTTGACACATCGCTCAAACAAATATAGGCTTTCCCCAGAATTCACCTGGAATCCGATGTGTTGACGGCTCTAATCGGAGGCCATAAAACAATTAGACCGGGATAATCATCACCAACTCTTGCCCGGCACAATTCTGTGAAAAAGTGCACAAAACAAGAGATTACACTTGAATCATAGGCTTTAAAAGGGCTTTTAACTGCAGCACATCTACTCTGAGAAGGTGAGATAACTCCGTACTCACTATACTACTAGATAACTCCGAATTCACTATATTAGTACTATAGGCCAGGAGCCGATTGCGATAATGGTTCAATTGTTTATAGCCCACTCGCCATGTAAAAGTAAATCAAAGCCAAGGCATAATATAATTTGCATTGGATCGGTCGCGACAAGTGCCGAGATCTCTGGTAGAGGTTTATGGTTTTATGATTATTGCCGCGATAATGGCGGACGATCTGCGTAGCCTCGCGCACTTAAGAACTGGAGGCGGAGGCCCCTGTAATCAGGGAAATGGGTTCTTGTGATATCAGTATAAAAGCGAAAGGTACACCAATCGCTCCGCAGTCATCTATTGTTTTCGCGCCCAGGCACACCGGCCGATTTTTAGTCCGACGTGAAATAATAAATATATATCAGTGTGATACCAGGCATGGGTTTCGACACTTCAGAGGATAAGGCGAGGCGTAAGTAACCAATCCGAGAGAAATTCGATTTTCTTCAGGCGTCTTTTCAAGTGGAATTAGCGAAAGCGTGTGAAATGCAATCGATACTGAGTGCCTCCTACAAATTGTTGTTCAGAAATTTTGAGATATGCACTCATAAAATATAATTTTCTGAGTGAAATTTCTGATATTATCCCAAATTTCAAATGTTGAGTGATGGTATCATACCAAAAAGAATAATCACCGTGTTCAGTTCAGAGCCTATTCATTTCCTAACGATCCTAAGATACTATAGGAGTCAGTTACGATTTCTTTAAGCAACATGATCCATAATAGGTTTAATCTAAAGAGAATTATTTAAAATCTATTTGTTTTAAATGGGCTAACAAGTTCAGTCGCCAAAGAAAGGAAATCTTCAGTTACTAAAGCTACACTGCTTACAGAACCGAAAGATTTATGAGTGCTTCCGTGTGCCTCCGATCGCTGTAACAGATCTATACGGAGTCTTATACAGAACCAATGGCTAATTATGGGTTATTGATAGGAAAGAGCTTACGTATGGTTCGACACCAAAACAAGAAAATACAGTACATATATTTCTGATAATCTTCATGACATAACCGACGTCGCTTTAAGAGCTTTTGGTCTTATACGATCGCTCTCTTTCTCCACTATAACTGCACTTTACGACTCACCAGACCTACCCTAAGAGACTGTTGCAATGCAGACGTCTGGTTATATTTGCAAACCATATCTTAATCGTATATCAGACACCTGCCGAGGCTTGGGACTTTATGAGGATCAACAAGAGATAAATACGCTTGACACAAAGAAAATATTTATTATCTTTTGTGAAGGCTGTACATCTGCAAGGCAACGATTTTCGGGGGACTTAATCTCGCGATCCATCGAGTTCATAAGGAGGCAATTAAAGTATACGACTCCATTCACACATTCTGCACCCCACCGAAATCTACACCACTGTCGCCATCGAGAACTTTTCCATTGAGAGTGAAGCGGCTTTTGTTTTCCTCATTGGCAGGCGTTAATGATAATGACAATATTATTATAATAAAACTGAAAGAGCTCCGACGGAGCCGTTAATTAATGGAATCGTCACTATCAGAGCATTGTTAAACGGCAATAAAATGTAAATTGAGCAAAAAAAGGTCCTAGAAATAATCAGGCGACTGACAAACAATTCGCACCGTGCATTTATAATGAGGCAATCAATAAATCGGATGGCCAGACGCCCGTTAAATCCGTAACTAATCAAACATGGTTTATTATTCCAATGGAGAAAGAAGGCCCCTGCTAGTTCGCGTGGTTGCAAATCCGCTCAGGAAATTAACCTGTAAAAAAGAGTTCATTTTGTACTATTATAATTACTTAATATAAATTATCTCATTTTTTTAGCCAGAGGTTTTGGAGCACGTCACTGGCAGGCCATCCTCCTGTTCGTTGGCATGATGATCAACTACTTCCAGCGTGTCAACATCTCGGCTGGCATTGTTCCCATGACCCAATCCACTGCAGGAGCTCCTTTCTACAATTGGGATACTTCGGATAAGTCCCTGATCCTCAGCAGCTTCTTCTGGGGCTATGTGGTCTCCCAGGTGCCAGCAGGTGAGTTGTACAATCCGTCGAAATCCACAATTTGTAAATCCCATATTTTGTAGGCCTCCTCGCCAAGCGATTTGGCGCCAAATTGGTCCTGGGTGCGGCCACGGCCATCGGTGGCATCCTGTGCTTCTTCCATCCTCTGGCAGCCGAAAGTGGCTGGCAGAGCATCTGCGTCCTGCGCGTCCTCACCGGACTGGTTCAGGGAACGGTCTATCCGTGTGTTCACACCCTGCTGGCCAAGTGGGTGCCGCGCACGGAGCGGGGACTGCTCACAACGGGCGTCTATTCGGGGGCACAGTTCGGAACGGCTGTTATCCTGGTCACAAGTGGGTTTATCTTCGAGTCCAGCATGGGCTGGCCGGGATTGTTCTACCTGTCCGGCGGCCTGAGCCTGGCCTGGGCACTGCTCTTCTTCTGGCAGGCGGCCAATGAACCGGCCACCGCCAGCAGGATCAGCAAAAGCGAAGTGGAGTACATCGAGAGCCTTACGGGCAGCAATAGCGCAAGTCAGGTAGGTCTGAAATTGATGGTTTCATTGAAACTTGGGTAATCCTTACGGTTCCACCTCTCCTTTTAGTCCATGCCCGTGCCCTGGATGTCGATCTTCAAGTCGCCAGCCTTCTACGGCCTGCTGGCCGCCCATTGTGGCTTCACCTGGGGCTTCTACACGCTGCTCACCGAAATGCCCACCTACATGAGCCGCGTTCTGCAGCTGAACGTCAAGTCCAATGCCTTCCTCTCCTCGCTGCCATACTTCGCCATGGGTTTGCTCTGCTTTGTGGTCAGTCCCATATCCGATTTACTCATCAATCGCGGCAGCATAACCATCACCACGGCCCGGAAGCTCTTCAACTCGATAGGACAGTGGGGACCGATGGCCTGTTTGATTGCACTGGGTTACATGACCGCGGACGAGAAGACCTGGGCCATTCTTCTGCTGACACTGGCGGTGGGCATCAATGCGGGCTGCTCCTGCGGCTACCTGATCAATCACATCGATCTGTCGCCCAACTTTGCCGGTCCCATGATGGGAGTGACCAATGGAATTGCGGGCGTGACCTCCATAGTGGCTCCTTTGGTAGTGGGAGCGATCATATCGGATGAGGAGGATCCCAGCCAGTGGCGCATGGTGTTCTTCATAACGGGCGGAATTTACCTGGTGTGCAACACCTTGTTTGTGATATTCGGCAAGGCCACCATTCAGCCGTGGAACGAGCCGCCCTCCATGTCCAGCACGATGACGCTGAGGAACCATGTGGAGAACGATCCAAAGTCCATTGCTCCCACGTCGGACAAGGACAATCGGTGCTGAAAGCACTTGACCTGCGCCTGGAGCCCATCGACAATCTCGTTAATTGTAGAGTAATTATAAATTATTGTTATTATTTTAGCTTGGATATGCCTAGTTTATGTTTACGCCTATGCTAAGGGAAGCTTAATATGACTTAGTTGTGTGATAAGTCCAAATGGCACGTTTCTAGGGTGATTAAGTCGCTTTGAGTATGTCAATAAGAGAGTTAGCGTTGCTAATAAATATTTACAGCCCTGTGTAATCGCCGGAATGTGTCTGTCGTCTGATTAGCCATTGTTGACTTGGAATCGCACCGACTTGGTCGCCTGTTACTTGACCTTTTGCTGCAGCAGTCGCTGCTCGTTGAGGCGCTGGTTGATGCGTCGCGTGTTGGCCATCGAGCGGATGATGGTCCAGAGGGCCAGGGACCAGCCGAGCAGGATGGTGGCGCACATCACTGGGCCATAGGCGTTTGCCTGGCCCACCGGAATCTCGGCGCGCAGGGGCGTCTTCAGCTGGCAATCCACGTGCACTCGTCTCCAGCTGCAGCGCTCCAGATTCGCCATGGTCGTCGGCTGGCCATCCTTGACGAGGTGCTCGTCGAAACGGCTTTCCGCCGCATTCAGGCAGTACAGCTTATCGGGACGGGCAACCAACTCGTTCTCGACGAGCGCACTATCAGCCGTCGGGCAGTTGAGATAGAGCTCCGGCAGGGGTATGGCCACCGTGGCCGCCGATCTAAAGGAAGGGGATTACTTGACAAATGCAATTCAACATTCAAGATCAGCGCACCGCTTATCGCTGGGGGCATGGTAGCGAAAATGCACGGGCAAGGCCAGCGTCTCCGTAATCTTGGGTGTGCCGAGCAGCAGAACGGAGAAGGGCTCAGCCCGTTCGGTGGCCACTTCAATGTTCACGAATCTCGGGTAGACGGCACTCAACTGGGAAGGCAAAATGTAAGGGTAAGTCCTTGAAAGCTATCCCTTTCGATAACGCACCCTCTTCAAACGCTGCAGGTCGTCCAGTTCGTCCGTGCTTATGTAAACGGATGCGGGCAACTCCTGGAGCAGTGTGTACTCGCAATCCTTGCCCACCAGTGGATAGTCGAACCGCAGGCGGTACGTGAGTGTCCTGTAAGAGCAATAATCCTTTTAATTTAACAAATTCCAAGCGCAATCTGCTGTGCAAAAACCTGTGCAGGCCGGCTTTATCCAATTCAACCTGAACTATGGGTGGTTCCACTACATAACAATGGCCCACTCCTGCCGTCAATGCCAAAACCAAGATAACCACTAAACACTTTTCATTTCCCCTGGAAAACATTTTTAAAACCTAGTTTAACTTAAAAACTGGAGAAGAAAAAATTGTAAATAAAAACATTTGGTTTAGGGTTGTCACTTAACTTTAATTTATTCAGCGTTGCCACTTCGTTTACACACTACAAAGGCGCTTAAATTCAAAAAGCGCTTATCAGGAATTTCTCTCCTTATACAAGGCGGATCCTTGTCGCGCCAATTTATCTGCCATTTCGTTGCCCTCTATGCCCTTGTGAGCCTCCACGTAGTTCTAGGTAATCGGAAATAAAGTTAAGTAAATTGTAGCTAAATGTGTCCAGAAAATTACCCACCCATTTCACTTTTATATTGTTGTTCTGGAGCAGCTCATCTAGTTCCTTGAAGTCAACCACATTTTTCACAGGCTGATTGTTCTTCAGCTTCCAATCTCTTCTCTTCCAACCCGCCACCCACAGGGTGATGGAGTTGATGAGGAACTGCGAGTCTGTGCTGATGCACAGTTTCTTGATTCCCAAATCTAGAGCTGTTTTAATGGCATAAATGGCCGCCTGTATTTCACCTACATTGTTGGTGACTCGTCCTTCCACGGGCTTGGCTGCATTGCTTTAAAGAATTTCGTGTTATTAAGCATATATTTGGATTTATTTTAACCACTTACAGCTGGTGGTTCTTTCCGAAATACACGCCATAACCGGCACAGGCTCCTGGTCGCCCATTTCCTATGCAGGAGCCATCTGTGTAGACAATCACAAAGCCCTCGGCGTCGATTTCAAACTGAAAGGCACCGACTTGCTTGAGGCCCGTGGCTTCTGAGACCTGAGATGCATGTCGGGGAATCTTATTCCTGGAATCGCCAGTTTCCCTGCCTTTGCGCTTGCGATTAAGGATATCCGCCTGAAATGGGAAGTTTGTAAGGTGGTTTACAGGCGGTGTTTTGATCACCTACCAAACTGCCACTGCTAGATGGCTTGGGATCTCCTTCCACTTCGTTCATGGCAGCATTCTAAAAGAAAAGCAGGTCAGGGATAGCAGGTTTTACCTATGCATTTTCTCACCAGTTCATCTTCAATCAGGTCGTGATCCTCTTCGGGCCAGGCCTCTGTGTACTTGGGCTTCTCGATCCTAGTGATCCTCTCCTTCCAACTAGCAGGAGCCGCTTCCTTCTGACCCAAAGGCACCGCCGCATCCTGTGGAGCGTACAGCGATTTACAGCCATTGCCATTGACGAACTGCTCCGCCTCCTGGCGCGTGTTGAACTTCTTGTACTTGGCGTTTTTGAAGCCCTTGACCTGCTCCTCGCACTCCGCCCATGACCCGTAGACTCCGGCCCGTCGACCGCTGGCCACGGCGTAGAAGGCCATCGTGCAGCGTTGGAGGCTCCAAGAAAAATACCGGGGAAGTAGCATATTTCAATGGCGTCCGACTATCGAAACATATGTGGCACGGCCTTGCCGGATGGGCGAGTGTAAACAAACCCCAGAGAGTTGCCAGACTGCGTTACTCGCGGTGGAAAAAAGTACAATTGCATTGCCGGTTTTTCAGGAGGTTTTTCAGGTGGTTTTCCAGGAAGAAAAATCGCCATGTACCAGCCGCCTTTGCCCCCAGCGCCTGTCCAGCCTCCTCCGCCGCCGCCTCCACCCCCGCCAGATTCGGATGAAGGCCTTTGTCCGCCGGGAGTAAGTGATTCCTCGCACACCTACCAATCCAATGAAACCCATGCCCAGGGTTATGCCTATCCGGAGGCTCCAACTCTCCATGCCACGCCCAACTACGATCCCTACCAGCAGCAGCAGGCAGCCTATGGATACGAGGGATATGCCTACCAGGATCCAGCGCAGAGGTTCTATGGTCAGGAGCACGCCTACCAGTACCAGGCACCGGGAACTTCGTACCCCTACGAGGGTTACAAATACCCAGAGCGCTATCCGGCATACGGATCCAATTACCGCCAGTCATCCGAAAGGGAGAGGTACCACTCCTACGGCTCCAGTCAGGGATACCACCACTATCCCGGCTATAACTCGGGAAAGCGGTATGAGCAGCGACACGGCCAGGAACACCGACATTCCCAGGAATCTCGGCATGGCCATGGACACTATGCCCACCGGACGCCAAGGGGATCGCATCACGGCTACTACGGATCTGCAGCGAGGAGCGCCGGCAGCTACCGCGAGCGGGAGCGGAGCGAACCCGTGGAGAAGCCCAGGCCCAAACCCAAGGTGGAGACCGAAAGGGATCGCCTCCTGCGGCAGTGGTGTTCCAATTTCTGCGAGAAGCCCGAGGATTATGTGAAGAAGATGAACGCGCTGAGCGAGGCGGATGCTCCTGCCGAGTCGTGGGTGCGATCCTCGCCAGCCGATCCCTACTACGAGCGCAGCGAGAACGAGATCAAGGGTCGCGTGCGGCTGCAGAAGCTGTGCCAGCTGTTCGACGAGGAGCTGCTGCACCGAGCGGAGCGGGTGCGCCAGAAGCTGCCCGTTTACGTGCCGCCGCCGAGGAAGGCGCGTCGGCGTGTCTGCAAGCACAAGCACAAGTCGGAGGCCTGCTCCTCGTCCTCCTCCTCCGACGAGGACTCCGATGACGACGCCTTCAAGATCGAGCAGGACTGCTGCATGGAGGAGTTGTCGCGCAAGGTGCAGCATCCGCAGCGGGTGCACGCAGATCTGTGGCACAACGACGCCGGTGAGATGAACGACGGTCCGCTATGTCGCTGCTCGGCCAAATCTCGACGCATTGGCATCCGGCATGGCATCTATCCGGGTGAAACCGGTTACAAGCTGTGCGACCCGAACAGCAACAATGCCGGCAAGCTCTTCCACTACCGGATCAGCATCTCGCCGCCCACAAACTTCCTGACCAAGACGCCCACCATCATCAAGCACGACGAGCACGAATTCCTCTTCGAGGGCTTCTCGCTGCTCTCGCACGTGCGCCTCAGCGATCTGCCCGTGTGCAAGGTGATCCGTTTCAACATCGAGTATACCATTGAGTACGAGGAGGAGAAGATGCCGGAGAACTTTACGATCCACGAGCTGGATCTATTTTGTAAGTATAGATTGAGAATCCTTTATATTTAGACCTCGGATTTTGCATATTTGTATATTTTTATAGGATAAAGATAGATCAGTTCCGAAAACACCAAAGTTCGTTTCAATAAAAATATAGTTTAAAATTAATGAAATTTTTTTGTTTGCATATTTGCATAAAATGCATATGCATAAAATATGAAAAATATATGCAAAATATGCTAAATATATGCAAAATATAAAATAAACTCAACTATTCAAGATTGACCATTTAACCTAATTTAACCGAAGAAAATTGTTTGTTCATTTTCGTCATTTCTGAGATATCTAATTTTTTCCCAAATTTAAGGAAGCCCTATTTATATTTCCAACGAGTAGGCGATAAGGGGCAAAAATAGTAAAAGGTGCAGAATAGAGCCTCCAGTTGTTTGCATTTATTTTGCATATTTTCCATATATTTAGCATACTTTATGAAAAATATGACACCTACCTAGAAATATTGGTAAAAATCGGACAAAAATGGACAAATATGCAAAATCCGAGGTCTATTTGTATTTAATAAAACTAACAAGTCTTAATTTCAGTTAAATATCTGTTCCACGAGCTGCTTGAGCTGGTGGACTTCAATCTGATGCCTAATCTGGTGTCAGACAGCGCTGAGGAATCCTGCCCGGCCTTCCACTTCCTACCCCGCTTCGTTCGCGATCTTCCGGATAATGGAAAGGAGGTTCTGGCCATGGTCGAAGTGCTTCGCTACCTGCTGGACAACTCCGCTGAGCTGGTGGAACGGCAGCAGCTGCTGCACCTGAACCAGATCAGTCAGAGCGAGTGGCAGAACTACGTGGACTTCATCAAGGGAATGCTGGTCACGAAGCCGGGTCACAAGCCGTGCTCGCTGCGCGTCGATCAGCTGGACAGGAACAACTCCGATCTGCCCGAGTGCGTGGATCGTGAGTCGGGAATCTCGCATCCGGCGATTGTGCACTTTGGCATTCGTCCGCCGCAGCTGAGCTACGCCGGCAATCCGGAGTACCAGAAGGCGTGGCGGGAGTATGTCAAGTTCCGCCACCTGATGGCCAACATGTCGAAGCCCTCGTTCAAGGACAAGCGCAAGCTGGAGGAGAAGGAGCAGCGACTGCAGGAGATGCGTACGCAGGGGCGCATGAAGCGCAACATCACGGTGGCCATCAGCTCGGAGGGTTTCTATCGCACGGGCATTATGTGCGATGTGGTGCAGCACGCCATGCTGGTTCCCGTGCTAACCGGCCACCTCCGCTTCCACAAGTCACTCGATCTGCTGGAGGAGAGCATCGGGTATAGCTTCAAAAATCGCTATCTGCTCCAGTTGGCGCTGACGCATCCCTCGTACAAGGAGAACTACGGCACGAATCCGGATCATGCCCGCAACTCGCTGACCAACTGCGGCATTCGACAGCCGGAGTACGGCGATCGCAAGATCCACTACATGAACACCCGCAAGCGGGGCATCAACACGTTGGTGAGCATCATGTCGCGATTTGGCAAGGATCACGAAACCGTTTCGAATATCACGCACAACGAGCGGCTGGAGTTCCTCGGCGATGCTGTGGTGGAGTTCCTGAGTTCCATCCATCTGTTCTTCATGTTCCCGGAGCTGGAGGAGGGTGGTCTGGCCACTTACCGGGCAGCCATTGTCCAGAACCAACACCTAGCCCTGCTGGCCAAGAAGCTGCAGTTGGAGGAGTTTATGCTGTATGCTCACGGATCCGATTTGTGCCACGAGCTGGAGCTGCGCCATGCCATGGCCAATTGTTTTGAGGCCCTCATGGGTGCCCTGCTCCTGGATGGTGGAATCAAGGTGGCGGATGAGGTGTTCACCGATGCGCTCTTCCGGCAGGACGACAAGCTTCTGAATATCTGGAAGAATCTGCCGGAGCATCCGCTGCAGGAACAAGAGCCACTGGGCGATCGCAACTGCATTGGCAACTATCGGGTGCTGAAGGAGCTGACCAAGTTCGAGGACTCCATCGGCATCAAGTTCAAACACATTCGTCTCCTGGCCCGCGCGTTTACCGATCGCTCCATTGGCTTCACCCACTTGACTTTGGGCTCCAATCAGCGTTTGGAGTTCCTGGGCGACACAGTTCTGCAGTTGATTTGCTCGGAGTATCTGTATCGCCACTTTCCTGAGCATCACGAGGGCCACTTGTCCCTGCTGCGTTCCTCGCTGGTTAATAACCGCACACAGGCGGTGGTCTGCGATGACTTGGGGATGCCCAAGTATGCGGTCTATGCCAATCCCAAGGCGGATTTAAAGACCAAGGATCGTGCCGATCTGCTGGAGGCCTTTCCTGGGCGCCTTGTACGTGGACAAGGGTTTGCTGTACTGCGAGCAGTTCTGCCACGTCTGCTTGTTCCCGCGCCTGCAGCTCTTCATCATGAACCAGGACTGGAACGATCCCAAGTCCAAGCTGCAGCAGTGCTGTCTCACCCTGCGCACCATGGATGGCGGCGAACCGGACATTCCCTACTACAAGGTTGTGGAGGCCAGTGGTCCAACCAATACGCGGGTCTACAAGGTGGCCGTGTACTTCCGCTCAAAGCGACTGGCCACCTCCAGTGGCTCCTCCATTCAGCAGGCGGAAATGAATGCGGCCAAGCAGGCACTGGAGAACTCAAGGGACCTTTTCCCGCAGCTGGATCACCAGAAACGTGTCATCGCGAAGAGCATCAAGAAGCAAACGGGCAACGAGCTGGACAACGAGGGTGATCGACAGCAGCAGGACGAGAAGGTCAAGCGGCCCAAGTACGCAGCTCCGCTGCAGGATGAGAGTCATCTGCCCAAGCAATATCGCATGCACGAGAACATCTCCAGCGATGAGTTGCCGGAAGATGATGACTTCGAAAGCACAGCTCCCAAGAGTCCAACAAGTAAGTTCATGGATTAAGTGTACAGTAAGGCGTTATAATGTATATATCTTTCCCTCTTTCAGTGCCCTTAAAACTGAACCGGAGTGGCAATAGCAGCAGCAGCAGCAGCGATAGCGATGCCTCCAGCTCATCTCCCAAGCGCCAACGGCGCATCAGAAAGAGTTCTTCGGTCTCGTCCCTTACTTCATTGGGATAATCTGACGATAGTGGAACATTTTTAGTAAAAAGAATCGGAGAGACGGAACTATCTAAAAATTAATAGATTACCTAAAATCAATTCGCTCATTTAGCTTAAGAATACAAAATACCAATAATGGTTAATCAGGTTTGCCCCTTAAAACATTTCTGCATGTTCAACATTTCTGCATGTTCATTGTTAAACTCTTTTCATATTTCTTTTTTTTTAGCCACTTTTAAAAATAATGTAGGATATCTTCTTCTGTAGAAAACATCCGGTTTGAATTTGTATGTTCTAAAAATCTAAGAGATTTCATTCAGATTTTAGACTGAATATCTTCTTCTGTTAAAAACATCCGGTTCGAATTTGTATGTTCTAAAAATCTAAGAGATTTCATTCAGATTTTAGACTGCGGATTATGAGCAAGTTAAAAATAAAGACTGCTTCGATACTTTTGTGTTGCCTTTAATGAGCCATTCTGATTTAGCTTTTAGATTAGTATTAAATCTTGTATTGCAGCTCTGATAAATTATATTTTAAAAAATGGTAGGATTTAATAGATGTAGTGCAAATCTTATTAAATTTCTGATATGTTTAATAAGTACGGAGGCCTTAAAGCGTAGTACTCACTTTAATCGAAAAGCCCATAAAATGGAAATGTCCATGCAAAATGATGCTGATGTAAGCAACGCTCTGAAAAACTAGAGTTATACGGGGCACACCTGATTAATCCAAAAATGTTGCTTCAATCCTTTTACTTACATAATTTCTAGACTCGATACCAAAAACTTTTGATCCAATTTCATGTTAAATATAGGCATGTTATATCCCAGGAAAAATCTCTTTTCTTGTTTAAAAAGATATTTAAATAATCTTTAAAGAAATGATTAGGTTTAACGTAATATTTCAAAGACTTTTTACTTGGAACGTTCAAATGATCTTTTTCAAATCCATTACTTAACCCACAAGCACCCAAAAGAAACGCTAAGTAAAATAACTGAATCGAATTTTGGTAAATATTTTAGCCAATTTAAACTTAACACGATTGCCCTTCGTACAAAATGGTGAAATACGAGTCCAACAAAGCGGGCTGATCTCTCAGATCGTAGCGGTCTCACAACCAGCGCTATTTGAACAGGGAAAGCCGCCGCCCCAGTCCGGAACGTCCCGAGCCGCTGACCGCGTTGGTGATGTGGCTCATCTCGGGCAGATTGTGGATGTCGCCGCGGGCGGCCACCGAGGGCGGAGAGCTGAGGAGGCGCTGGGCAACGCGCTGGATGTCGGCGGCAGTCACACTCTCTGTAATATCATATCATATCATATTAATTGACAAGTTTGAAATACCATTAAGTGATCCTACCAATTTCCTTGATAAAATGCTTGGGTCGTTTGCGGTGCCCTGTGACCAGCACTTGACGACCCACATCCTCGAACACAACGGGACGCGACTCCAGGTTCATCAGCAGCATGGACTGCAGCTGGATCTTTGAGCGCATCAGCTCCTCCCGCCCGGGCTCTGCGGCCATGCCCATCATCTCGCGGGTGAGCACCTCGACCATGTCGTTCATGTGCTGCGGCGGTGCGCTGCCATGGACGCAGAACAGTCCGGTGTCGGCGTAGGCATGGTTGTAAGCCGTTGCGCTGTACATCCAATGGTAGCGGTTCAGCACCTTTGTGTACAGACGCGAGTACATGCCCTTGCCAGGACCGCCGGCGGAGAAGGAGCCACCGCCGCCCATCATGATGTTCAGGACGCACAGCGGCACAAAGTCCTTGTCCTGGTGCGAGCAGCCCTCGAAGCCCAGGACCACGTGGGCCAGTTCGGGCAGACCAGCGGCCGCATAGATGGGGATTTCGCATTGCTCCTATTGGGTAAACGATGGATTTTTAAATATTTAACAAAAGACTTGTTAAAAAACCCACCTTCACCAATCCGCCAGTGTATTGGGCAATGGACGTGTCCACTTGCTTGGGTCCCAAATCCTCCAGGGCTTCCGTCTCCCAGATGGCCTTGTCCTCCACAAAGTACCTTTGCACATGGTCCACCAGCTCATCGTGATCCACCTGGCAAGAGTTTTAATTAACCGAGTCCAATATCATGATAGCTAGACTTACGCCCACACCAGCGATGACCATGCGCTTGGGAGAGTGGTGGTACTTGAGGTAGTTCATCAGCACCTTTCGATCGATGTGGTCCAGGTTCTCCAGCGGACACAGCTTGGGCAGGCCCAAGGTGTTGTCCCTGTAGGCCGCCGCATGGATCATGTCCATCAAAATGGGCTCCTGTTCCGGCCGCATGCCAAGCGTCTCCAGCTCAAAGTTGACGGCACGCCGGGCCAGACTCACCTCCAGATCACTGAGCGTGGGCCGCAGCGTGACGTCCGCCAGCAGACGCGTCACGGAGTCAATGGCCCGGCTGTCTATGCTGGCGGCATAGATGAGCGTGTCCCGCGAGCTCTGGCAGTCGCAGATGCCGCCATTCTTCTCCAGCTCCTTAAGTATGGCGTCCTTGTTGGGAAAGTTGACTGTGGACTTTGGAATACAAAGCCAGGTAAGCAAACGAAGATCTTACTTAACAGGGAAGCTCAACCAAACTCACATTGAAGGCCAGCTTCTCGAGAAAGTGCGAGACGCCGCTGGGGTAGGCCACCTCGTATCGCGGTCCCGAGTCGATTACCAGGCCCACAGTGCAAAATTGGCCGTAGCGTGGCTCCGAGGCGATCCGCAGGCCATTCGGCAGCGTGGTCACCTTGGTGATGGCGCTCTCCGCCAGCGGGGCGGCGTAAACGGCCTCCGGCAGGTTGGGCAGTGGCTCGGTGAGGGGCGGCAGGTGGGTGACGATCTCCTTGGACGGCGTGTTCACCTTCTGTGGCCCATCGCTCGTCCGCACGCCGCCGGTTATCTGGCCGATTCCGGTGCCGCTGCCCACCTCGTCGCCGCCCAGCGTGGTCACCTTGGTGGCCATGCGGCGTGGAAAGCTGCGTTACGGGGAGAGGGGGGGACAATCATTAATTTTCGCCGGCTCCATAACACCCAACCACCTTTCACCACCCCTCGAGATTCTTACGTGCGCCAAGAGTGCCTGAGCATTTTCAGCATGCCGATGCTGCGCGCGTTCATCTTGTGCTGGGGATTTGGCTTTGGTAACGGTATTTACAAATTTACGTGATTTATATTTGAATTTGATTCAGAAACATATTTTTTATTCTTTTTTGAACGAGTGAATTTCGAAGAAGAAATGTTGATTTCTTCTTCTTCTGCTCTTGCCTCAAGTGTCAGTCACACCGAAATCCAGGGCTGCGCGCGGGGCAGGGTTGCCAGCCCGCCTGCGTTTCGATTTTCCGTTACAATAATAGATCGTTATATTTACTTTTCAAAGCGTTCTTTATTTACAGATTTAAGACAGATTTGGAGGTCAGGGCTAGTCGAAATTGAAGCGCCTCTTGCCATCGAACCGATAGCCATAGGCCGCTGCATTTTTTGTGTCGACCAGCGCTGGGTTGCGGTGCTTGAAGAAGCTGCCATGTCCGTGGGCGGGACGCGAGGCGCTGTTGGGGATTCCGTGCATTTCCCGCGGATAGAAGGCCTCGAACATCCCCTCGGGTGGCAAACAGCATTCGGCTATCTTGGAATCATCGGGATCATAGGCCGCGGTCTCAGATCCCAAAAGCATGGCCAATACGATCGCAAACAAAGTCTTGAGCAATATCGTAATTACACTCATTATCTGACAATTACACTCACACGCAGCCAGGTGACTTTTACTTTTTGCTGGCCGAACCCGTTTAAGCCTGACTTCGCGGACCTGTGGCTTTTGTGAACTGAAGTGATTTTGACCATTACAATGGCTGATATACATACATATAGACAGACAACTGTTTGAATCAACATATTCAAAAATCAGCTGCTATTTCGCGCGAAACTCTGGCAGCACTGAACAATAAAAGCCGGCAATGCCGGCATTTCCACTCCTTTCCTCTAATTTTGAGATACAGATACAAAAGATTTTTTCTTATTATTTACTTAGCACTCCTGGGAGTAGCACATATTCTTCCAAAAACTACAAACCTTTTAGCCATGGATTCACCTAAAAAACCAACTGGGATCGTAGATAAAGCTGCATTGTACGGTAAGTTGTTAGCAGTATATTTAAAAACTGCAAATTTGAGTATATGTATATGTTTGTATGCAAATGCGGATGCTATACAGATTTCTTGGAATCGTCAAATAAATTAATATTCGAAGAAGAGATAAGAAAAAGTTTTTTGCAATGAGTGAAACCGATTGTTATAAATAAGATACAAAAGCGTACTTCTGGATTAATAAAAACTTGAAATGTGGATACTGGCAAATGTATATACAAATGTGCAAATGATTGTATCGAAGAAGACTTCGATGTACTTTAAATACAATTTTTAAGTACATATGCATACACATATTTGTCTGGCGGTAGTGTTTATGATTATGTATGTAGGTATAATATACATTGTATGTAATTATTTCTTATCAAATTTTAAAATTAGTGTATTATTTGGCCACGGTATATCGAGAGATTGGAACTTTAATATATGTATTTTAAATATATATGGAGCTATGTAGCTAATTCCTCAAGGGAGATATTTCGAATATATGCAGCTATGTAGCTAATTCCTCGAGGGAGATATTTCGAATATATGTAGCTAATTCCTCAGGGGAGATCACACTTTAAAACACGCCGTAAAATCCGTTAAATTTTGGGCCGAAATCCCAATTGCTTCATCATTTATGGTAAAAAAAAAAAAATTTTTTTTTCCCAACCCCCCAAAAAAAAAAAATTTTTTTTTTTTTTAAAAAAAAAAAAAAACTTTCCCCCCAAAAAAAAAATTTTTTTATTTTTTAAAAAAAAAAAAATTTAAAATTGAAAAGGACGGTATGAGGTAAAATAGGGGAAGCAAGAAGCTTTGCAATAAATATGATACAGTCCAACAAAAAAAATGACTATAATATAATTGTTAAATAAATTGATACGATTGATAATGTTAAAATACAATGACAGCTCATGCATATGTGTGTGCATACCGCTGTTCTACAGTGTACGTGAGTTGCAGAGGATAGAAAGAAGAATTCCCTATGCTCACTTAATAGGACCGTTGTATTAAATTAAATATGTCACTCTCATTATCATTATATCGACGTTTCATAACTTTAAATGTTCCGCTCCCATATCGAAAAGCATTTTACTATCTACTTTATTTTGTGGCGCTATTTAAACAAATGAATCATTTTTAGTTTAACACGTACCTAATTTAAATTATAACCGTTTTTTTAACGAAAAAATTTATATACCCGTTACTTGTAGAGGGAAAGGGTATATTGACTTAGTCGGAAAGAATGTAATAGTATATCCTATAAAGTATATATAATCTATTGTTTATGATGCTAATTATACCCAGTAAAGACACAGATGTAGTTATGTTTTATGATTTATGTTTTAATTACACCGCAGCACCAGCACCACAACTTAGCTCAAGAAAAGGTCACAAGAAAGAGAGAGAAGATCAGTCAGTATGACCAAAGGCTATGTCTTCATTAAAGTCAAAAAGGATATATACTAAATGGTATTTCAATGGTATTTCTGTAGAGGAATAGGGGTATTCCAACACGCCCCCTCAGAAATAACATCTATAAAATTATAAACTTAACATAATATATTCACTTGTATTTGTTATGTACTTAGTGTGGGTGGTGTGCATTCTGGGAATAGTTATATGATCCAGCATTTGCTGCAAGGATACGGGGGAAAACCAGAAAAACCCGCTCAGATCAATCTTACATATACATATGTTTACAAAGAATTTTAAATTTCAATAACTTAATGCTTATACAAAGAAAAAAGGAACAAAAGTATTTCATGAGATCGATTAAATTCAAAATAAAAAAAACTTCAGCATCAGCAACCAGTGGATCAGTCATCTTGTAGTAATCCCAACTCGTGTAGTATTTCATAGAACTTAGCGGCAGGCAGTGGCTTTGTGAAAATATCAGCAAGTTGATTCTCTGTGGAAATATACTCAAGACAAATGGTGTTAGTTTCAATTTGTTCTCTGGCAAAGTGGTATTTATATCAATATGTTTGGCTCGTTTATGACATGAGGGATTACTGCTGTACTGATACAGCTTTGGTTATCTTCGCAAATTTTAATTGGATTTTCGAGATTGATATTAACACTACTAAGAAGAGATTTTAGCCACAGCGCTAACCTCACAGCTTCAAATAATGCCATGTACTCAGCTTGATGAGGCTGCTACTGAGTTCTGCCTTTTTGTGTTCCAACAAATTAAATTTAAATCGAACATTTTGAATAAATACCCTGTGGTACTTTTTCTATCAATCTTGTTTCCTTTATTTTTTTATTTTAAACTCAGCATTTCTTTTAAAAATAAGTTTCATTTCAATAGTTCCCTTTAAATACCTAAGGATCCTTTTTAAGCACCGCCATAGCTCGGAATATTTTTGCTACTATATCTACTTAAAATATTTACTGCAGTAGTTAAGTCGGGACGTGTATGTACATTAAACATCCTATGAGATTACGACATGGAGCATTGCAGTTTTCATCTGAATTAAGTAACTCATAATTTAGTTTGTTGGGTAAGGGAGTACTAACTGCATTGCAATTTTCCATGTTAAATTTACTTAATATTCTTTTAGCATATGCAGCTTGGCTCAGGAACATTTTATCTTCATACATTTCTATTCTAATACCAATACAATGTTTTATTTCTTTTAGATCGGTTATTCTAAACTTTTTCATTAAATAATTTTTGAATTTGTTCATTGTTGTCATATTTCCCGTAGCTATCACCACATCATCAACATATAACAGCACATAAATATTTTCCTTGATATCACTTTTATCAAGGATATATATACAGCGATCTACGGAAGAGTTAACAAACTCACAGTCTTTCAATGCTTGCTTAAAACTTCAAACCAGCATCTAGCGGCTTGTTTGAGACCGTAAATTGCCTTATTCAATTTACATTGTCATACATTGTCACCTTTGCCCTGTACACCTTGAGGAAGTCTCATATATATTTCCACTTTTAAAGTGCCATTTAAGAATGCTGTTTTTACATCCATTTGATGGACTTTCAAGTTATATTATACTGCTAACGATAATATAAATCGGAAACTGGAAATTCTAGCTACAGGAGCAGAAGTCTCTTCATAATCGACTTGGTATTTTTGAGTAAATCCTCGTGCAACTAATTTAGCTTTATATCTAGTAGGAGTCCTAGTTCGTTATATTTAACGGAAAAAACCCATTTGATATCTACTATTATTTTATGTGTAGGACTTTTTACGATTGTCCAGGTATTATTTAGTTCATGGGCACTTAACTCTGTTTTTATGGCTTCCTCCCAAAACAACTTATCATTCCTATACTGAATTTCATCGTATGAATTTGGCACATAATTGAAGACAGTGTGAGTGCTTAATACAAATTTATTTAAACTATTACACAGGCCGACAAAATGTGACATGGGTCGGTGTCCAGGCCTGCCACCATTTTATTTCGATAAATGAGGCTTTTCTAAGCATAAGTCGCCACTACGCCTATAGTCCATCAGCTCTGGTATTTGCGGTATCTTTAATTTAAGAAAATCACAAAATTTCTTCGGCTTCTGGGATATATCTTCAATAGTGGTCAACCAATTTTTGTAATCTTTTCGGAATTAAATAGTTACATGTCTCTTTTATACGGTCGTTTTGGAAAATTCAATCTAACTCAACCACAAGAGGAGGTGGGCGCATTCAAAATTTTTAAGTCACAGAAAAGTTTAAAAATCTTCCTTTGTGAACAGCGTTCAAAAATTAAATAATAAATAAATTCACAAACAGTGCCCAAACCTTTCACTATTTTTCGTAAAGCATAACTATTTTTGAGCACAAGTGACCCTTGCTTTAAAAATATTTATATTTATATTTATCAAAAATGCATCGTAGAAGAAAATATTTTTATTTAATTTTTAAACGCTGTTCACAAATGAAGATTTTTAAACTTTGCTGTGACTTTAAAATTTTGAATGCGCCCACCTCCTCTTGTGGTTGAGTTAGATTGAATTTTCCAAAACGACCGTATAAAAGAGACATGTAACTATTTAATTCCGAAAAGATTACCAAAATTGGTTAACCACTATTGAAGATATATCCCAAAAGCCGAAGAAATTTTGTGATTTTCTTATATTAACATAAAACTGACGCATCTCATGTGAGATATATTCTCTCCCATTGTCAATGTACAAACTAACAATTTTCAAATTAAAATGAGCTTCACATTTAGCTAAAAAGTCTTTAAACATATTGAATACGTCAGATTTGTGTTTTATTAAGTAAGTTACACAATAGTGTGTAAACTCATCAACAAAGATCACAAAGTAATTTTTGTCATTTAGTGTAACTGGAGTAATGGGTCCACAAACATCTGAGTGCAAAACAAATAGGGGTCTTTTAATATGTGTTTTATCTTTAAATTGTTTTAACGGTAACCTAGCTTGTTTTCCATTTAAGCATGGCTCGAAAATTTCATCCGATAGCTCTAAATTATTAAAAAGACTGTTATCACTAAACATATTATTTCGTTTTATTTCTAATAACTTGCCATTGCTTATAAGACCAAGCCTCTCATGCCATAATCGAAAATTATTTATATGTTTCGCATCTATATTAAATGCTTGAAACTGAAAAATATGTATATTGTTAAACATACTTGAATTCTTGACCACCGTCAATCCATTCTTGGAAATGGTTACTCCATTCTTGTCAAATTTGATTGACATTCCTGCCTTCTGTAGGCGCTTCACCGACATCAAGTTTCCAGCAGCCTGCTCGGAATACAGCACATCCTCCAGTGTTATTTCGTGGTCATTGCACAAACGCACAATGCCAGGCTTGGATGCGTAGATATATTCACCTTGCTTGGCCACAGCTATCTTCAGCGGCGGCACCAATTCCACACTATCGATGAACAGCGACTCATCTTTTAGCAGATGATCACTTGCACCGGAATCATGAATAAATCCACATTTATCTACCCGGGACTTTTCTTGCACTTCTTTGACCATTAATGCAATGCCTTGCGATGTTGCTGTTTTAGCTTGTTTATCGTAATTTTTATTCTCTTTATTTCTTTCATTTATAATTCTTTTATATTGGTAGCAATCCTTTTTAATGTGTCCTTCTTTGTCACGGTGGTGACATCTAACCCTATTCTTAAAATTTCCCTTAAATATTTTCTTTTGTTTAGTTGCACAATTTTTAAATAAATTGTTTTTTTTGTTTTGAACGATCGTGGTTAAAGCTTTCTTGCTAGTGTCATTATGATCATTTTTAATTTTAGTTTCCTGGTCTAGCAATTTATTCTTAACAAATGCTTATGTTAAATTATCCTCTGATAATGTCTCTATTGCTGTAATGACACCATCATAAGCCGAAGGCAATGTAATCAACAAATGAGACACTTTATCCATCTCTTCTATTTTTACACCTGCGGCCAACAACCCACTTGTCAATTCATCAAAAATAGTAATATGGGGCAATAAGGACATTTCACTCGATAGCTTAAGAGAAAGCAAGCGACGTTAAACTTTTTCGTTCATATACAGAGTCCAAATTTCCAAGAATTTGACGAGCAGTTATATCGCTTGTGGCAAAGTTCAAAAACGAATCGGTAAGGTACTCTATTAACGTACATTTTGCACAACGCTCTGCTTTCGTCCACTTTTCATCCACTTTGGCAGGTATATCCTCATCAATGACCCTAAGTACATCCAGTTCGGTCAAAAGAGCCCTAATTCTAAATTTCCAAATTGCGTATGGCTTTATGTTACGTTTTGCCCTGTCCATTTTACTGTGCATACATATGCAGTTGTACAAGTATAGGTATACACACGCGGAACTCAACTCAATGTAATTTCACAAGAAATTACAATTTCACAAGAACTAGAAATTTTTAAGAAATTGAAATAAGACTTTTTATATAAACTGTTTCACAGATCAATTGTTTATTAGGCATGGACTGGGCCCATAAGCTATTGTTTATGATGCTAAATACACCCAATAATGACACAGATGTAGTTATGTTTAATGATTTTATTATTAATTAATTTTGACCAAAGGCTATGTCTTCATTAAAGCCAAAAGGATATATACTAAATGGTATTTCAATGGTATTTCTGAATAGGAATAGGGGTATTCCAACATAATCTTAATAAGGATCACAAGCTGTGGCGATCCGTTGAGATCTCAGAAACTTTAAAAGCTGTATTTCTCAAGCAGATTCTTAGTGTTCTTGCGCAACGCAAGTTTGTTTGTTTGGTCAACAGAGTAAGCGCTAATTCTTGTTCTAAAGTTGGTTAGCACAGTAACGGGTATATAATAGTCGAGGTATTTGTCTATATCGTTTTCTTTAGTTTCTGCATCTTATGGCTTATATATTTTTAATCCATTAAAAATTATTGATTTAAAATGCTTAAAGACTTTCTTTCTTTCAGTGGATCAATATTGATTTGAAAAGCGACCGAAGAATCCATCAAGAGAAAAATCACAAAAAAATACATACATGTGCATCATTATTTTATCTGAAATTTCATAAACTGGAAACATTGCCATATTGATTTTAAGTACCTATGTATATAGGTATTAATTTGGAAAAGCTTAAGATACATTTTTCTTTATAATGGATTCTCATCGATCGTAGTTTAAAATGCTATGTTTCAGTGGTGCTTATGTTTGTTCCAGTTCCCACCAACAATGACCGCTACCCACCGATTCCATTGCCAGCCCCTCCTTCGGCCAATGGATCGCAAACGGAAGATTTGGCCCCCGAAGCTGCTCCACAATTGGAATCTGGAACGATTAGCCATGACCTAATTGTGAAAAACATAATATTTGATGATCAAACTATCCGCAAGGGCTTTGTTCGCAAAGTCTTTGGCATCCTCATGGTGAGTAAGATACAAATATTTATCCAGTTTGACATTTGATCAGTTTCATTCTTGCAGGTCCAATTACTCTTCACATGTGCTGTGATGGCCATATTTGTTTACCACGAGCCCACCAAGCTGTTTGTGCAGCAGAACTTCGTTGTCGTGTTTGTGGCCATGATCGTTAACCTTATTGTCTTGATAATGATCGTCTGTGTGGAGAGCGTAAGACGCAAGCATCCCGTAAATCTGATTTGCCTGGCCATCTTCACATTCACCATGTCAGTGCTCCTGGGAGCCACATCGAGCCTAATGGATTCCAATATTGTTCTCGCAGCGGTGGCAATTACTACGATTCTGGTCACCGCACTCTGCATCTACGCCGTGCAAACTAAATACGATTACACCGCCTGTGGTGGGCTGATGATTACCTTTGTGATGATCATTGTCGTCCTGTCCGTTTGTAGTTTTTGGCTACCCGAATTCGTAGATAGCTTGCCAATTTCCTGCTTATGCGGCGCAATCGGCTGCTTCTTCCTGATCTACGACATGCAGACCATAGTCGGCGGCAATCGTGCGGAACAATTGGATCCCGAGGAATATGTGTTCGCAGCTCTCACTCTGTACGTCGATATTGTTCGCATATTCATTTATGTACTTCGGATTCTTGAGAAAGTTTATTAGTCACACAGACTATCCGCAGCGCCGGAGAGCAAGCTATTGCATTTGTACTCGTTGTTTACCTTCAAAAGAAATAACCAGCTTCAGCTTTACAAAAATCTTAAAAAGTGCCATTTACAATTGAACTTACCTTTAACTGATATATAATATCAAATGCAATTTATTGCCAATTACAGAGTCAGAACGAGATCGGTGTTATTTGGTATTGGTAATTCAGAATTTTATTAACTTAGTTTTTTGGCTCGTCTTTTTCTAGGATAGTTACATTACATTTATATTTATATACTGTATATGTTTGTCTATGCGTGAGTAACTATAAAATACAATCACAAAATGTATGCCATTTGATGTTCTTATGTATTTACAGTTGGGGCAGTAACTAAACGGGGGTTTTATAATTATCGATGCTCGCAGCAAACACACGGAAACATTCACACAGATATTCATGTAGATTTCGTTCAATAAGTAACTAGGGCTTGACTAAATTGTTATAAGTATTGATAAACTGCACATCCTAACGCTACGCTAAACTACTGTGCTCTGGTCTGTTCTGTTCTGTTCCTTCTGATCTTGTCTTGGACACCAAATCGTCTGTCGATCTCTGCTTAATGGGGAATCGCCTGAGCGTCATCTAACTCATATTAAGGACTCTTATTTATGCCGAAATTGCTACTAATCTTGGTTTGTTCCGCCGGCTCCTGAGTGTGTCTGCGTGTGTGTGTGTGTGTGTCGGTAGAAAATGTTGTATCAAATGCTTTGGCCACGCCCACGTTCAGTTCTTATTTCAGAATTTTCCCTCTCAGTCGTCCGTAAACGGATGGTCGGATGTCTCGCTGCTGTTGCGCCGCCGGCTCTCCAGAATCCGGGTCGCCTGCTCTAGCGTCTCCTTGTAGAAAATGTTGCGAGGACTGTCGCTGGGCAGCGAGTACTCGGAATTGTCCATTTGCGAGTTGAGACCCAGTACAATGTTGAATGCGGACGCATCGTAGCCGTGACAGCCGGAGTATCGGTAAAGAGGCTTCTTGTTGAACTTGCAACCATTCGATTGGGCACCTGCAAAAATACACATAAAATATTTTAGCGATTTTGTTTAATAATGTAATAGTTTAAATGACATTTATTATTCTATTTAATCAAACAAAAATGAAGAGCTTAAAATCCAGTAACGATCGCACATACCACAAAAGTTCTGATATCAATTTTTGTGACGAAAAATGATTTTACATTCGAAAAAATTAATACTTTTTTAAATTTTACTGATTTTATCTATTTTTTATGATATTCTAGTTTAATTCTATATATAAAATATATTTTATTTTAACCCATTCAATCCATTTAATTTATTTTTCTTTGTGTGGTGAGGGGTGTTTATGGAAATAAAATGGAAATGGAGTGTACCAAATAAGATAAACGATTAACTGGAAAACAGGGCTTATCAAATGGAAAACTATAATTGGGCATTAGGCAGCAGTGCCACCTCAGTTGGGTGATGAAATGGACGCGATATTGATGGTGGAAAAATCGGAAGTCCCCGGCATCGCTATACAATGCGAACTGTTGCTGCCCAATGGACATTTGCAAAGGACTTTTGAATTTGACATAGCGAGTATTGGACTCCGACGTCGTCTGGTGCGCCGCTTCTACGGAATACTAATTGTAGGTTTTCCGCAATCCATTTTCGAATGGAACAAATTCTTTTTTACTTATTATAAACTGACCATTGCAGCTACAAGTGTTTTGTACTTTGCCCTGTCTGGAGTTGTTGCTAAGATATCCTCTGCCTTACAATTATGTAATGCCCATATCCATGGTATTAACTATGTTTCTGTATACCTGCTTTTATGTTTGGCGGGATTGGAGGAGATTCGCCCCTTATAACTACTTGGTACTACTTTTAAGTACATTCATTGGGTCATTTAATAGGAGTGTATATCTACTTAATTTGGTGCAATCACATTGGGTGAGTCAAAATAACAAAGCATTTCTTGAATGAATACACATTTAACTTGTTTTATTGCAGGTCTATGTTTATCCCGTCATCTTAATCCTGGAGCTTTTAGCCCTAATGTTGTACTCCGCCCAGGAGCGCTTCCGGTTCACCCAGATTCGTGGGATTTCCATAATCTGCCTGGTCTTTGGATTGTTTCTACTGCTGGCTTACCGCATCGACCGTATGGTGGAGGTCTTTTCCGGAATGGCCTGCACTGTGGAGGCGTGGTACGTCATTTACGACACCCACTACATGCTGTGCGGTCGGCATGGCTACAATATTGGACCCCAGGAGTATGTTTTTGCCGCCTGCAACATTCACTGCGATGTGCCAAAAGGGGTCGTGGCGTTTGATGAGGATGCTCTTCTTCAGCAAAATTGTGGAGGCCATCCGCATGTTTCGCGAATGCTTTAAGACCGAGGTTTGCTAATAGCATCCCCAGTTGGCTTGGAAATACATCATTTATTTTTCGATTCAATTTCGGCAGTCAAAATTTTTTTAATAAAACCAATCTTTAGCTACTCTTGAGTCATGCCATTTTTTTTCCAAGCCCTATCCAAGACCACGCTTTATCCCGCGATCAGGGATAAGCAGAAGATGATTCTGGAGCAGGCTCGTCCGTTTTTCGGCAGGGCTGCGAAAATCGAAAAGGCAGAGAGTCATTACAGCCTTTTTAGGCTCAATACAGAAACATCGGAGATACCTCTGGTCAAACAAATGGAACACCTTCAAAATAGCCGGTTTTCTACCAAGGGTTTGGGGGATCTTTACTCAACGAAAGGTGTTAAACCACATCATGTGGAAATGGAGATGCCAAAATGGCAGCACTTCAATGATCACATCAAGGAGCTTAAACAGATGTACAAACCCCAAGAGCAGGACTTGAAAACTAGTAAATCAAAAAGAATTCTCCCCCGTGTTAGACAAACACAATCGATTGAACAAAAAGAAAGTCCCAGAAAGCACATTTCTAAAATAAATCACATTAAAAGGCAAAAAATCAAAATCAAACAACGTAATAATCACATACAACCTTCGGCAAAACCCTTGAGTTCCAATGCGTCTGTTGAAGAATTTTGTCGGCTTCTAAATGGACTACTTAGTAGATTTGTGTTTAGAAAACATCAAGCAAAGCGGTTAATAAAGTTTTCTCGATTTAATGATAAACCAAGAAAAATATATAAGAAGGACAAAATTGGCACGAGCAAACAATTACAGAAATCATTTCATTATCAAAGATTAGCTGAGAATGAAGTAGAAACAAAGCTAACCAAACTTTGGCCAGCTTTAGTAGAGTTGGGCGAGTTGAAAGGTCCAAAGAATCCCAAACGGCTGTCCAAGAAAATGCGGCATAAAATTTTAAAGAAATTATCTCGAACTGCCTTGAACTTACCAACGCAATTTAAAGATCTTCTGAAGCGCAGATCATCAAAAAGATCATTAAAACAAGAGATATAAATCTTCCTCGACAATAAAAACCAAAACCAAGTAGAAATAGAAAGGGCCAGAAAACTGGCCTCTCTGAACGACAAATTTGATTATAAGTTGGGCGAAAGATTAAAAATTCATGACTATGGGTTTAAGTATCTCAAGGAGCGAGCTTCGAAGCTAGACGCTTCCAGTAGTAGAAATACCCCAAAGGACCAGTTAAGAGATTCCCTTTCACCACTGAAAGCGGGCCTTATTTCCAACAGAAAAGTCTTTCGTACTATGGACACGAGTTTAAGGAGTTCAACTAGACAAACTGCAGCAGACATGTTCAATAGAGCAAACAGATCCTACCGTGGAAACATAAGTTCCAAGGCAGAACTTTTGGAGCAATTGGGTCGTTTGGAGAATTTAAATCACCCAGAATCCGACAGCTTTGAGTATTTCGAGGAAACTGCATCGGCGTCTGACCTTTCGGAGCAAATTAATAAAAAGTATGCGTCGATTAAACGAATTAATCAATCCAGGGCGTATTCTGCATTGTCAAATCCAGTCATCGAGTACTCGCCTTACGACTTCTTTCCCTACGATGATTATCAAGAAACTCATGTTCCTTTAAGAAAAAAGAAACACCAACCCGTTAAACCATTAAAAAAAAAGCAATCTAAGAATTGCCATAGAATTCCCATACCCCAGACTGATGCAGTTACTCAAACCCAATGTGAATGTGAAGTTTGCAATTTACTGCAAAAATATAAGACAGAAAAAGAGACACCACTGGTGAAGGAAATGGCAATCAAACAAGAATATTTAGCGCAACGACAATACTATATGCAAAATGTAAGGCATAGGAAATTTAAAGTGTCTGATAACGCTGGAAAAAATCAGAGGGATTCGAACTCACTAATCAAATCTAATCACAGCGATAATTATTCTCAAAACAGAATTGGAATTGCAAATTTTGAAGATACAAATAAAAATCTGCAGAGCTATAAAACCATTTCCGAAACTTTTGGTCTCAAAAATTATAAACCACAAATCTTAAAAGCTTACAAGGAACCCGATGTGACGAACATTTTATTACGTTGCTATAAAACACTTTTCAAAGCTGAGCAGCGGACAAACGAAATATTTTCTAATGCTTTTTTGCCCAACCAAAATACTTGCAGAGCATGAAGAACAATTTGTTAGTGAAGTAAACGAGTTTAAATGGTTTTCAATTTATAGAAAAAAAAGAAGTTCGCGGCCATCGATTGCAAACTACATCTGAATAATATGAAAAGTGCATTTACTTCATTTGATTGAATCAATTGACAATGAACTCTGTGTTCACTTCATAATATGGAAAGGGAAACGAACACAGAGTTTATTTCAAATAAATTCAAGGGAATGAAGCAAGCTATATTATATTATACGAGGGCTGTCCGATAAATAACCGACCTCAACGTCAAGATAGCGGCACATCTGAAAAAAAAGTGTCTACTTCAAATTGTGCATATTATAAAAGCTACTCGCCAAAATTTCAGAAATTTATCTTGCGCAATTATCTGTTGACAGTCGTTTTTGTGAGTCTATTTCGGTGATTTCCCCAAAATGGAAAAAATTGAATATCGAGCTGTAATTAAATTTTTATTTTTGAAAGGCAATACGCCTTCACAAATCAAAGATGAGTTGGACTCTGTGTATGGTGACTCTGCACCATCGTTTACCACCGTAAAATTTTGGGCAGCTGAATTTAAACGTGGTCGCAGGAGCTTGGAAGATGATGAACGTCCTGGGCGTCCAAAACTGTAACCACTAACGATAACATCGCTAAAGTTCATCAATTGGTACTAGACGACCGCCGGATTAAAGTTAGGGAAATAGCTGAGATTATGAAGATGTCAAAGAACGTGTTTGTCACATATTAAACCAAGATTTGGGCATGAAAGCTGTCCGCGCGTTGGGTGCCGCGTTTGCTTACGTTAGACCACAAACGTGCGCGCATGAACATTTCCAGCGCTCTGTTGGCTCAGTTTAGAGGCAATAAGACCGAGTTTTGGCGCCGATTGATAACTGTGGACGAAACTTGGATTCATCATTATACGCCCGAAACAAAAATCCAATCTAAACAGTGGATTGAAAGGGGGAACCGGCCCCAAAAAACCCAAGCTGTGTATTCGGCTGGGAAAGTGATGGCGAGTGTTTTTGGGACAGCCATGGAATTATTTTTATCGACTATCTCGAAAAAGGAAAACTATAACAGGAGCATACTACGCATCATTATTGGACAAGCTAAAGGAAGAAATTTCGAAAAATCGGCCACATTTGAAAAAGAAAGTCTTGTTTCACCAAGACAACGCCCCATCTCACCTCAACAGTCGCCATGGCGAAAATCCACGATTGCGGTTCGAACTGCTTGACCATCCACCTTATTCACCGGATCTGCACCAAGCGACTTTTTTGTTTCCTCAACTTAAAACTGCGCTCGGCGGCCGAGATTTTCGTCAAATGAGGAGGCAATCTCTTTCGTGAACTCGTGTTTTGCAGACAAAGACGTCAAGTACTATTTGGAAGGGTTGCAGAGATGGGAGCATCGCTGGGAGAAGTGTGTTCAGTTACAAGGAGACTATGTAGAAAAATAAAAAAAAAATTTTTGAAAAAGTCGCGTGCATCATGGTTAGGTCGGTTATTTATCAGACAGCCCTCGTATATCGTTGGAGATAAGAAACAAACGCAAAAAGGTGGAAAATGTCCGGTTGAATAAAAGTGAATTGTTCGATCAAAAAAGGCACTGTCACGTTTGCCATCAATCCCAATTCAGATGGTAATTACATAAATTTCCCTGATGTGAGTGCCATCAACGGAATGCCGTGCAAATGACGGTCATTAGTAGACCAGCCCCAAAGGAGAGATTGGGGTGGCACGAATGTAGGTTTGATTGATTTATATTGAGGGAAGCAGGGGGGCACATTCCTAATGACAGTTTTCCATATCCTAATTCTACCACAACTGCCGACTCACCGATTGGATCGATGCATTCGAGGGTGAGACAACACTTAAGCCAGGGCAGCATTATCTTCTCGGTAACCAGGGGACTGTCCGAGAAGAATACCGCATCCAGGTCGACCATCCGAAGGAAGTTGAAGTCCTCAGCTTTCGACTCGAAGTAGTCGAACATTTTGGGATGCGTCAGCGAGGACACAGCCGTCGGTGTGTTCCAGCCAAGGACGCCGACGGACCGAACTCCAGCCGTCTTTACTCCTGGCTTCATCACGCCGCCTTGCAAGCTATGCAGCTGGCTGGAGCTGCCCCGCACTCGCATGTAGTTTTCCAGGAACAGAACCGACCGAGCACGCATCAGACCGTCCTTGATCACGATGGGCCGGTAGGCGTGCGTCCGCTGATCCGCGACGAAGGAGGGGAACTCCGACAGGTCATAGGTGATCACCGAGCAGCGGCTGTTATTGCAGTAGGCGCCCAGGTCCCGCAGTTGCTCCTCGGACACGCCCAAGTCGTAGATGAGGAGGTACTCGCTGGGAAGCTTCGCTGCAATATTCTGGGCCAGTAGAATGGCCGAGGCAGCCTGTCCCTCCAGCACATACGTGACGACGGTGAAGCTGATCTTTGTTCCGTTGTACGGCGTGGTGATCCGCTTGCGCTGTCCCCGCTGCTCGCGATCTCCCGCCAGGCCATCGAACGTGACAGCATCCTGGGGACGCCGCAGGCCCCGCAGCTCGCTGAGCTCCTGTTCCGCTTTGGTCGCGGGCGCTGGGAAATCTGTTTTTGGCAGGTGCTGGTGACCTGGTGACCCAATGCCACCCTGCTGCTCCTGCTGTTGCTCGCCTCGTGAGGCATCCTTTGGCGAGGTGAAGCCCAGAAGCAGCAAGTACTTGGGGTCTATTTCAAGTTTTTTGCGTTCCAAACCAACGCGGAGGTTCTCCTGTAAGAAATAAATAGAAATTTTCTGTTTTAAATACGGTTTTGATGAGGGATTTAATGAAATATTCTTAGACGGCCTCAAAAAAATGCATAAATGAATAATAAATTGTACACAAAACCGCGGTCAAGTAAATATTTGTGCCCAAAAACCAAGCTCAGTGAGCGGAATTTGCCTCGTCATGGGAGCCATTTCGGAGGCGACTTATATTAGTTGGCCCGGCGGAAACCCACATGTGAGAAATCTTTCCATTACGACCCTCTCACACACACCTCCCTTCCTGCAAATACCCCAACCCAAGGCACAAACGCCGCCGCACAATGGAACCTTCTCGTGCCGATGTTAAATTTGTGTCTATTATTTGTTTTGACTGTGGCCAGAGGCGAGCGTGCCGCATGCTCTGGCTCCTAGTGCCGCTCCTCCTGCAGCCAAAAGATGGTGTCAGGTGTGCCCCACAACGGACAGGCAACGGCAAGTGGGCCTAAGAGGAAAAAACCGAAATTAACCTGCGGCAAAAGGCGGTCGGCAAAGGCGAAGGCTAGGCGTCGCCAAACCCAAATCGCATGACAACCTTGCTCGGCAACTGCCATACCGATAAAGTGCACTTCAAACAAAAATGAATGCTTTAAAAGTAAGAAAAAAATTTTCATTACCGTTTTAGCTTGTTTTATAAATTATGGAAATCATATTATATGAGGTTTATTTATAAATGAGATTGTCGGTGTATCTGATTGCTTTTCAATTGTAAGCTTCATATAATTATGAATAAATCGCATTGATAAGAATAAATTTATTCGGCTACATTAAAAAAATTTCTTAAAAGTTGGCCCAAAGCAAGAGCAATTTAAAAACGGCTTGTAAATTTAATTAAAGCCAAAAAATATCTATCATCATCTTTCATAATTAATTTTATAAAATAAAAATTAAAAAGATAAAGATAATAATAAAGACAATTTTCAGAGTGTGGCATTGGGCCGAGAAATTTGATTGTGCATATTCTCCCTGCTGAACTTTCCCCAAAAGACACTCCTCCGCCCACCGTTTAGTTAACAAACAACGAAAGATACTAGTTGTTTTACTTATGGCTACAGCCGTAGTTGGGTCGCAATTGAAAGCGATCAGCTTCAGGGCCTCCTGGCCCAAGGACATTCGAATCAATCAACTCTGTCCGTGCGACATTGCGCTTGTACAACGAGCATATTGATTTTGTGCCAATCGGGTTTGTGCACTCTGCAGCGAACTGAAGTCACAGGGGGGAGGTTCCATTTTCCGTTTTTCCCTTGGGTGGGAAACGAATTTAATGTCAGGTGCTGTGTGAAGTTTAAGGGCTAACAACTCGGAACACAAAGATATACAATTCCAGATAAAACACTTTAAACAACTTGAACAACTCCTCTAAACAAACGCAACTAAGATGGAGGATATATCACATGAGGAGCAAGCCCTGATCTGGGACACCTTCCGCATCTTGGACAAGGAGAACGAGGGCGCCATCACCTCCAAGGAGCTGGCGGTGGTGATTCGCGCCCTTGGTCGCCAGCCCAACGACGCGGAGGTTCAGTCCATGATCAATGAGATCGACTCGGATGGAAATGGCTCCATCGAGGGTCGGGAGTTCGGCAACATTATCCTGCGCAAGATGCGTGATACAGGCCACGAGGACGAACTGCGCGAAGCTTTCCGCATTTTTGACAAGGAAAACAACGGCTATATTACCACCACCGAGTTGAAAAATGTGTTTTCCGCCCTGGGCGTTAAGCTCGGCGATGAAGAGTTGGAAGAAATGATACGCGAGTACGATCTGGATCAAGACAATCACCTCAATTACGAGGAGTTTGTTAACATGATGACCGCGCGATAGTCCCTCTGTGAGTATGAAAGAGGGTTAATGATTTAGAAAAGTTCCAAAAACATAAAAATTTTACTTATTAATGTTTTCATTTATCTTCTGCAGACAATAATGGAACCTTTGATTTTTTTGTCATTTTATATTTATGCCTTATTCTAGAAGGAGTTGACACCGAAACTAACCAGAAACTAAACAGTTCCAAAAAGTTAAAAAAAAAAATATATTTATTTATTTTGGCCAGTATGGGCACTTTGACCGATGCCCAGATCGAAGAGATCCGGACAGCTTTCCATCTTTATGACACCGAAAAGTCAGGATTTGTGAACGTTAGGCAGCTCGGAGGAGTTATGCGGGCCCTTGGCGAGATCCTTACCGAGGCGGAGATATACAACCTGGCCAACGAAACTGATATGGACTTTGGTGGCCAGGTGCAATTCAAGGACTTCCTGTACGTGATGTCCAAAAGACTGGAGGAGCAGAACAGCCTTGTGTCCCTGAAGCAGGCCTTCAAGATCTTCGATCGCAACGAAGTGAACAGTTTTACGATAACGGACATCAGGGCGGTGATGACCAATCTGGGCGAGAAAATGTCTGATAGCGACCTGCTCGAGATGTTCCAGGACATTGATCTGGATAAAGATGGAAAAATCTCATTCAACGAATTTGTTGCTGCCATGCGAAGCTGAAATAGGAATTCCAAATTGAAAGCACCAAATAAACACGAACCCCTTCCAAAATAATAGAAAACTAAGGCCAAACCCAGTAGCGTTTTTCCTATGGTTCGGAACCACTTTGAATTCCCCCCGAATTCCTTTGGGTCAGTCGGGGCAGCGCCAGAAAGTCGGCAGTAAAACCTTGTCCCAAGAATTCGGATTGTATGTGTCCATGTGGCTGGGCGCGTGACTCCGAAATGGGCGAAATGGTCGCATGTGCCTAATGGCCGCCGGGGAGTGCCAGGATATTCGAAAGGGTGACGGCGATGGGGCCAGGCAATCATAAAAACGGGCCACGCTGATTACGATGCCAATTTAAATATTTGACCAGGCACCGCACTCGCTATTTACCCTTTCGTCTGGCGAGGCTTAGCATAGAGTGTTGACTCATTTGGCAACTTAATAAGCACGTCGTGCTAATAATATATTCTCCATTGACTAATTTTCATATCACCTTATCTTAACTAATATACAACCTTTCCACTAATCCAGTTCTAATTAGAAAACATTTGTAGATCATTCTTATGTTATATGTTTCTAGGTATTATGTTATCTTTAAAAATAAATTATTATTACAGAATGTATCTTTATTATAAGGTAATAATATTAATACGAGGACGGAAGAACTTCGATTTTAAACCCCCCAAATACAAAAAAAAAAAATAAAAAAAAAAAAAAAAAATAAAAAAAAAAAAAAAAATTTAATAAAAAAAAAAAAAAAAAAAAAAAAATTTTACCCCCCTTTTTTTTTTTGGGAAAAAAATAAAAAAAAACCCCCAACCCGCCCCTTAACAAAGAAAAAAAAAAAAAAAAAAAAAAAAAAAAAAATAAAAAAAAAAAAAATTATATATAAAAAAAAAAAAAAAAAAAAAAAAAAAAAAAAAAATTATTTTATCTTTTTTTTGGTGGAGAAAAAAAAAAAAAAAAAGGGAAAGGCCCCCCTTAAAAAATAAAAAGAAAAAAAAAAAAAAAAAAAAAAAAAAAAAAAAAAAAAAAAAAAAAAAAAAATATTTAATAAAAAAAAAAATAAAATTTTATTATTAAAGAAAAAGAAAAAAAAAAAAGAAAGGAGGGGTTAAAAAATAAATATAAAAAAAAATTTTAAAAAAAAAAAAAAAAATTAAAAAGGAAAATTTAAAAAAAAAAAAAAAAAAAAGAAAAAAAAAAAAAAAAAAAAAAAAAAAAGAAAAAACCAACAAAAAAAAAAAAATAAAAAATATAGGGGGGAAAAAAAAAAAAAAAAAAAAAGTTAGTAAAAGGTCCCTTCTGATTTGAGCCAAGAGGTTATTTTTGTTAATGTCATTACTTATATCTATACCAATTCAGAATTAGGTAAACTCTGAAACAGGAAACTACAAAAACATACTTACATTATATCCTAAAAAACACTAACGATAAGCAACCAAAAAAAACTAAGAAAGAAAAAACAAAAATGAAACAAACAACATATACCCTGACAGCTGACCAGATTGTGGAGATCCACGAAGCTTTTGAGATTTGCGATCCCCAAAAGACTGGAATCATCCATTCGAAGGATTTGGGAACTGTGCGATGGAAGTGCGTTCATTAGCAGTGGAGAGCTGCGCAACATTTTTGCCAACCTCGGGGAAAGGATGTCCGATAAAGAGTTCGAAGAAATGTTTCGCGAGGTTGACATTGATGGAGATGGTTACATAAGCTGGAGAGATTTCAACATGCGGTTAAGCGGACGTAAATAACAGTATTCGATATTTATTTTAAAGGCCTACTGAGATTTGTTCAATTTGATGATGAAAAACTTTACTGATTTGTGCACTTTATAGACCAAAAAGTCCAAACATTTAAATTGTTTGGAGATTTGTTGAAACCATTTGCTTTGTGGACAAGAGAAAAAGAGTGCCATCTTGTATAAATATACTAGTATTTCTCAATCAACAATTTCATGTAACAGGGTTCAGCTAAAATAGTCAAAATGAGTATAAAATGTAAAAGAGTAGCCTTTGAAATAAACTTTCGTGTGAGCGTTTTTAAAGCTAAAGTCACGCTGCTAACAAGTCAGTACAACCCTAACACTGAAACTGAATGCAACAAAGAATGTAGAATATTCTTCTGATAATAAATTCTGATTCGAAGCAGCTCAAAAAGTCTTACACCGACATGGATCCACCCGAATATACTCTGTCCACAGACGATCTTAAGGAGATTCGTGAAGCATTCGCCCTTTGTGATCCCCAAAATACTGGAAGAATCAGCCCAGAAGATTTGGGAGCTGTGATGCGAGCTCTAGGGCAAAATCACACCGAATCTGAAATTTACAGATATTCCGAGGCGCTCGAAGGAAATTTCTTTGGTTTCATAACACTTGAAGATTTTATCGAATTAATGACCAAAATCTACAAAATGATGGAACATGTTGATCATTTAAAGGCAGCATTTAATATCTTTGATTACGATAAAGATGGGTATATATCACATAGCGAGATGCGCACCGTTTTCACCAATCTTGGTCAAAAAATGACTGATGAAGAGTTTGATGATGTGTATCGTCAGATTGATGTGGATGGAGATGGCGTCATTACCTGGAAAGATTTTTATACCGCCTATAGATCCTAGTCTAGGCATTAATTCTCGTATAAATAACTTTAATATAATTTTACAATGAATTAAATAAAATTTCAGGAAACCAAATCCTAATAATGTTATTAATAAGTTGAAAGTGGCTTTAAAAAATTCTGGGAATTTGTAAAAGTCTGTTCTCATACTTTTTTTACACTAAAATAATTTTGCAATTTGTGAGACAGATGTATTCAATACAAGCTAATTTATCAGAATTCTCTAGTATAAAGACGGCCTTGAACTCAGATATTTATAAAAATGTCGAGTGTCATTAGATAAAATAACACATAGATCATTATTACCCCAAAGCTGAAACCTACAGCACACACTAAAAACTACAAAAATACTGTACAAAAAAAAACAAATAAAAATATTATAAACTTAAAACATGGAAGACACAAAAGAGGAGGAAATAACCGTTCACCCTCTGACCGAGGATCAGGTCACAGAAATCTGCGAAATCTTTGCGCTCTATGTAACCGAAACGCCTGGAATGATTAGCCAATGTCATCTTGGCGAGGTGATGTACCAACTGGGAGTAATTCGCACAGAGTCCGAGATCAATTGCATGTTCCAGGAATTTGAATTGGAATTCAGCGAGATGGTCACTTTAGATCAGTTCCTCAAAGTAATGACCAAGGTCTACCAGCAGATATACGACAAGGATTCCCTAAAAGCGGCCTTCGACGCATTTCGATGAAACCAAAAATAATCTAATACACGGCAACGATTTACGTCACGTTGCCCTGTCTATGGGGGTAAAGTTTACCGATCTGGAGTTCGAAGAAATGTTCAAGCAGATCGATTTTGATGGGGATGGAAAAATTGGCTGGGCTGATTTTCTTAAAGCTGTTACTAAGCCCTGAATTTGTTACAAAAGTAGTTCAATAAAATACGTACATAACCTTTATTATCTTTTCTTATTTTTTGTAGTATTGAAACTAAAACAAAATATAGCACATTGTTTTTATTAACAGAAGAAATTAAATGAAAACAAGAGAGAACGCTATAGTCGGGTTCGTGTCCCGACTATCTAATACCCGTCACTCAGCTAAAGGGAGTGCGAACGCTGTGTCGGGTTGGTGTCCCGACTAATAATCGTAACTAGTAAAGGGAGTGCAGAGGGAGATAGATATATGTTGACAACTTTATAAAGCGTATAACTTTTTAATGAATGGTCCGATTTGAAAAATGTCTTCTACATTTCGATAGGTATAAATATACACAACAAAATTGCATTTTTACTTTTCGGAAATCTTTAAAGATGTGGGGCAGGACCCATTTTAAAATCGTATAGTGGGCGATGGTGGGCGTTAGAGGGGGCGTGGCGCTCGGCTAAAATAAACTTGCGCTGCGTAGGAAGCCAAAGAATATGCATGGGAAATTCCAACCTTCTAGCTTTTGTTGTTTCTGAGATCTCAGCGTTCATACAGAGACGGACAGACGGACAGACGGACAGACGGACAGACGGACAGACGGACATGGCTAGATCGACTCGGCTAGTGACCCTGATCAAGAATATATATACTTTATGGGGTCGGAAACGCTTCCTTCTAGCTGTTACATACTTTTGCACGAATCTAGTATACCCTTTACTCTACGAGTAACGGGTATAAATATGCTTGGCCATAGTTATACCCGTTACTCGTAGAGTAAAAGGGTATATTGTATTCGTGCAAAAGATGTAACTGGGAGAAGGAGGCGTTTCCTACCCTAAATATATTTGATTGACAGATCGATTAGCCGAGTCGATCTAGCCATGTCCGTCTGTCTTGTCCGTCTGTCCGTCTGTCCGTCTGTCTGGGTATGAACGCTGAGATCTCGGAATATAAAGCTAGAAGATTGGCATTTTGCATGCAGATTCTAGGAGTTCCTACGCAGCGCAAGTTTTTCAAAATGGTGCCACCCCCTCTAACGCCCACAATCGCTTATATACGATTTTAAAAATTTTAATATTTTGGAAAAGTAAAAATGCAGTTTTATTGTGGTTATCAATACCTATCGAAATGTAGAAGAAATTTTTTAAATCGGACCATTCGTTAAAAAGTTATGCGTGATCAAAGTTTTCTATCTCTATCTCCATCCCCCTCGCACTCCCTTTACCTGAGTAACGGGTATCTGATAGTCGGGGCACCCGACTATAACGTTCTCTCTTGTTTTTACACTATTTTTGCCATAAAGTGCTTTAATTAATACAGAAAATAGGGCAACGTTTCGTTAAGTTTGTCAGTAAGTTGCTCTCGACTTGGAGGCCATCTTTGCCATCGCCCTCGCACTCATACTCATGTTTATCAAATGTCAAGAGGTCAGCCATACTTTCCCAGAACGTCACATGGATAATTTAAAAAGATTATCGTCCAACAACAGTTTAATTGTATTATTCTGCAAGTAAGTGGGTGGCGGTGCGACATTGAGGTGAAGGCTGTCAAAGCTATATGGCAATCGATAGAGCTCGTTTAGATACTCCTCACACATTCTCATATTCACACAGGTAAATATGAAATACGGGTAATCGCTGCACAAACGCATTGATAAAGTTTGCGGTCATCGGTGCAATTTAAGTCATTGATTAGTCCATCCATTAAAAGAGTTGACACAAATCGTCACAAATAGGGCGGCATCAATATTTTAAGATACTCGGAATGCTCCAGAATAATGCTATAATTGGCTTATCAATTTTCGAATTACGTTTCTGCTTGAATTATGAAGCAGTTTTGTCTGCCCCATAGTTTTGAAAACAACTTAAAGGTCGTATTTTATTTAATCGCAGCACATGTTTTATTCCCACGAATCGAGAACTTAGCAATTTAAAAATTGTAGGGTGGGTTTTCAACCATATTTGTGTGTATAAATATGACCCATAACAAATAGGATGCACTTACTTTTTGAAAAGGTAGCTTTTTAATTAACAGTTGTAATATACCCTTTTCTTACATGTATAGCTTTGCAGTTCTCTCAGAAATTTAGTTTGCATGGTTAATGGGAAATTCCATTGTATCGGGGACCTCATAGACACCACATTTTTCCTGAACACATTGTGGAAGTCGTCGAAATGCATCATGTGTTGGCAGTTGAACACTCAATCACTTTAATTGTAAGACAATATGCTTGCTTACATCAGTATAAAGTGGAAATTGAATTGAACACATAAGCGTAATTCGAGTTAGTTATACATACTATCGGTAGTAGGGCAGGAAAACCAGTTTAGTGAAAAATGCATTGTAAATTACTCACAGAAAACAATGCAATAGGTGTTGTTGCAATTGTAGAAACGGGTTTTTACCAAAAATTACTTAAAAAGCGAGTAACCCCTTTACAATGTATTCCGATTTTTAGAAGATAAGTTGATCCCTATCACAACAGGGGTATTATTCATTAATGCTTCCGTTATCTCTGTTTGTCGTGATACCGAAATTGTACGTTTCTGTTTATCTGACTTAGATAACAGCTAGTTGTAAACTTCAAAGTCAAGACTCTCTTTTTTAGGGTTCCATTAAATCTATTTCTTTTTATATGCGTACACTCAAAATAAATTTAACCCTAAATTTTAGAAAATCGCCCTAAAATTTCTTTTTTCTAAATACAAGAAAGTTATTTCTAAATCTAAGGAAATTTTTCTAAAATCAAGAAAGTTTTTCTCAAATCTAGGAAGTTTTTCTTAAATGTAGAAAATTGTTACCATGAACTAAAATCACCCTAAAATCTAGAAAAAGGCCCTATAATTAGAAATTATTTTCTGAAAAATAGAAAGGCAAACGAAAATAATAAAATTTTTCTAAAAATTAGTGCCCTAACCCTAAAATGAAACCAACCCTAAATAATAGAAACATTTTCTAAAAAGTAGAAATTTTTTTAAAAAATAGAAATATTTGTTTTCACATGCTCTGGCACACCAAAATGTTCAATGCCAGAACTTGTCAACTGCCGGCCGGCTGTTCCCGTGGCGCAGACGGTTAAAGCACTTGGTTAGCAATCGAATCGACGCGGGTTCGAGTCCCAGAGCAATTTTTTTACCTTTTTTTAATTTTTTTTTTAATGTTATTTTATTTTTCTTTTTATTTATTTTTTTACTTTTTTTATTCTTTTTTTATTGATGGCAAGCGGTGAACTGAAAATAATTAGGTTTATATTCAGCTATTTACTATATACTACACATAATATAAATTGCGTTAGCATAAATATATACATATGTATATACGTATGTAAATAAGTAAAACGCGAATGGTCAAAATTATGCAATTAGTATTCAAATGTATTCTCCGCTTGACCCTTTACATACAATGCTCGGTTTGCCACAACAAATTTATGTGCTACAATGGCCCAGTATGTAGGCCGTTCGCTCCTCGCGCGGAAGACCCGGGTTCGATTCTCACGACGGACAAGTAAAAATTGTAAGTTTTTTTCATGAAGATAAAATATTAACTAATCATAATTTATACATTCCCCCATTCCCCCGCAGTCCCGTAGTCCACATTTACAACCACATTTGGCTTTGGTTACATAAGAAATCCAAGTGCAAATACATAATAATAAATACATAACCTTTAACATTCACAATATACAAGACACACAACGCCTGCATATGTACATAGGGAGGAGTACATAATATAAACGTATATACAAAAAAATCATGATTGAACATGTTTTTTGTTTTGTTTTTAATTTCTATTTTTAGGAAAATTTCCTACTTTTTAGAAATTTTTGCCCTTAAATTTAGTAAAATTACCCTAAAATTTAGAAATATGACGTCAAAAAAATCAAAAATATAGAAAAATGTGACCCTAAAATTTAGGGCTAGCTTGTCTTGAAGACAAAAGTAGGGCGATTTCCTTGACTTTAGGGTTAATTTTATTTTGAGTGTACGTGATGCGAAAGGAACAACCCACCCACAACGGGCCAATTTAAAGTGATGAATTATGGCCAACTGGCTATATACATAAGTTTAAACCTCTCCCTGAACCGCAAGAAATCCCCCAGCAGCGGAAGTCTCTGAGCAGTGGTTAACCGCAGTCCCCTCGAGTTACCCAATAACTCAACGGACTTTGCAACCTGACTCCGGCCGGAATATAATTAGTGTAAACAGTAAACGCTTTGGCATGCGAAACGTAAACAGAACCAGCGCTGGCCATGGATTTGTGTTTGCCACCATGGCCAAAAGTGTTCCGAAATGAACCTGAACCTGGTCAACATCCGCCCTTCTTCCTTCTCCTCCCCTCCCAGACACTTGTGTGAGTGATGCTGATGACTTTCGGTTTACTGCCGGCCTGTTTGTCTTGGCCAAGTGCGCTAGACTGCCTGGCGTATCTAGCTCTCGGCCATCAGGACGTGCTTCAATTTGGCTAAGAGCACCGAAGTGAGCAGAAAATAAGCCACATGTGTGGGCGTGGTTGGGGCGGAGCATAGTTCAAGGCCAAGTTTGATGCCAAAAGCCAGACGCTGCCAAAAGCAATTGCCAGAAAATGTTGTGGATTTAGGGCCGTCCATCAGCATTTAACTGTCTGCTGATAGTGAAAACTATGAATCATACATGTGACCCGCTTCATAAATCAATTAGGTTCGCATTTGTTTTTTCCCGAGCTCCACACCCTGGTGATAAGTTCAAGCGCTTGAAATCGAAGAAACCGTGCTCTGGGGTTTGTGTTTTCCCTATTTATCTGTGACAGTTTTAACGCGCCAGCGCCAGATACGAATAGATTATTGTTATTTAATACCCTTATCTAGGTCATTCAATCGAATTTGGGCCGCAGTGTCCATATCAGTGGTTGGCGTCGGCACTCAAAGACCCCCAAAAATTGTGACTCAACTCACCTGAAACTCTTTGAACTGCTGGTGCGTCTGTACGACGATGTTCTTGAATGAATCGTTCGGCTCGCCGGCCGGTCCGAATGCGATAAACACGATCGTGGCGATTATCACTCCGATCAGTAGCAGGATCAGGTGTTTCGTGCGCATGGCCGCTAAAATTGACTTCGATTTCGCCTTGTAGCCAATTTTGCGGGCAAAGATGCGCTTCAGGGTGAGTGAGGCCTCCAGTCTGAAGGCTTTCTGGCTTCCCTTTTAGCCAAGTGGCAAAGTTTGTCTAGTCCGTTGTTGTTGGCATTAAATCATCATTAAATCACGCTAAATTCTAGCTTGCATTGCAATTTAGTTATTGAGCATTTATTTGTTTATTTCGTCTTCTTCATTATGGATGTGGTTTTCCGTTGTCAACATAATTTTTCGACCTGTTAATGAAAAAAGAAAGCAAGCAGCGTTAAATTTTTAGGTTTCTTTCGTGACATTGAAATGTTTTTGCCTCGGTCTTGGGTATTTTAAATAAATACAAATTTATCGTGCACGCTCCCAGATTGTGTAAATAAACTATTGATTTATTTATACCGAACTATAAACAAATTTCTTCTCTTAAAGAAAAAATGCCTACAGCCGTTTGTTTGTAGGTAATTAAATTTAGTTGTTTATCCCTAAGTCCCAATGGTTTAATAACGAAATCTTTAGCTCTACAAAAGACTTCACTGATACGAATAGACTTTTTTGATTACTTTAGCAGATTATGTTTTTTTTCTGTTTCAAATGAGTAACCATAAAACGTTCCTAAAAATTGAACAAAATGGGTTACATCTATTGTTTTTTGCTGTTATTTATTGCTTACTATATATTAGACATCTGCATGAATAACAAAAAATACATATTCGAATTGACAATGTTCGAAATGAGTTGAATGAGTTGGAATGTGTAGGGAAACTGGCTTGAATAAATAAGTGTACTGACGTAAAATTCAGTCGAACCAGAAATGGTGATGGAAAACGAATCGAGTAAATGTGTACACGAACAACTCAAACGAATTTATGTCGAATCCATTCGAGTTCTTACATGACGTCATAAGGGCAAAATGGAAAATTAAATTTGTTTTGAAATACATACATAAATATTTGGCTTTATGTCTTTTTTTTTTAAATTACAAATCTACCTTTAGTTTTAGCTCGCCACTGAATCCAACCATACCATTTTTATATTTAAATCCTAAGAATTCGCGGACCAAGGAGGAGAAGTATAAAATAGGGTAGTGAAGAGGCAGAAAGGAATGGTCTTCCTTCTACCGCAAATCCTAAGAATTCGCGGACCAAGGAGGAGAAGTACAAAATAGTGTAGTGAAGAGGCAGAATGGAATGGTCTTCCTTGGACCGCAACTTCTTAAGAATTTATCTAACAAACTCCAGGATGACTATACTAAGAAGTCTCGGTCCAAGGAAGACCATTCCTTTCTTTATCTGTGGCGATGGAGGCGGATCTTTTGGTTCTGAGATATGTTCATAAAACTAATTTTTTCCATATTTTTTTTGAGTTCTCGTGGATTTTTGCATGTGTTTTGAGTTTAAACTAAGGGGAGCTTGGTAATTTCGAAAATAAGAAATCACAAAAATACTTATTTATAGACATACATATATGTATATCAAAACAAATTTAATTTTATATTTTGCCCTTATGACGTCATATAAGAAAATCGAATGGATTCGAATAACTCGAATGATTTCAGCCTATTCAAATATGACATTCTGGTTTTCGTTATCACTCGTTTAACTCTAGGCCTTTTCTGTCATACTCTATACGAACCAAGATGGAATCCATTCTAGTCATAGTGTGCTGAGCATTTACTCAACTCTATTCTATTCGAATGGAATCATTTCAAAGCCTGTTTGATTCCAGTCATGCAGATGTCTACTATATATCCTTGCTGTACAATTATGAAAAGGAATTTTTGGAGCTTAACGAATAATTAGACACTTGCTGATTGCGGTTTTTTATAGAACTTGCTTAAACTTTGGGTTTTTGGCATTGCGATTAGTTAGTAGTAGAGATTAAGAGCAGAAACCACCATTACACTGAAAAAAAATGTTAAAATGGCTCCCGGAAAGCAATTTTCTGTGAAACTTCGTCAGTTAATTGGAAAACTCAATTTCGAACGGAAAACTGTACGGAAATTCACTGGATTGGTTGGAGAAGTCAAGTCTACTGCCCAGGAAATTACTAAGAGGTTCCGGGATAAATTTTGATTTGACAATAAAGTAGGGGAAGGCCAAAACAAAATAGTAATAGTAGTAAAGAAATCCATAGCTCTACAAAAGACTTCACTGATACGAATAGAATTTTTTGATTGCTTTAGCAGATTGTTTTTTTATTTGTTTGAAATGAGTAACCATTTTGATGTACATATTACATATATGACTAACTTTTTTTGTTTATAAGTTATTTCTAAGAACTTTATAAATCATTTTATTTTATTTGTTTTTACTAAAACATGACTATAATACAAAATAAGACATTTAAGAAGCATAAGAAACTGTATGCATCCTTGCAAAACAGAAATGATATCCAAACCCAACCTAATTTAAATGGAAAAGATTTCTGTAAGATCCCCGAAAGAAAGTCATAAAAGAACAAGTTTTAGATGTTAGTTATCTTTAAAATGCAAAAATAAAAAATAATTAAAATCATGCTTCCTTATCAACCATTTTCATTAAAAAAACATTTTTATAAATATTAAAATTAAAATAAAAAAACTAATTTTTGTAATTACATTTATATGGGCGTGCCACAGAAATCGCAGAGCGTTGAATGGAGTGTTTTTGAAATGTGCATCAATACGTTTTATTCGTATTATTAATATAATTTCTGTGAAGTTAATAATTGTATTTAAGAAACGCCATAATGCAAATTGAACCGTTTTACTTCATCCCAATTTGACTGATTTTGATCACTTGAGACCGAAAATTAACCCAGATAATTTAATACCCCTGATCTGAGGTAGGGGCATTCGGCAGCACCCCCAAAGCAGAAGCCGCGTGTTCCCCTTGATGGGGTTAATTTCCTGGCGCCGGGCCAAAATGCGAGATGACGAGTGCAAGGTGAGGGCAATATAGCGACAAATACACATGTATGGGTATGTAACGATGTGACAATGATGTGTAATGTGCGTCGACTTACGCTTTTTTTATGCGGCGCTTAACAAAGGGCAGCGGCTATTCGCAGTTACTTTTGTTGTTCGCCGCGTGCAGCTGTTGTTGCTGGAGGAGATTGGGGTGTAGAAATGAAGAAGGCCGAGAAATTACCGGCGCAGCCTCCATTAAACTTTTCTGATAAGCTCACTCGACACACACACACTGGCACCAGCGACTTGTTGTTGGCCCAATACTTTTACATAATTTACAGTTTCTGCGGCTTGCGGATTGCACTTTCAGTTTCGTATTCGCAACGGTAAATAATATATGCGGATCCCGACGAGCGGCGCGGCGAGCAAACAAAACACTTGAATTCGCAGTTCAAGAGGCTTCTTCAGCGCTAGCTATTAATGGCCTGCGCTGCGCATTCACTATGCACCTGCTGCGGAAAGCGGAGGACTCAGTTCACAGGGCCTATAATTTAAAATGCGGAATAGCTAAAACTGCTCTAGAATCGGAAACGCCGTGCGCGCTTTGAAACGCTGCTGAAAGTTTTTTTATGCAAATTCGATGGGCGATAGAGGTGGGGGAGCACCAATCATCGATGCATCGATGTTTTTAAATCTTTCGATGTTTAATGAGGACTATCGATGTTTCCGCTATGTCAGGTAGGTGTCTTTGCTAAAACAACTATTAGGAAATCGGAGTTTCTTTATAATCCTGTTAGATTTATAACATCTCCTATTGGTTACAATATTCTCTAAAAAACCGAAACTAGATTAGGTCTAAATCTAACTGGAAATCGTATTACAGAAAAACGATTTCATAAAAGAATCGATTAATCGAGTGGTTTAAAGCTCCACTAAATGAAATTGCTTAGTGATGTAATGTTGTGATGTAGATTGTACATTTATTCATTATTTGTTTGAACGAAACAATAATAAATATAATATTAATAATAATAATAATAAATATAATGTTGTCTATAAAAGAAAAACTTGATCAAAGCTTGGGACTGCTGAAAAAATATGACTGGTTGTTGAATGCCTATATTCTGGTTAGTACTTGCAATTCATATAATTATAGCTAATAAGATTGTTAATGATAGGACTTTTTTCTGGACGACCATTGGAGTAAGCTTCCTGAAAACTGGCAGCAACGCTTGGAAAACATTCCTTTGGAACACCTAGCAGATCTGCTCGAGGAGCATGATCACCAGCTGAACTGGCCAGTGGATCTAATGGACCTGAAGCAGGAGCTGCATAAACTTTACATTGGCCGTGCGCCCAGGAACAATGTCGAAGTTGGTAAAATGCCGTAGATTTCTGAACCAGTTTCAGTTACATTTGTGTTAATATCTTTTCCCCTGCAGAACTCCTTTCCCTGCCCACTCCTGGACCATCCCAAGCTGAAGTACATGTTCCTCAAAAGGGTGAAACCAAAAAAGCATCATGAGGTCACTCGAATGGCGGAGATTTGTGCCCTCAGCCATCGGCAGACACCTGTTGATTTCATTGTCGATTTTGGAGCCGGTGTGGGTCACCTGGCACGCATCCTGGGCTACGGATATGGTCTGCAAGTGTGCTGCTTTGAGATGCAACCCGATCTCAACCAGCAGGCGAGCGAAATCGATCTGAAACTGGAGTCCATGGCAGCAAAACACCTGTCGCAGAAGGAGTCCGAGCACTTCCATCGACCTGTGCATCTCACACAGCGCTTGGAAAGCGGCACCCAGCCATCGCAGTTCCTCGCCAGCATCCGGGAGGCCCTGCAGCTGGAGGACGACCAGTTTCGCTTCGGAATCGTAGGCCTGCATCCGTGTGGCAATCTGGGACCCACGTTGATGCGCATGTTCCTCGGCTGCCCGCAGGCCAAGTTCCTCAACTTTGTGGGCTGTTGCTACCAGAAGATGACCACGCAGGCCACGCATCCCAGGGAGCAGGTGCATGGCTACCCGCTGAGCAGATTCTTCAGCGAAAAACCGGAATGCCAGCTCAGTTACGAGGCCCGCGAGATCTCCTGCCACGCCATGGAGGTGTATCACGATCGTCTGCGGGCTGGGGACTACGAACACCTGCGAATACACTCCCTAAGGGCCGCCGCCGAGCGAATCATTGTCCAGCAGTTTCCAGGCCTTCGGCATTGTGCTCTGCGCAATGTGAAGCACTCACCGGGCATGACGTTCCACCAGTAAGTTAGTCCCATTGCCAAGACAACTGTAGGTTAACATATTGTGCAGATATTTCCAGAAAGCCGTACAGGGAACTCGCTTCGAGGCTCTGGACAGCCGGCTTCTGAGTAGCGAGCAGACGGAAATAGACCTGGCCAACTGGCAGCGGATAATTTCCTTCTACACACTTCGATTAATGATGGCTCCGCTGGTGGAGAGCATTATTCTCTACGATCGCTGCCTGTTCCTCATGGAAAACGGTATAGATCGACATTCAAAGTACTTAACCAGTATTAAAAAACACTTTCTTGCAGACTGTCAAGTGCGGATTGAGGCCATATTCGATCCCCGCCTCTCACCTAGAAACCACATCACCAGGGCAGTGAAACCCTAACACAGATAGAGTGGAATTACCCTAATCTGACCATAAATCTCACAAAAGTGCCCAATCCCGTCTGATTCTTATCGTTAAGTGGTTATGTTGGTTTTATATATGAGTTTATTTTTATATAGATAAAGATAATATCGTGACGCCGATAAAAAATGCACTTAAAGTTTGTCTAGATCGTTGGACGTTAAGAAAGGCAGGCTCTTCACTTGTAGTAGCCCTTCTCGGCCGCCGCCTCGACAATAGTGCGAATGGCGGTGAAGGCCTCGCTGGCGGTGGGCTGGATCTCCACGGCGGGCAGTATGAACAGGTCCTGGCTATCCGGAGGACCGCGCAGCTCGAAGGTGTAGGCGATGGGGATCTTGGCCTCGGAGTGCGCCCAATCCATGCTGCCGCCGCTCGACGGATAGATGGTCTCATACAGGCTGCCACTCACGTAATCCCTGCCGCTTTCCGCCTTGATCGCTGCCGAAGCCTTCTTGCCAAATTCCTGCAAATCGTCATAGTTGGACACCCGTTCCTTGGTGTAACCGTAGGGAAACATCAGCATTTGGGAGTAGGAATGCAGAGCAATGTAGGTCTTGATCTGCTCCTTAGCCGCATTTGCGCGTATAAACTCAATTAAACGCTGGGTCTCCAGTTCGCTGCCAGCGGAGGGACCTGCAAAGTCGTAGCGGGTGGGATCACTACTAGACCCGGTCGAGTTCCAGTGATCCGGATAGTTCCTGTTGAGATCCACACCGCGGCAGGTGCCGAACAACTGGCGATTCTTGCGCCACATGCGATCGTGCTCGAAGGTGTACTTGTAGCCATCGGGATTGACGCAGGGGAAGACGAACCAGTTGTAGTCCTGGGCCAGTTTCTGCACCCCCGGATCCTGGGAGGTCAGCAGCTGGTCGATAATGTACGTGGCTGCGGCTGGGGCAATCCACTCCCTGGCATGGATACCACTCTCTATGAAGATGGCCTTGTTGCTGGGGCTGCTGGACAACTTGACGCCCTTGATGGCATTCCCCTGGGTGCTGGTGCCCATGTCCAGCACGGTGACGCGCTGCGGGAACTCCTGGGCCTTTTTGTCCAGCCACTCGTAGATGGTCTTCAGGTGGAAGAAGTGCTGCCAGTCAAACTTCGAGGCATCAATGCTCTCCGGCTGAACTTCGCCCATGTTGCGGTCAATCTTCTCCTGGAAGTTGTAGGTCTAAGGGAGGGTGTTCCTGTTTAGTAAATATATTTTAAATATACTATTAATAGCAACTCACCAGCACCCGATGCTTCACTTTGTAGGTCTTGAGCAGATCGGCTATGTCAGCCACGCGATGAGCCGAAACCAGAATGGACAACTTCTGGCCAATTTCGCGGGCGTGTCCGATGAAGGTCAGGCTGTCGCTCTGCTCCTCCAGCTTCTGGAACAGTTCGATCTGCTCCTGGTTCTCGAACTCCACATTGTAGATGCGATAGTTGTCGTAGCGGGCCTGGTCCGGAGGATTTCCGCCACAGCCGGAGGCCTTAGCCACCGGGCAGGTTCCACTTTCCAGTTTAGTACTGCTCGCTGCCATCGTCACAATGAGAATGACTAACCATTGCGCTCCGATCCGCGATGTTAGCATATTTATAATATTTGTTTCTATTTTTCCGCTTTGTTGTGTGTTTGCCAGAGAGCGAGAGAACCGAGTCGCAGAGAGGTAGAGTCGCTATCAGCGAAATGCTTGCTGTTGCAGAGGGGGCGGTTTGCGGGCAGGGCCGGAAAACCATAAGTTCTAGAACAGCTGTGTGATGGCTAATCCAGGGTTTCCATTTCCAGCGAGCATATTTCGCAGACACATATGGGTTATGGCCGCCATAAACGGATTCCGCGAAAAGTACTCCATTTCCATTTTTTACAAGGTGTGTCTAGTCAGGTAATTTTCATGAATTTCTACTTTACGATTGCAAATATAGGAATTTATCAAATTACTTTAGTTTTATTTTGTGTGGTATCCATATGATTTTAAGTATGGTTTGAAATGCAGGAATTTTAGATTAATTTTTTTGGTTATGATATTAAATTAGAATAGATTTAATGAACAAAAATAAAAAAACTGCGGAAATAAAAATTAAATTTTAATTGCACATCAAGAAAGAATTGTACAAATAATTTTTAACCCTGTCAAAGCCTTAAGAATTCAAGTTTTTAAAGCCTTATTGAATCGCAGACGATTAATTTTTTAAAAATTTACACAGATTCGGCAGAAAAGATTATTAAAACCTCGAATAACTTTAATCTTTATTGTAAATGTAACATTTTTCAAGACCTGTAAAGCTGAAAAGTTCATTTTTAATTAACTGTAATATTTTTGTTTAATACAAATTAAATTATATATTGAGGATAAACTACATAGTACAAATATTAGGAATATTAGAAACCTCAAAATCTCGAAGAAATCTCTTCGAGCCAAAAATGTATTCGTGGTGTCATCATAAATAGCATTAAACTATATTTGAAACCCAAGTCAATGAAATAAAAATAACATGTATGGTTACGAATTTATTTTTGTGCAATTTCATCTAAATTAAATATCGGAAAATGGTTCGTTCTATATAGTTTATATCTACGCTTATGGCTAAGAATCGCATTATATATTTATTTTTTTGATTTTAGATTCCTTACCTCTAAATGTTTTTAAAATCGATCGATCGTAAGTTTAATAAACATGGAAATCGTTTAAAATTCGAGACAAAGGCACTACTTCTTCTTGCCCCTGCCCAAGGTGAGTGTGTGCGTACCATTGGCCAGCTGCAGCCTGCGACGCTGCAGCTCCTGGCATTCCTCCTCCAGCTGGCGACGCGCTTCCTCCAGTTGGGTCTTCTCCTCGAGGTGCTCCCGCTTCAACCGCTCGAACTTCATGTGCAGATCCTTCTCGCTGTCCTTCAGTTCGTTTTCCTTCTGCTTGACCCGCTGCACGAACATCTGGCGCACCTCCTCCTCCTTGGCCTGCAGGCAGGCCAGATGGTCGGATCGTTTGGTCTCGAAGGTCTGCTGGAAGGACACCGGCTGGTTGTTGCTGTCCACGTCCACAAAGCCCATCTGCTGCAGGCGCCGCTGCCGGAAGAGCTCGTAGTGGCGTGTATGGGTCAGCTCACGCAGATCCTCCATATTCGTGCGTATGAGCATCTCGCGCAGCTTTACAAAGTCACAGTGCGCCTCGTTCTCTATGTGCACCGAACCCCAGGGATATTGGCGGGCACGGACCTGCTTTCCGGCCACCTTTACGAACTCCGTGCTGCCGACAACGGCAAAGGGCAGCTGGCCATTCATGGAGGCGTTGGTCTCGGCCACCGTTTCATCGTCCGTGGGAAACTCGTAGATGCTCACTTTGTTCCGGCGCAGTTCGTCCATTATGCGCTCCTTGAAGCCAGCCAGCTCCGACTTGGAGATGGTGTCCGCCTTGGCGATCACGGGTATGATGTTCACCCGGGTGTCCAGCTGCTTCATGCACACCAAATCCATGGCCTTCAGCCCGTGGCCAGTGGGGCAGATGAAGTACAGACAGGCGTGCACGCGACCATCGTGCGCACTGGCCATGGTGCGCTGGATCTTGAGCTCCTCCTGCAGGTACGCCTCGAACTGGCTGTCCACGTACTCCACCAGCGCCTTGTAGCTATCGCCCTTGTTCACCTGATCCCCGTAGCCGATCGTGTCGCAGACGGTGAGCTTCAGGCGGACGCTGCTCTCCTGCAGCTCGTAGGTGTTTGCCTTTAGCTTCACATTGGGCAGGTTGTGCGGACTGGGCGTGGACCCAAAGCTGGTGTTGAACAGCGTGTCCATGAGCGTCGATTTGCCGAGAGCCGTCTCCGCCGATGCACAGGATATTGAAGCTGAAACCGTTCTGGACGCTCTTGTTGACCAGTTGGTCCGGCAGGGTGTCGAACCCCACGTGACCGCCCAGCTGGAGCTGCCTCGGTGCCTTGGACGCCACCTCCTGGGTCTTCTTTTCAGTCGCTAGATGCACCATTTCGCTCTTGGTTTTGGTAAAGGAATGGTCCCGGATGGAAGTGGAAGCCCCTCTTTATACGCGGAAAACTCGAGGGTGCAGCTTGCGAAAATTCCGGCCTTTCTTTCTAATCACCCACTTGGGTTTTCCGGCATGTGGCATATAACGAGACTTTAATTCTATTCGGCCGTTTTCTACCTGTGATCTATTTTACCTGCACCCTTAATGAATTTGAATGAGATGCCGGGTCAATTGTTTATCGAGACAGTGCTGCTCGATTGCAAAATACATCTTGACTACAAATAGCTAAAAAGGTTTAGCTATAAAACAACCAAAAAAACGACGTTTTTAAGGAAGCATTTAGATTATAAGTTAAAAAATTAAGTTAGTTTATTTATAATAAAATCGTTTATAGTTTATAAATTATAAATATAAAAAGCTTTTTATTTAAGGATACACAAAATCATGTTGATCGGTAATAATCGTGCTCGTATTGTTTGTTTTCTATTATTTCCTATAAGATTATATATATTTATAAATTTATTTATTTGGTTATTTTTAATAATTCTAAGTTTTCTGAAAATTGTAAAGTTTTTTTTTTTAGTTTTTAAAATAGCTAATAATGGCTCGATAACATTCGCACTGCCAGCACTGTTTAATGAGTTATCGATTCCACTTTCAACACATGCTGATTTCCCAAAGCCGCAGAAATTTAAAGAATCCGAGGGTTTTCCGCACATTATTAACAAAAAACACTGTAGCTATCCTCGAAAGGAAACGAACAAGGTAAGGGCGAGAAAGGCAAAAAGCTGGATTTTGGGGATAAACTTGCCACAAATTTCTCAGGCCGCGGCAGCACCAACCGAGGAAAGGAGCACCGGAGAAGGGCCTCCCATAAAAAGTCAGCTTAACGGATGTGATCGAACCACAATCAAAACCCACAACATGAAGCGCCACGCCAGGAGCAGTTTGTCGCGCAGCCTGGGGAGCAGGGATCGTGGTTGCGACAACGAGAGCGATCAGTCGGGCGACTCCCCTAAACGCTCCATTTGCGTTCCTCCACCCGCTAAGAGACCAAAGCGAAGTGGAACGGTCCATAGACCATCAGAAGAAAGTAGTGATTCAAGGAGATCAGATAAGGAAAGTCCAGAGGATGGTTCCGGCTCTGGAAAACAAAAGCGCTGTGTTGTCGTGGTATCAAAGGGGCTGCACAATGAGGAAACTAAATTCGCTAAAAGTGTGATTGGTAAAGATGGAACACCGGAATTTGATCAGTTCTTAGACCTTTTAATTAGAGAGAAAAGACTAAAAGTTTTGAAAAGAAATGGCATAAACCCAGCTAATATGTCCAGTATCTTACATAGAGCGCGAGCTAATGGTGTAAAAGCTTTTAAGGAGTTATATGATCTTTGGTTCGACGCACAAGGAAGAAAAACTCAATACCTAGAAACTTTAGAAGAAAATCGAATTAATCTTTCTAGTATTTCCAGCATTTTAAGTAAGGCAGGAGCTAGTGCTGTTAAAGCTTTTAAAGAATTGTACGATCTGTGGTTTGATCAAAACGGAAAGAAAACACGGTACCTATCAAAACTAGAAGAAAGTGGAGTAGATCTAATTCGAATGTCGAGCATTTTGCATGGTGCAGGGGCCAATGCTCCTAGAGCTTTTAAAGAATTATACGATCTTTGGTTTGATCAGACCGGCAATAAAACACGATACTTAATACAACTAGAAGAAAATGGAGTAGATCTAGTACGCATGTCTAGTATCTTAAGTGGAGTAGGAGCTAATGCTGCAAGAGCTTTTCGAGAATTATACGACCTTTGGTTTGATACAGACGGCAATAAAACTCAATACCTAAAAACTGTAGAACAGGAAGGAGTCATTTTATCTAATGTCTCAAGCATTTTAGGTAAAGCGGGAGCTAATGCTGCAAGAGCCTTTAAAGAATTATACGATCTCTGGTTTGACCAGAAGGGAAAGAAAACACGATACTTAATAAAATTAGAAGAAAGTGGAGTGGATCTAGTTCGAATGTCTAGTATTTTAAGTGGAGTAGGAGCTAATGCTACAAAAGCTTTTCAAGAATTATATGACCTTTGGTTTGATGCTGACGGAAACAAAACTCAATATCTAAAAACGCTAGAAAAAAACGGAGTTAGTTTGGCGACTATGTCGAGTATTTTACATAGAGCACGAGCCAATGCAGCAAAAGCTTTTGAAGAGTTATATGACCTTTGGTTTGATAAGAACGGAAAAAAGACTAAATATTTAAAAACATTAAGAAAGAAAGGAATACATTTATCAAATATATCGAGTATTTTAGGCGGAGCTGGAGCTAATGCTGCGAAAGCCTTTAAAGAACTGTATGATCTTTGGCTTGATGCAAAAGGACATAAAACTCAATACTTGGAGCACTTTATTAAGAACGAAGATGGAGACGAAAATTTTACCGTTCACAACTTATCTGGTATGCTAAGTAGATCAGGAGGTAATGCTAAAGATGCTGTTAAAAAATTACATGATATGTGTTTTAATGAAAAAGGGGAAAGAACAAAACTTTTAGACGATTTCTATAGGGAAGGTTTTAAACCAAGCAACTTATCCTGTGTGTTAAGTGGATCAGGGGTTCAAATTTCTTCTAACTTAAAAAAGTTTCATAGTTTACTTTTTAATAAAAAAAGAGAAAAGACAAAGCTTTTAAATGATTTTTATAAGGTGGGTTTTAGGCCTTGCGATTTATGTAGTATATTAAGCGGATCAGTTGATAGCCTAAACAAATTTCACAATTTTTGTTTTACAGGAGAGACAGAAATATACTTATACCATTTTTTAAATAAAGAAGATGGTTTTAGCGCAAGTAATTTATCAGGGATATTACACGGAGCCAAAGCTAACATTTGCTCTGCTTTAAAAAATTTTCATGATGTTTGCTTTGATGAAACGGGCAACACGACGCAGCTTTTAGATGATTTTTATAAGGAAGGTTTCAGGCCAGATTATCTATCAAATGTATTGTCCCTCGCAGGAAACAATGCATCTTCTATTTTAAAAAATTTCCACACATCATGCTTTAAAGAAAATTGTTTAAATCACTTCTTCGCCGAGGAAAAACTTTTTACGCCGAAAAATTTATCAAAAAAGATATTATATGGAGTAGGGATTAATGTTCGTGCAGTTTTTAAGAAGTTATATGATCTTTGTTTTGATAAGGCCGGAAATAAAACAGAATATTTAAACAATCTTATAAAAGGTAGTCGGAGGGAGGTATTTAGTAAATTACATGAAAAAGTTAGAGGATGATATTTCGCTTATATAACACAATATTAGTGGAATACGGAATATTGATCTCAGAGGTTGATGCTAAAGATGCTGAAAAGGGTTTTATTATTTAATTTTAAAATTATATATAATACTTCTTAACACTATGTAATTTGTTTAATTTGTTACTACGATAGAAAAATTAAATTTACAAAAATTTTTAATTAGTTTGCAGGTACCAAATAAGTAATTTAATTATTGTAGGAGGAAATGTATATGTTAAACGAATGTTAATAAATTTTCACATTCTACCACTTTAAAAAGTACGAATTATTACTGTGATATATTACCTCTATCAAAAAGTATCTCAAACACAAGTTCTAAAGTTCTATTGACTATTTTCTGATAATTTATAGCCGTGAAAATAGCCAACAATGGTTCGATAACGTTCGCGCTGTCAGCACTATCGTGCGCGACGGCTGGCTATCGATAACCGCATTCCACTTTCAACGCATACAGAATTTGCAAAGCCGCAGAAAATTGAAAAATCCGAGGATTATTCGCGATTTATAGCAAAAAGAGCACTATATATATCCTCCGAAGGAAGCGAAGGAGGTAAGGACACCAAAAGCGAAACGAATTCCGGTAGTTTTGGAGCACTTTTCGCTTAGAGCGGTTTTCTTTGTCGTCGGGGCGCCGCCATTTTCTTTTTGCTCGGCCGCCGCTTGTCTGCCTGTTTTTTTTCACCAGTACTTTCACAAGGCACTCACATCTCGATTTGTCCGCAGATTCCGCACCGGAACCAAATTGCCCGAAACTTCTCAGGCAGCACCAACAGAGCAAGGAAAAAGCACCGGAAGAGCCGCCCATGAGTAGTCATCGAGACGGAGCCGGAGCCGATCGAATCACAATCAAAATCCACAACATGAAGCGCAGCGCCTCGCGCTCCCCGGGTCCGGCCTCCAGGAGCAGTTTGTCGCGCAATTCGCGGAGCATGGGTCGTGGCTACGACAACGGCAGCGGTGTGCCGGGCGACTCCCCGGAGCGCCTGTCGCCGGAGCGGATGCGTCGCCGCCTGGACCGATCCCCGAGTCCACGTGGCCGCTACGGCTCGCCGCATCGGGAGCCCTACATGCGTGGTCCGCCGCCCGCCGAGCGCCCGGCTGCCTACAAGGTCCTGTGCGTCAGCGCCCTGCCGCCCAAGGCTCCGGACGATTTCATCGAGGAGACCCTTTACCGCGAGTACAAGAAGTTCGGCGACTTCAGCGTGCGACTGGCTCACGATCTGGATGAAAGGGTGGCCTACGTTTGCTTCCGGACGCCAGAGGATGCGCGCGAGGCCAAGCACCACAAGCCGCGCCTCATCATCTACGACAAGATGGCCATTGTGGAGCCGGTGTACAAGTCCACCACCAGGCCGGAGTATAGGTGGGATTTATCTTGATACTTTCGGTTGAAGGTGTAGTTTAACTTTCTTATTTAACATAGCAGACCCCGTGGTCACTCCATGTCGCCGCCGGACTACGAGCGCTACCACTACTCACGCTCACCCATGGGCCAGGGTGTTCCTCTGGACCACCGCCGGCCTCCGCTTGATCCCTACGACCGCTACGGTCCTCCCCACATGCATCCCCATGCTGTGCATCCGCGGGACTACCGGCCCATGCACCACGAATATCCCCATCCGCCACGCGGACCACCTCTGCATCGCGGCGGCCATCCACATCACATCCATGGCCATGCACCTCCGCATCAGTACGCTCCAATGAGGCCACTGGCACCACGTCCACATGCGCCGTACGAAAAGCCCGAGAGCAAAAAGGACAAGTTTCCCAACTACTTGCATCACGTGCAGCCCGAGGATGATCCCCTGTCCACGCGCACCCTGTTCGCTGGCAATCTGGAGGTGACCATCGCCGATGACGAGCTGCGTCGCATCTTCGGCAAGTACGGAGTAGTGGATGACATTGACATCAAACGACCACCGCCGGGCACGGGCAATGCTTTCGCGTTTGTGCGCTACCAGAATCTGGACATGGCTCACCGGGCGAAGATCGAGCTATCCGGCCAGTACATTGGCAAGTTCCAGTGCAAGATCGGTTACGGCAAGGTGACCCCGGCCACTCGTATGTGGATCGGAGGCCTGGGCGCTTGGACCTCGGTCACTCAGCTGGAGCGGGAGTTCGATCGCTTCGGCGCAATCAAGAAGATCGAGTACCAAAAGGGCGAGCCGTACGCTTACATTCAGTACGAAACGGTGGAGGCGGCCACGGCGGCGGTAAAGGAGATGCGCGGCTTTCCACTCGGCGGACCAGAACGTCGTCTGCGCACAGACTTTGCGGAGTTACCGGGCGCCACACCGGCCGCACCGTTCAAGGGCTCCAAGCCGCCGTATGACGAAAGTGCATTGGAGTACCGTCGTCCGGAATACGATCCCTACTACGAGGAGTCCTCGTCGTACGCACCGCGAGGTGGCTACTCCCCGTATCCACCCAGGGGTGGCTACCGCGGACGTGGCGGCTATCGCGGCAGGGGACGCGGCATGTACCACTATCACAACGATGTTCACAGGCCGCCGCATCCGGGATCCTTGGGTTCTTCCTCTTCGTCGGTGCCGCCTCCTGGGGGAGTGGATGACGAGTGGCGCCGCCCGCCGGGTGAATCCTACGACAGGGGCGCTCGCTCCAGCTCGCGGGAACCCGGTGTGGAGCGCTCTCGCTCCAGATCGCCCTTTGAAACGGACTCGCTCGCCCGGTTCCGATTCCGACACTTCGACGCGTCGCAACGACGCCCTGGGATCGGCCAGCACGGTGCCGGAGGTGGCTCGCAAGTGCAGTACCGTGTGGACCGGAGCCCTGATCCTCAAGAGCTCCCTTTTCCCAGCCAAGTTCCATCTGACGGACGGCGATACGGATATTGTAGAGTCGTTGATGCGCGACGAAGAGGGCAAGCACAACCTACGCATCACGCAGCGACTGCGCTTGGATCCGCCCAAGCTGGACGATGTCCAGAAGCGAATCGCATCCTCGTCGTCGCATGCCATCTTCATGGGCTTGGCCGGATCCACGAACGAAACCAATTGCGACGATGCCAGCGTGCAGACGCGTCCGCTGAGGAACCTGGTCTCCTACCTGAAGCAGAAGGAGGCGGCCGGCGTCATCTCGCTGCTGAACAAGGAGACGGAGGCCACCGGAGTCCTGTACGCCTTTCCGCCCTGCGACTTCTCCACGGAGCTGCTAAAGCGCACGTGCCACAGTCTCACGGAGGAGGGTCTGAAGGAGGACCACCTGGTCATTGTGGTGGTGCGCGGCGGAACGGCCTAAGATGGAGTAGAATCGGTGGACAAACTGGAGGTAATGACTAGCCACAGTGCTCAACGAAAAAAAAGACTCCGGCACACCAATTAACTATAACCTAGCAGCCGTAGTCGTATCTTAGATGCCCCTCCCCAAAAAGGAGGCGGACTAATGGGGGTCACATACATGCAAGGGTCGTGTATGTGCATCCTCCCAAGCACCGCACACACGCACACACATGATGCACACACATACAGAGACATGAGCAGAACCGAGGAGACATCACCCACATCACCCCAACACCCCCTATTAATTAACCATTAATTAACCTTCTTTTGCAGACAGGATCTCTCTTTATGGTTTCATTTCAAGTTCTCGATGTGTTAGTGACAGTGAAGTTCAAACATCTTTTTATTATTGTGCTAAAAAGTTTGAAAAAGTCCAACAAGATTGTATTTAAAATCAACCCATACAGTTTTTTCCAATTTTATTATGTTAAAGTGTACACCTGAGAATGAAAACAAAATGAGTAAAAAAACCACATTTTCTAAAAAGAAAACTCAATTTGAGTGTCCGCTTATGATAAACAACTAGTGCAAAACAAATATCCCGAAAAAACTACAGTTTTTGTGTTCCTTAAATTGATTTCCTATTTTGATTTGTGTTACGCTGATGATTTCGCCTTTTGGTCCTTAGTTTGTGAACGAAGATGAAAATACAGTGCGACAAAAAGTGCACCAAGTAGTGGTCTGATTGTCCAGTCGATGAGTCCAAAACAAACATTACGAAGTGTATCCCCAGTTTGTTTGCAGTGCGATTTCCCGACGATTTGCAACAGCAATCAGTGCGAAGTGTTTAATTCCAGCTGAGTTTCAGTTCAATCAAGTTCCCCTCGATCTCGATCTCCCAGAGGTTCCTTGGTGCTTTTGGCCTGTGGGTGCGTGAAAGTGGCTACCAAATCCAAATCCAAATCGTGTTCCGATCCCCGATCTATATATCCGTCTTCCATCCGAAGAGAGAACGTCGTGTAGCATTTGCTCCAAAATGTCTTTGCTGTTTGATTGGGTTTGGCAATTGTTACATTGGTTTTCTTGTGGCTGCTATCAACAAAATGGTGTTTTGTTTATAATTTATACATGCGTTCATGCTACATTTATGTTTCTGTGAGTTCAAGTGTCATTCCACGAACCAAAATCAGTTGATATACGATGATAATCCGAGTAGTTGGCCCAGTGCATGTGTTGTGTATGCGTGTGTTCTCAAATATATTATTTATATATATTATATACCAATCGTAATTCTGTACACTCAGAGATAGTTGTAACGATCAAACGCAGTTAACTTGCATCATTAGACAGATGTTCGAATAATTTAGGCTTCAACAAAATATTATATCAAACTATTACACTGATATCTAAATAAACGTCAACTATCGAATCCTACCCAATGTGTTCAAAAATCTGGTGTTAAAAATGTGAGCTATGAGTTACAGTGCAACCAAGTGCCGAACAAAGTGAACTAAAATCCGATGACCGAAACAGGAAGGTAAAGAAATTGTGCACTATGCATTAACTTCAATTTTAATAACAACTCGAAGGCGCCCCAGTCCCTGAATCCCCCTATTTCAATCGTAGTACAGGTAAAAGGTGGTGCAGACCGCAAAATACGAAGGTCTCTCCACGCTGTAGGTCACAAATCCGTCCTTTTCAGCATCCCACAAGAAGTTGACCATGGAGTAGAGGCCCTGCATCAGGAATTCGCCCACAGTGACCAGCACAATGTAGCGATATCTAGTAGAACAGGGGGAGAAACGAGCTTAGTTGGGTATATATATGCAGAGAACCCAAATCACCTGTCGTAGTTGTCGAGCTTAATACGGTTCTTGATTTCCTCGCTGACCTGGGCAGCCATGTGCAGCGAGTGCTTGGGATGGAACATGTACTCATCGTTATAGTGTCGGTTCATCACCGCCTTGATGATGTTCTCTACGCGCTCCTTGTTCAGAGGATTCTTCGACTCCAGGCGGTAGGTGGGCATGAAGCGCATGGTGGGCTAAGAATAAAGCAGTAGTTAAGATAAAACAAAGAGAAGACTATCTGATACCCGTCACTCAGCTAGCAGTGCGAGGGAGATGGAGATTAAGAAACTTTGATTGCGCATAACTTTTTAATGAATAGTCAGATTTGAAAAATGTCTTCTACATTTCGATAGGTATTAATTAGCGGGAGTTAGGGGAGCATGGCACCACGATGAAAGAAACTTGTGATGCGTAGGAAGCCAAAGAATATGTGTGGGTAATCCCAACTTTCTAGCTTTTGTAGTTTACGAGATAACGGGTGTAAAAAGGCGCCTGGTCACATTACTTACCTTGGCCGCCGGAGCACCCATGCCCAGAGGAACGCCCATATGGGACTTGGTCAGCGATCCGCGCTGGCTGCTTGCTGGCCTCTGCATGATGATGAAATGGGAAACCGAATATGCATGTTAGTTAAACCTTAGACACTATATCCCCCAATAGAACTCCCACAAGATATGGCGTGACTTGGACCAATTTTCGGCAATCCATACGTTCCCGTGTTCACATTCCGTTACAAGCATCAATTCATTAAAAAGACATCAAATACCTATTGTAACCATAATGGCAAAATCTATCGTATACCTTGTCGCGCTCCTGCCCCAGGCAAAGATTCACCAGACCCGACCAGTTTTTCGCTGCAGCGGCTGCCATTTCTCCTTTTTTTGTATTAATGGAATCGAGTCGGGTCGAGTGCGTAGCGGTTAGCCATAAAACCACAAATGATTATGCCATTAAGTCATTCCCTGCCAGATTGCCTGACGGCCTGTCGCCGTGGCAATTCGTGCCGTTTGTTGAATCAATACCGAGCCCAATTATGCGCCACTTGTCAGCCAAACTTACCGGCTTCTGGCTGGCCTCGGCCGACTTTTCCGCCTTTTCCTTCTTCTCTTTTTTCCCCTTGGCAGTTTCCGCCTCCTTGGCGGAGGCCTCGGGCACGGCGGCCTCCTTGCTGCGCCGCTCTTTCGGAGAGTCGCCCATGATCTCAGTGTTTAACGAAACGTTTTTTGCGGAACTCCCAGACTCGAACGGAAATGTAATCGTAGAGAACGCAGAAAAATAAGAGCCCCCCTAGATCGACAGCAAATCAAAGTCGAATCGGTTCACAACGACAATTAGTTTACACTTTATTTGGTTTGCAATGTGGGGAATATGTTTCACTTTTCGTGCTAGCAATTCGGTTCGTTTTAAAGTATACATATCAAACATATACACACAGTCGGTAGACGATAATACAAGTTACGATATTTACGTTATTATTGGGTGCTCTTGTGGCCACAAAACATCAATTACATATATATACACATATTCAAATATAAACGTACTCGATACATAATTCGGATTCGGTTAAATACACACCTAATAAATTGTCTATAAAAAGAAAAACAATAACAGTGCGAATTCTTGGCCACATTTCCTTGTCTTTGTCTGTTGCTTCATCTCCATCATTTGATCATTTTGAGTCCAGGACTCCGAGTATCCTTAACGAACAGTTGAGTGTTTTAAAAACATTCGTGGCTCTTCGAAATATAAAAACTCAAATTTAGTTACAAAATCTGCAGTACGACTACTAAAAATTGGCGATAAAAACGCGCTGGTGGAGATAGCACAACACCGAGGAACAATTTCTTAGACATCTAACATCCATGTACTATATATTATATGGGGCCAGTGGGCCTTATAAAAGAATAGCGTCTCGTCCCGTGCAAATTTTGGTGCAGACTTATGTAAATATTGGAAAGTACTAAATTTCTCCATATGTCGTTTCTTTCCTGTTTTTTCTTCTTTTTGTCTTAGATTCTTTGTTTCCGTTTTTCATTTTTTGGATATTCGTACCAAAGTTAGTTTCAGTCGTGTAGTGGACACATAGGTAAAGCTTTAGTTGCGATCTGGGAGTCTGTTCGCAAATGAGTTTTAGTGACATGTAACTGGCTTACATTTACATAAATAGACACATTCCGTTTAGCCGATAAATCGTATGCAATGTATAGTGGACACGTATAAGATGCAATAATTATAATCAGTGGGTTTCGTTAGTACATATAGTAATTGCTGGATTGTTTTGGGTTATATGCTATGCTCAGCGGTGTCTTCGATCTGCTGATTTGTTTTCTTTTTGTTTTTTCAAATATGCCTCTAAAAATGTAGCTTTTGGAATTCGATTAGTTTCCGAGTTTTCTTTGATGGCACCGTTATTTCATAACGCCACATTTGGTCCAAAAATTGTAATGTTTATAAATCTCTTAGCACGCCAGCTAGTCGTTGGAGCGCACTTTGCGCAGCGACCCGCGGTTGAACTTGCAGATGGACTCCAGAAGAGCGGAGCGGGTCGGCTCTTCGCCATCGCCGCCCTCCGCATCCTCGGCTAGCATGTTCGGCGTGGACGATTGCCGTTCCACAACTGCGCCGGGTGACGCCGGCGATTCCTGGTGATACAAGCCGCCCAAGTGCGGCGCAGGAGTAAGCGGTGGTGCTGAAAGGAAGACGGAATAGCATGTGAGTCGGGTAGGTTCGAAGGAACAAGCTAACAAACTACTAATTTGAAGCTGTGAACGAACGGCTGTTAGATAACTACATTTTATGCCGGCCATTGTGGGCTCCTCGGGAGTGCTGTCGGAGCGGTTGAAGGAGTCGGCCCCACATAAACCACCAACCACCGCGGTGCTGGAGGAAGCTACTGCTGCAGTTGCGGCCACAAGCGACAAGCGTCCATTGTTCGTTTGGATTGAACCTTGCTGCTTTAGCTTCGACTGTTTGTGCTCTAGTTTCTAGACGTAAGCATTTATTTAAATAAACGAAAAGAGAAACCAAAAGATGTTCGTTAAGTGGCTGTGTGGGATTGATCTACGTGAAAAGGGTTGGGGGACTGGGCAACTAACTGCTTTTTGCTTGGACTTGCGTTTCTCCTCCTCGGAGCTCATCAGTTCCTGGACGCGCACAATGCGCTTCTGGTTCTTCACCGACTTCTGCTCGTCCCGCAGGCGATTCTCGCTCTTGATGGCTGCCTGCTTCAGCAGCTCCTTGGCGTTCAAGGATAGCTTAAAATACGGCTTCTCAGCACTGGCGGCAGCGCCAGCGTTCTCGGTTGAAGCATACTGCGTGAAGAATCGGTGACCCAGCAGTTGCTCCAGCGTCGGCAGGCCAGCCTTACAAGCTTCCTTGGACAGAATGCTCTCGAGGAGGCATTCTGAAAAAATAAATCTTTTAGAATCGAACTAGAAGCTTTATAATATAAGAAAACCCACTCAACGCTTCTGGACATTCTGTGATCTGGCGCACAACAGACTCCTGCAGCGGATAACCCATGGCCATTTCGAAGAGGATGTGACCGAAGCAGTATACATCAATAGTCTCGATGGCATGGATCTTGCTGTGCTGCATAAAAAAGGGTCGGTAAAAAGCTGGCACCCCCAGCAAAAAGTTCTCGATGTCCAGCAGCTTAACGCACTCGTCCACTATCACTATGTTTCCGGAATGGAGGTGACCTTAAAGAAGTTTTCAGATGAATCATATTCTTATCTGTAACATGAAGAAATGTCTTACCATAGGCGTAGCCCTTGGAATGCAAAAATATGAGAGCCTCTAGGATCTGCTTGCCATAGGTGGCAACTTGTTTCATCGAGAGGGCAGTGCGCCCCTTCGGATTGCCGTACTTGCTGAGGAAGGGATTCTTCGGGTTCGCGGCCATGCACAAAACATCCTTCAAAGTGCCATGCTTATGGAACCTACGAGGGGATATTATATATTATATCTTGTTCTGCGTACTACCCACATAAATACTTACTTCCTGATGACGAGGCAACCGTTTTCGGTGTGCGCTGCCAGGATAATCGGCTCGATGTGCGGATGCTGCAGACCCATCAGGCTCTTCATTATGCCTCCGATTTCCTTTTCGTCGACGAACTTGTCTGGCCCGTACTCGAGCCACTCGGCCACCACCTCTGCGCCGGGATCCAGGGTTCCCGCATCGATGGAGTGACCGCTGCCATTGCTGCTCCCGGCGGCGAAATGCTTGCTCTGATGCGTTTGCGAGCCGCTCTTCACCAGCTGCTTGTTGTGGCTCTTCTCCGGCGGCTTGGCGGTCACCTTGAAGTAGTGCTTCCGTAGGCGCCAGCCTATGGCGCCCATACTTCCGCCGAGGGTCCAGGCGGAGTCGGTTCGCAGGCAGAGCATGGCATTCTGCACGGCATGGTCTGGAATAACAGGGGGATTATTAGGGGTTTTGAAACCTCCAGGGAGGTCAACTCACCGTGAAAGGACTGCGAGTAACTCTCGGGGTCCACAAAGCGCTTGGCTGGCAGCGAGGAGGCCAATATGGGATTCATTAGTACGGCGTTTATGTACACTTGCAGGGCTTGCTTCCGTTCAGCTACGAACTCCGGGCGCATGTTACCAAAGATGCGCTTGCGAGGCAGCGGCAGCTCGATGCCGGAGACGCGGAGAGACTTGTCCAGCCGGTCGAAGTCATTGTAGCGGCGCAGAACGGTCCAGTAGTCCTTGTTGCTGGCGCCCCTCCACACGCGCAGCAGGTACTCCTGCAGAGACCAACACACGCGCACACCGCATTGCATGAAATCATCAACAATTATTGATTTTTCACTGGGTCAGCAGCAGCTGCGCCCCGCCCCCCGTCTGAGATTCTACCTACCGTATGTCCGGCGACCTCCTGGACGGCGGTTATCTCGCAGCTCAGCGCTTGGGTGTCGTCAATTGGCAATTTCCGTTCATATCTGCTCGCAAAAACGGCCATTGGACTCCTTTGGATACATTTTCCACTTCGGCTGCGCTGCTCCTGATAAGTGTATGTATGTGTGTGCGGTGCCTGTCTCCACCCTTTTGGACGCAGTTGGGCGTGGAACGGACTGCACACTTGGTGTACTCGAGTGTCTCGGTGAAACACTGATTACTTAGCTTTTGCGGACTGTCTTGCCCCAATCCCGATGCAGTTTTCTCAGGCCAAAACTGGACCCGGAGACAGATATATTTTTTCACTGTTTACTGTTTTCACTATCTCTTTGGTATCGATATCTATTTATCGATTGACTATAGCTCTGACTACCATCCTTCTTTAGCTTTTCAAGACCGCCAGTTTTAAATAAATCATATACCGCATATTATTGAAGAAATGGCTACAGAACAAATTGCCATTTTCAGTGGAACTCCATCGTAATGCAAGGTAATTCAGATTGTTATCCACTGTTTGCTGATTAGTAGAGGATTTGTGAGCCATTTTGTTTTTTTCCTGAGAGGGATAAAATCGTTTAATCGTAAGCCAAGTGTTTTGTGCCACCCCAAAATCAGAAGTGTCGCTTACAAAAAGCTTAAAATAAATATTCATAGACGATTACTAAAATGAATTGCAATAAATGACTAAAGCAGGATATTCTTGAAAACAAGAATAGGTACAATTTAAAGTTTTAAGAGCAATGGAATAACCTTTTCATTTGTATAATTTTCACTAATTAATTAATAATGGAAATTGAATCTTTATTTTATCAATACGTTTACATTGTGAAACATAATACAAATAGAAACTATATACCTTTGCAAAAATCTTTTAAAATTTACCAGCTCCTTTTATCCAGAACTAGCTTGAAAAAAGCTAGCCCCCAGGCACTCTCCCGGCCTGATTCGCGAGTTATCGATAACGGGGATGAGCTTGCGTTGTTGTTCTTAAAGCAATTGCGAATAATAATTGGGAATACAAGTGAACAAACCATGGCCGCGAACTACGCAAAAACGACCAAGGGCATCTCGACGGCGATCCTGCGCAACCAGCTGATGGGCCTGATCAACTTCACCGGCACGCACAAGGACCAGGCGGACAAGTACCGTCAGCTGCTGAAGACTGTGCTGGCGAACACCGGCCAGGAGCTGATCGACGGCCTGCGGCTCTTCGTGGAGGCCATTGTGAACGAGCACGTCAGCCTGGTCATCTCGCGTCAGATCCTCAACGACGTGGGCAGCGAGCTCAGCAAGCTGCCCGACGACCTGTCCAAGCAGCTCTCCCACTTCACCCTGGAGAAGGTCAATCCACGCGTCATCTCGTTTGAGGAGCAGGTGGCCGGCATCCGGTTCCATCTGGCCAACATCTACGAGCGCAACCAACAGTGGCGCGATGCGGCCACGGTGCTGGTGGGCATACCGCTGGAGACGGGCCAGAAGCAGTACTCAGTGGAGTGCAAGCTGGGCACCTACTTGAAGATAGCCCGTCTCTACCTGGAGGACAACGATTCTATGCAGGCCGAGCTGTTCATCAATCGCGCCTCGTTGCTGCAGGCCGAGACCACCTCCGAGGAGCTGCAGGTGAGTCGCGTTTTGTAGATAAGCCCCTACCAAAAGTATAAAACCCCATCCCTTTCAGGTACTCTACAAAGTGTGCTACGCCCGTGTCCTGGACTACAGGCGCAAGTTCATCGAAGCCGCCCAGCGATACAACGAGCTCTCCTACCGCAAGATCGTGGACCAGGGCGAGCGGATGACGGCGCTGAAGAAGGCGCTCATCTGCACCGTCCTCGCCTCCGCCGGGCAGCAGCGCTCCCGCATGCTGGCCACTCTGTTCAAGGACGAACGCTGCCAGCATTTGCCTGCCTACGGCATTCTGGAGAAGATGTACCTGGAGCGCATCATCCGGCGCTCCGAGCTGCAGGAGTTTCGAGGCCCTGCTGCAGGACCACCAAAAGGCTGCCACGCCCGACGGCTCCTCCATCCTGGATCGAGCTGTTTTCGAGCACAATCTGCTGTCGGCCAGCAAGCTGTACAACAACATCACCTTCGAGGAGCTGGGCGCCCTGCTGGACATACCCGCGGTGAAGGCGGAGAAGATTGCCTCCCAGATGATCACCGAGGGCCGCATGAACGGACACATTGACCAGATCTCGGGCATTGTGCACTTCGAGAACCGCGAGCTACTGCCGCAGTGGGACAGACAGATTCAGTCACTGTGCTACCAAGTTAATTCCATAATAGAGAAGATAAGTGTCGCCGAGCCCGATTGGCTGGATAACCTGAACTGAACCCGACTCTCAGCAACCCACTCACCTTCATTTTAACGAGAGACGGCAAATAGGAGCGCAGCAAATCGGAGGAATTACCCGCGACTGCGATAGATTTCATTATTAATTTATACAAAATAAATGAAATTATGTACATTATCGATCCTGTGGAACCAAAAGAAAAAAGTCAGCAATTTTTAAAAAATGTATTTTACCATATATGTATATTTTTTCAGTAACTCGTATAATTCAAAAAAGCTCTGTGTACAAAGGACTTTAGTTCTTAGACATCTAATGGAATGATTTGTATTCAAGGGATATACATAATCAATTATGTACACGATACAACTAGTTTTTCGGGGCCACTTGGGCAACAAATCTACCCATGCCTAAAACTCCAATACATAACTAGATTTAGGCTAATTACGTTTAAACAAATTGAACTAAACAAAATGCACATCATGCAGGCTTTGCGGTATTTTACAAGCGCAAAACGGGGGGTTGAGAAATGTGGTGAGGGGCTAAAGGGATAAAGGGGAGAGGGAGAGGGCGTGGGCCTAAAAAGAACTTAGAATCTAGCGTAGAATCATCCCTGGGTGCTATTCGAGGTTTCCTCGTTTAGTTGCATCTGCGCTAATGTGCGTACGACCACGCCCCGATTCACGGGCGTCAGACCCTGGCAGAGACCCACCACAGCGTCCAGCGCTACGTCGGGACAGTCCTGCAAAGCAAATAAAACCAGAGAGTCAGTTACGAGAATTTCAAAAGTAGGAGAATGCGTTTACACTCACCTCGAGCATTTTCGAAATGGTAGAGATAATGGCATCCCGTCTTACGGAATTCACGTTGCGGGAAACGATTGACTCGACATTGCTCTGCTCCTCATACCAAGATACCATCTCCTCGTTCTTGTCCCACAGATAAGCCTGGTAATTGGGCAAAATATATATTGTAAGGGTCGCTTAGAATGGATAGTCAAAAAAGGTCTCACCTCTGTGGCACCCTTCTCCTCCACCAGCCAGCGGCGCAGCATCTGCTTGGCCTGGCCCACGGAAAGGTTGTCCTGGGCGCGCAGAATCTTCTTGATGTACGCATCCTCCAGCAGGAGACGGCGCAGACGCCAGTAGAGCCAGCGGCGGGAATCGCGCCAGGGAACTATCTCGCTGATGCACTCCTTCTCCAGCATCCTTTCCGGCGTGTCGTGGAGGTCGGCAAAGTGAACGGCCACCGTGTGATAAACGTGCATGAGCACAGCGATGCGAGCCTTGATCTTCTCGTCCACCTGACCAGCCTTCACCTTGTCCCCAGCTGCAGTTGCCTCATCGAACTCCTTCTTTAGCTGTAATTAAAAAGCAAATTATATTAATCATTGCAGACCTTGCTTCTAACTCATATTAATTCAATTTTATAATAAAGTTAATGAGTATAATTTAAAATCGGCAATCCACATAAGTTCAAATTAAATTAAGAGTATGCTTATAATGGGTGCCCCCTATCAGATTCAGTTTTACTAATAAAGTGCTAAAGATGAGGATTAAAAATCGCAATCCGACATAACTTCAAATAAAAATACCAATTAAAAAAATTTCTTTATTATAGATATTGATAAACACAATAATAACTGAATTAAAAACTATTCCAAAACTATTAAAAAAAATTTAAAATAGTATAATCGATAGTGGGAATTAGAGGGGGAAACTTACAAAATATTTGATTTTAGTAATTAAGTTAGTACCATGCAAAATATTAATCTTCAAGCTTTTATAGTTTCCGAAATTGTTGATAAGATAGATTTAAAATACGCACATACGAACATGGCTAGATCAACTGGATAAAAATAACAATAAAATATAAATTAATAGGGTCGGATATACTTTTGCAAAAAATAATATACCCTTTTAATCTACGAGAAACGGCTATAATAAAAATCATATAACTAATAAAAAAACAACATAAAAAAACAAAATAGTATTAAAAAAATAGTATAATAGTAAAAAAAAAACTACAAAATATTTGATATTAGTAATTAAGTAAGTAATTGAGGAAAATTGTTTAAATATTTTTAAAATAATAACAAGTTAAAAATATCAACTCAATGTGACTAGCGCTATAATTACAAGTGTGCACTTGTAGCGCTGGGATATTAAATAAATAAAACTTAAATATATGAAGCCTACCCCAATTGTGGTGGGATCCAGGCGATGTATCGTCTTGACCAGGTCCTTCTCCTTGTACTTGATCTCCACGATGCCCTCCGGCTCGAGCACTCCTCCTCTGGCCTCGGGATCGGCATAGGTTTCCATGTAGCGCGGGTTAATGAGCGAATCCAACACGGCCCAGGCTCCGCCTCGCAGCTCGGCATTGGGCGGCAGGTAGATGAGCACCGGCTTCTTGTACTCCCGCAGGCCATCGACGATGTAGGCGCCAAACTTGACGATTTGCTCGTACATGTCCTTCATGCCGCCCGAGAAGCCGCGCCAATTGGCAAACACAATCAACGGCAGCTCCTCTCGTCCAAAGTCCTTGATTGCCTGCGCCGTTTTGTACGAGGAATCCGGATACCACACTTGACCGGCCTGCTGCAGGGTCTTGGCCTCCGAGTCCAGGTTCGCCGGATCGGCGGGCATCTCCACCTCCACGGTGCGCGTCTCGACGGCAATTACGCCCACGGGTACGCCGCCCAGTCGGGCGCGTCCGGTGACCACCGTCTTGGCCCACGGCGCCATGATTTCGCTCCACGAGTCGCGGTCAAAGAAGCCGTTCTCCCAGTCATTGGCATTCACGGGATTCACACGGCCGCCGAGCATCCAGCGCGGATCGTACGGCGACTTGGTGGGCATGAAGTCCACGGGCCGATCGACACGATCGCTGGGCAGGATGATGGGCAGGTCGCAGCCGATGTAGGCGGGGATGTACGAGAGCCAGTCGAGGATGGTGTACACACCGTCCAGGTCGATGGCCTCAGTCTTGTGGGTGACACCGTTGTTGAACATAATCTGGGTGCCACCCAGTTGGTTGTTCGAGGCGTACACCTTGCGTCCAAGTAGCTGGAAGGGAGGGATGTCTGTTAATCGGTTCATAAAGATCTAAAATAAATTCTTCTAAGTTACCTTGTTCAGCGCAGCGTAGCCCGTGAGTATAATGTGCGAGTTGTCGATCTGGATGACGCGCTGGCCCAGACGCACCACATACGAACCAATGCCGATTGTGCGGCAGGTGACCATGGCGATGGTTACAATCTCCTCGTAGGCCTGCGACGTCTCACCGGCAATCAGACCGGCGTAGCGCAGGTTCTCCACACCCAGGCCATCGTCCTTGCCGATGATGTCGGTGATCTTGTAACGCTGCTCGCCCTCGTCTTCGATCAGGATCGCCCTCACCGAATTCAGGTTGGCCACCTGGGCGTAGTCCTCAGTGGTCAGGTAGAGGTACTTGAAGCCCTTGTCCGGCTCCTCTGGATCCTCCCATGCGATCTTGAACATCGCCTTTACCTCCTCAGCCAGTCCGATGCGGGCACCGCTATTTACGGAAATGTATATCTGAAAGAAAATAATTGGAATAGTATAAAGTAACAGACAAACTGGCATCCAAATTAGAACCCTGCGTGAATCATTCAATTTTTGTTTTTTCATAGTATGCCATGAAATTTCTGGTTTGTTTGATTCAATTCTATGTGAAATAAATTGAATTTCATTTGGAATTTAATGAATGAATAAATCATTTCTTATTAATTTTTTTAATTTGCCAGATTTTTTTTTTTGAGAACAATTTACCAAATCAATGTTAACTGCTTAGTAAATAAAATTTTGGAAGATTTAATCACAAAATTATGGCCCTTTCTTCTTCAAAAGAAATTGTCATTTGAATTATTTCGGAATACATGCCATTCATTTATTCAATTCTATTAAACTTAAACTCAAAATAAAAAATCCTCAATTCTATTAAACTTAAAATTATATTAATTCTTCTATAAAAAAAAATTCCAAATAATTCTTGAATCCTTTCATAGGCATCCAAATTGAAAAGAAATTGTCGTTTGAATTCATGCCATTCATTCATTCAATTCTATTAAACTCAAAATTCAAATTCATTCAATTCTATTAAACTCAAAATTCCAATTAATTCATTCATATAAAACAAAAAATTCAAAATAATTCATTGAATCCATTTATGCAGGGCTCTAATCAAAAAGCAAACTTACCCTGGGCACTTTGCGTTGGCGGGCCAATTGGGAAGCCTTGGCGAAGAGGACGTCCTCCTTGATGCCAAAGGAACCAATCAGGTAGGTGAGGTCGTTGGCTATCACTATGATCTCACGGCCATTCGGATACTCGGGAGTGGCCAGGACAATGCGCCAAGCCACCATGCCGCACTAAAATTAGTTAAAAGAATAGATTAGCGCCTTTTACAATATGACTAAATTGAAAAACCCACATTGTTTTCGCCGGGCAGACGCTGCATCTCCACAAGACTATCGCCCTCGAGGACCAGCTCCTTGCACTCGATGAGGATCTTGTCGGGAATGCGGATGTCAACGGTGGGACGCGCCTTGGAGAACTCCCTCCAGTGACGCTCGGTCATCTGACGGAACATGTCGGGCACATCGTAGACATAGGTAGTGCCATTGGACTGCGCCTGGAAGCGTTTCTGCTGCAGGAAGTCCTTGGTCATGTAGGGCGTGGAGATGGGATGGCCGTGCAGGGAACCCTGCTTGTCACCGTAGGCCTTGAACTTAATCTGAAAGCGGATTAAAAAAACATGTTTAAAAACATTAAAGCAAGAGTTTCAAATTTAAACTTACGATTCCTGTCTCCGGTTCCGTTTGCTCCGTGTACATGGAAATATCCAGGAAGTAGCCCGAGTCATTGGCGATGCACAGACGCACTGCCTGAGTGGGCGACTGCGGCGACTGGCGGATGACCATCTTCAGCTCCGCCTGGAGCACTCGCAGCTTCCACAAACGTGGCCCGTATCGCATAATCATCTTTGTCACAGACTCTTCAATCTTGGCCGGATCCATGATCACCGTGGGCACAAAGTTCAGGAAGATGTGATTGCAGTCGGTGCGCTTGGCGTGCGGATGCGAGAACGCCACCTCCAACTCGTCCATGGCCTCCAGCAGAACGCGCTCTCCCTCATTCTGCAGATACTCGAACGAGGCTTCCTTGGTGATCAAATCCGAGTGACGGATGATCGAGCGGATGAAGAAGCGGTAGTCCGTCACCTCCTGACCCTTGGACACCTTCGCCTTGCCCGAGATACAGGTGCATCTTCTGGTTGGCCGTGGGCAGAGCCTCCAGGTCGTACGTCTTCATGCGGTTCAGCTCCAAATGGAAAGCAGATGCCGGCTCCAGATGCCGGTAAATACGATCCTCGGTGAACTTGTCCCTGGCGCGATACGTGAAGAACTTGGGGAACTGTCGCTTCTTCAGAGCGGCAAACGTAATCCTACGAATGCGCCGCTGGAAGAGCTCCTCGTTGTGCTCCTGACAGTAGTTTCCAAAGATCTGGGCCATCTGCAGGTCATCCAACTCGCCCGTTTCCCTCACAGCCACACTGACAATGTGAATCGGTTCCGTGGACTTGGCCTCCTCGGCGGCATTCGCCCGGGTCACCGGATCCGAGAGCGACACATTGATCGAGGTGCTGTGCCGGCTGTCCGAGATGGAATCGGCTGCCTCCACGGCCTCCAGCACCTTGGCATTGACCATCGCAGGCGAGACAAAGTCCTCGAGCAGATCCAGAATCTCATCCGAGTACATCTCGAAGTGCTCGAAGGAGTCGAACGCCGCTATCGCACCGGTGCGCACAAAGGAGCTGCCCAAAGTCTCGGCCGCCGCCTGATCCAGTCCATCGGGCGAGGACATGCGCGAGAACAGCCTGTTCGGATGGGCGGTGGGCAGGAGAAACTGGAAGTGCACCAGCGGCAGGCCGCCGGAGAGCTCCAAGTGCTGCAGGCAGGTCAGCTCGTAGGAGGTGTAGGCTCTCCTCACATAAACCTCCAGAGCGGCATTGCACACTGCTCGATTGGAGTGGTAGAAAAAGTCGTGCAGAATGTCGAAGATCGAGGTCTCCGACAGAATCAGCCGCTGCAGATTCTCGGGGTGGAAATCATGGCCGTACATATCGACGGCCGAGAGGAAAATCGACTCCATTTGATTGTGGCGCAGCTCGTAGGCCGGCTGGTGGGCAGCGATCAGCACCTGGCGGGATCGCAGGGCCACCCGCGAGTGCTCGGCGCGGTTCAGCGAGGTCAGCTCGCTCAGCGTGTTGGCCAGCTCGTCCGTCAATCCCGGTTCGTTGGCCCACAGATGGTCGATGAGCAGCGTGACCAGCAGATTCTTCTTGGCCACCTGCGAGTGCGAGAAGATGGTGTTGACCACCGTCTGCATGTCGTCCTTGTTGTGCTCTCGCACCAGTCCCACGCACTTATCGTAGTGACCGTGCTGGAACTGCGACTCCACGTCGTAGTACTGACGCAGCAGCTCATGCACGGCGGCCTTCATCCTGCCGCGAATGCCATTGCGGTAGCGCTGCACCAACTGCACGATGCTCTGGGTGGTCAGGAAGAAGACATCGCGGTCGGCGCGCTTCTGCAGGGTGGCCGCATGGCTGTCGATCACGCTGGCGATCTGCTGCGAGGGGAACTGGGCCAGGACACTGGTGATGTTGCGCTCGTACAGCGTCATCAGCTTGCGGATCTTCTTCTCCACGGAAATGGGAATGCGGCCGGAGATGGAGGCGATAACCTCCTGCAGTTCCAGCAGCGGCAGCGAAGGATCCCGCAAGCTCTGCATGAACTTCTCGATAATGTCCCGCAGTCTCTGCGCATTGAACGGCTCCGGCAGGCAGTAGCCAGCCAGTGTGTTCTCCAGGATGCTCTTGTACGTGTTGTGCACCCGGTTCAGCTTTTCCGGCACCGGAGCATTCTCCGGCTGCAGGAACTGTCCCTTGAACGGCTGCGCCTTCGTCACCAGCGACGGATCGTCCAGCTCCAAGTGGCCCAGCAGCGTTCCCGGATCCAGAACCGCTCCCGGTCGACGCACAAATGTCACCGTGCCCGCCTCCTGGGACGTCAGAGTCATGACCATCTTCATCACCTCGATCTCAGCGAAAGCCTGGCCCTTGGCCACATGCGCACCGTCCTCCACAATCATGTTGATGAGCTTTCCCGCCGAGGGACTGCGCAGCAGCGAGGGATCGTTCTCCTTCTCGAAGACACAAGTCTGGTTGCCAATCACGATGCGGTAGCGATCCACCTCCTCCTTCATGTACGTGGTGTAGGAGGCGCCCTCCAGGGAGATGAGTAGTCCGCCGTCGGAGAGGCGGTGCACCTCGATCTCCTTGAACGAGCTGTTCATCAGCAGGAAGTACGAGTTGGCTCCGCTCTTGGCGGCCTGAACCTTGTAGCGGATGCCATCGTTGATCAGCTCCACGTCCACCACGTTTGTCAGCGTGTTGGCCGCCTGGATCTGACCCTTCTCCAGCGAGGTCTGGAAGCTGGAGAAGCTCTCGGTTATCTGACGGTCGGCGATGTGCAGCGAACCGCACATTACGCCCAGCAGGATGTCCGGCTTCTCGGATTGCACACGCTCGGCAATCAAGGCATCCAGCCAGGCGGTGTCGATGCTGTTCTCCAGGAAGCGATTCGTCTCCAGCAGAGTGATCAGGTACTCCACGGTGGTACGGAAATCGCCACGAATGGATAGCTCCTTCAAAGCAATCACCAGGTTCTCTCTGCGCCTGCTGACGATTCTCGCCCCAGGAGAAGCAGTGTCCGAACTGCGAGTCCGCAAACTCGTGCAAACCTCCGCTGGCGGCCACACTGAAGTAGCCCCACACGTTCTTGCTGGACCGGAAGTTCAGCTCCTGCACGGTGCCCGAGCTGGGCTTAAAGCCCTCGTCGGGATTCTCGGAGGTGATGCGAGCAGCGATGACGTGACCCGAGGGACGCGGCTTGTTCGGTGGATTCTCAAAGTCAATCACCGAGGAGCCCCACGGAGATTCGCCGTACAGCAGACGGATGTCCTTCAGCCGGTAGAGGGGAATGCCCATTCCAATTTGCAGCTGGGCAGCGGGCAGATTCACATCGGCCACCATTTCCGTACACGGATGCTCCACCTGCAGACGGGGATTCAGCTCGAGGAAGAAGTAGCGACCCTCGGGATCGTACAGATACTCCACGGTACCAGCGCTCACGTATCCCACCATCTTGGCCAGTCGCACGGCGGCCTTCTCCATGTCCTCGAACACCTCTGGCTGGGCGACAATGGCGGGGGCCTCCTCGATGATCTTCTGATGACGTCGCTGAATGGAGCAGTCACGGCCAAACAAACTGATGGCATTGCCGTACTGATCCGCCAGCAGTTGCACCTCCAAGTGGCGAGCTCCGCGGGCCAGCTTCATCACGAAAATCGGTGATCCGGGCACCTCGGCCTGAACCTGACGGAAGAGCGCCGGGAACTCCTCGGTGGTGTCCACGCGACGAATGCCCTTGCCACCACCTCCCTCCGAGGCCTTGATCATCACAGGGAAGCCTGCAGAAGAGGGTTAACCAAATAAGCACTTTTTCATAACTATTTTCTATGCATTCCACTTACCAATCTTGGCCACTGCGGCCAGACCCTGCTCCACATTGGTCACACAGCCGCGGCCGAAAAGCTCGCTGGATATCTTGATCTTCTTGCCACTGTATTGGGCCTTCAGGTCCGAACCGGACCAGGGTAGGGTGGGGATATCGGCTGTTTGGGCCACAATCGATGAGGCCACCTTGTCGCCCAGCGCCCACATAGCACGCTCCGGTGGGCCAAGGAACACCAGACCCTCCTTGTTGAGCAGCTCCGGCAGCTTGGGATTCTCGGAGGCATGACCCCAACCAGCCCAGACGGCCTGCAATCAGAAAAAAAGGGTTCATAATCAGTTTATTTTGATTTAATAAACCCAATACCCCAAGGACAGCGGAGTGGAAGTGGGTGTGGGGGAAATTATGGAGCTTTATTGTTGGTAAAAATCAATTGTGACGTCATCGGCAACACCCGGACAGCAAAACAAAATAGATAATATTCACACTGTGCAAAAAGACGTCGACGCATTTGCTAATTAACCTCAAGTGGCCTGCAATAACTAATGGAAAGTAAACACTAAGCAGTGAATTTCCACTTGTAAGTGTTTCGAATGCATTCCAATCTAACCACCGAGTTTCCAGAACAGGTAGTTGGCCAAGGTCCGTGAGAGGGAAGGAATAGTGGAGGGTCTTAGATTACAGGTGTAGAAGTTCGTTTTGAAGGCAATCTTCTAGTAGATTGAATAGGTATGAAGTTACAACAAGTGAAGATTATAATCAGGTCTACAATTACTATCTCTTGAAGTTGGTTACAACATGAAAATAAGTAATTAATCAGTTAATACATTTAGTTGATTTTTAAGAAATCTTTTCACTGAAAAACTTTTCAGTCCTAATTTATAAAACTGAATAAATACGCAGAATATTTTATAGATTTTAGTTGTTTAAAACTTTAGGTCATTAGCTCAGTTGAAGCTTTCTGATAGTTTTCTTATTACTCATTCGATACTTTTTGAATAAAATGAGTAATGAGTAAAAACTAAATAAACGAAAATTACGCAGAATATTTTAATGATTTAAGCTCAACTTTTTTGTACTCAAATTGAATGAGTACAACACATTAGTTACCCATCCCAAACCTCGTTACTTTATTTGTAAATTGTTAATTGGCACGTACTATCGTTTAAACAGTAAAAGTGTCCGTGAAAACAAACTAAAGGCTTTCATAAAATACATTTAAATTGCTCTCGAGCGTACATTATATGATGAGCAATTTCGGAAATTGGGCTGGGCGGTCGGCTCATACTTTGTACAAAGTTTGTACATATCTCCAAGTAAAGTCATAAACAACCATTCCCTGGGTATTTTATCACACTTTGTAGCCCAGTGTTGGCCGACACAGACACAGACTTCTATCTGTTTCCAAATGCCGTTCGTCTCGTATACAAATACGAATACAAATGGGGGTCTCTTTATTGGTATGCGATTGGGACGATCGCTTGACTTGGCTATAGCTATAGTTCCCCCGATTGACAGAGTGCAAATACAAATCGTACGATGCATTTTAGGTGGAGCTGGCCAAGCCAAATAGACAAAACGGACTGACACTGGCCACTTCTAAGGCGGTGGCCCCCAGATTCCGGACTCACCTGCACTTGGGTGCGAAGAGCAATGTCCACAATGAGCTCAACATTGGCGTAGTTGTTGTTGTTAGATCCGCCGGGCACGGGCACATAGTGATCCGCCATCTTGATGTACTCGGCATTCGCCTTCAGATCCTCGGGCGTGACCATCACCACAAATCGGATGGCCCGCTCGTTCTTGAACATCTCGTATGCCCATCTTCGGATGGAACGCATGCACTTGACGGCTGCGATTCCGTTGTTGGCAATCAGGACTCTATTGATGACACGGGTGCCGCCGAATCGCTTCACGAACTCCTCGGTGGTGGCGATGTGGAAGTCACGATCCTGATGGCGATCCTGGCCAAGTCCAGTGCCACGCGACATGCTCGGCCTGGAAAGTATCAGCAGAAAGTTAGTACGAATTTTTGGTAGTGGAAATATTGTAAGAAATCGGATGAAAATTATTTATACCTATATATTTTATATAAATATAAAAGAGCCAAGAAGAATGAAAATTTTCTTAAGGCCCCAGTATAGCTACTTTAAGTTCGTCCGTAAATTTTACATTATAGTCGAACACTTTATAATAATAATAATAATAAATAATAAAAAAGAACGGAATCTAAATATATTAATAAATTTAGAAATTTTATGTCCTATTTCTCCAAAGACAGCTTTTTAAGGGGTTTCAATCCAAAAGGATCTCAAATTTCTAAATTAAAATTTGCAATCCTTTAATTAGGTAACCCTATTAACTCAAGACCCAAATTTTTGTTAATCAGTGTGGATAATGGCGCGATGCGACAGGTGTAGAAGAAAAGGGAGGGGCGGGCAAATGGCAAGAAGATTTGACAAAACCGGTTTAGCTGACACGATCAAAAGTTCTTGTACATAATTCGCTTTTGTTTACAACCTGTCGACAAGCGATGCATTGCAATAAACGAACAGGGCTATTTCATAGGGGATTTACTTCAGGGTTCCCACCACGGGGACGCCGAGTAGCGATGGCGACGACTGGTTGTTGTTGGCGCTGTGATTGCTGATGCTGGCACTACTCATATCGTCGGCATTGTTATTACTCTCGTTCTGGCCGCAATCGACGGCCACAAATTGGGGTATAACTTGGCCCGATCCCGCAGACGAACCCGATCCATTGGCATTATCTTCACCGGATTCAACAAGTACGAAACGCTTGCTGGCGCGACGCTTCAACATTCTAATTAGCTCCACGAGGGCCAATAGCATCCAAAGTGAACTCTATTTTCTTTGCCTGATTGGGGGCTCCTCGCAATTATGCAAGTGTGACTAATAAGCGAGCCGCACAACAAAATATTTTAGTGCCACTGCACCACTTTCACCGCGCTCCGCTGGCCGAAAAAAAGACGCACACAAAAATCAATGTCGAACGATGTCCGCACACGCGAGAAACTTATTTGGGCAGCGGGTTGGGACTTGTGGATAATATTATGTCGTCGAATTTCTGGGGTTTGCGGAATGCGGACCGTCGGAGCCGACGACTGCCTGGGAACTGAACCTCGGAGCGGCGTTGGCCACCATCGCTCATACGCCGCATGGGCCGGAGAAGCGGAGAGACCCAAAGAGCGAGCCGCTGGCAAAACAAGTTTTAAGCATTATGAATGAAAACAAAATGCGGCGTCCCCACATGCCACTCTCTTTTTTTTTATCGCCACTTCTCACTCTTTTTCTCTCCATGTTTGCGCACCGCTAAAAGTTCTCGGGAAAGCTGGGAGACTTCCTCTCGTTCGCACTCGCGGCCCCAAGCTTTGTGCCGTCTCTTTTCCCTAAACTCACGCGATATGTTTGGCGGCGTTTGGGCTATGACGCAGTCACCTGTTCTTTGTTTTGCTCGCTACACTGAGCGGAAATGTATTCACATATTCACATATCTCAAGTTATAAACGCTTCATTCTTGAAGTGTCAAATTAAAACTATAGCTTTTGTTCAAGTGGTGAATTGGTAGATTTAATAAATCCTAATCTAATGCGACTTAGATAATTACTTAAGACGTTCTAGAGATAAGATTGAACTTGAATATTCAGATTAGGCTATCATTGTATTTCAGATCAGATGATCGATTCAAAATATTTAATGACATTTAAATTAGATAGGATTTTAAAATATTTACAAAGATTTGTGAGATAGATTATCGAAATATCTGCGCTTTTCAATGATCATTATACAAATAGCTCAATTTATTATAGTTTTAATTTAATACATTAAGCTCAGCTTTTGTATTTGTATAGAATCAAAAACAATTTACCCTGCTTAACAATCCAATAGTTCGGTATAATGATATCAACAATCATTTTACTATTCATGGAAAAGTGTTACTGCTGACTAATAAAAGGTTTTTTTCGTAATAGCGATAATGTATTTCTGATGTTGAAGCTATTTTTGATTTGAGTAAACCCACCCAATTCCGCTTACCTTAAACGCTTGCGCCGCTCGGAAATGTCGCCATTCTGCCGAATATCATTCTGCATCTTCTGGGGGAACTCGTCGCAGGCCTCCCCCGCCTCGGCAGCCTTCTCATCGATCTCATCGCCCACCTGTGGGATACAATCGCTGTTAGTGGTGGTGCCAAAAGATTGTTAGATTGTTACAATGTTCTATACCAGAAAGCTGGGCCTCTCGCCCTCCGCGGACTGGGCGGCGGTGTCATTGGACTCATTTGTTTCGCTCATCTTGCTAATGTTGTTGATCTCGATGCTGTTGTTGTTCTTGTTCTTGTTGATGCTATTGTTGTTGTTCTGATGGCAGGTGATGCGGATGTTGTCGTTGCTCAGGTCGGTTAGTGCGTTATCCTTCAACTGTTCGCACAGCTCATCCACCTCGGACTTGAGGCTCTCGCTGGAGAACTTGACCTTCTTGATACTGGCCTTGGGAAATCGCTTATCACCCGCTTTTATCGCTGCTGGTGCTGCGATGGTAGTTGATGTTGCTGTTGCCGCCGAAGGGTTGCCAGTTGTTGTTGTTGTTGCTGTAGCTGCAATCACGCTGGAGTTGTCTGCAAGCAGAGATAACAAGAAAAATATACTAGTTAGTCATGGTCAAAAGTCAAATACACATTATAGACTAATTATACTGGGTTATCAGCTAGGTGTGCGATTTGTGTGCCCTTCAAGTGTTTCGGTTTAACAAAGTTGTGGATTCTTACGATTGGTGTTGCCGTTGTTGTCGCTGTCGCTAGTTGTTGCTGTCGTGGCCGATGTTGTTGTTGCTGACTTGAATCTTTTCTGGCCGCGGCCAAAGATCAGTGTCAAGAGGAATGCGAGAAAAGCAGCCAGAGTGCCTAATAGTGTGATCAACATCGGCTATATCCAAAAAGCTGCTTTAAATCGGTGAATTCAAATCGGATTAGATAATCGTATCTTGTGTCTAGCTGGTCTTAATTTACATTGTGGGCACAGTGAAAGTGGCTGTGCATTACTAAGGTTTTCATTTCGCATCATCTCGTTTCTGAGACTTTTCAAGTTCAAAAACCTTGCCACGAATTTGTAGGCCAAAGCGGCAAAACAAAACAAAATAAAAATGCTAATCTATGCATAAGCTAGTTGGCCAGATACAATTAAGAAACCGAAAAACAACCATATGGGACCCAAAAATAAATCGTTGCCAGGTCAATGAAGCAGTTGATAAGAAACATGGTTAGCGAATGATTTGTACTCTATTTTATTTAAGAAATAAACTTAAATGAGAAAAATGTTCAGACTAATGATTGAAATTATTATAGACCTCAAATGTACTAAAGGGTAAAATCAAGCTTAGGTAAGAGGTCATCTATTAATCTATTTCTTATGTAAGACAATTGCCTAACATTGACAGAGCAGCAGGTGTCGAATTCGAATTAGTCTATACTTAGCTTCAAATCACCAAGTCTAGAAACACTTAAAAAGTTCCATTCTAAGTATATACACAAATAGTTTTCAATATACTATACAAAAATACAGAAGCTTAAAGTGTTCACGGGCCAAAAGTCAAATGAATAACCCCCACTGATAATACCCTTTGGCAGGGTGTTAAAACCTAAAATTACGAAAATGAATTTTGGATATTGGGGGTACAATGTGCAGCGCATTAAAATTTAAAGCAAAGCGCAGAAGAGTGCGAAAGGAAAATGGAAAAAATACAAGCTGACAGAAAAAAAAACCCCCAGTTGTTGTGTGGAAATGCAAATTGGTGTGGCCAGTAGAAGAGGTCAATGATTTTGGCATTACAGTGTGTAAGTGTGCCAGCCAGCGGGGCTTTGAAAGGCATGGAAAGTCGAATTAGACACCGGAATCGATCTCTGGCAACCAGCGGGGTGTTATGTAACGCCTTACTCGGAAATCCCGAACTGAACTAGGATTTGGGTTACACTCCGCGTTAGAAACGACTCTACAGGTGTGGTTCCGCACTCGAGTGGCTCTATAAACAGCTCCTAAGTGGAGTCGTATGTTTTTCTATCACCGATCTTACGATAAGAACTCGAGGGCTCTGCATCTGTTCGCATTACTCAACAGCAGAAAGTACTGAAATCTTACTAGCTGTGCGATAATCTTTGGGGCAACACTTTTCGGGGACCTTGACTGGGTTTTATTTGGTTTTGTTTTAGCTTTAGTTTATTTTTAGGTTTTAGGTTTTAGGTATTACGGTTTACGGTTTGATCTCGCTTTACCACTCTGCGTGTGCCTTTGTCTAGTTTCTGGTGTGAGTTTCGAAGACGAGGTCGGATCGGATCGTTTCGTTTAGGATCGGATTCAACTTCCTAGACTGACTGGTTCCGCACGATTTCTAGATGGCTACTGCAGTGACCGACGCTTGGAACTCAACTGGGCCATGCTCGTCCGAAATAGTGCTATCGATGCCTGGACGCCGCTGCCTGCTGCCCGCGTAGCGCCGACTTCGACTTCGACGTCGGCACTATCAATATCAACTATAGCTATGGCCAGGTTTTCGTGCTCGGAAAGACCTGTGTTTGTGCGTGTTCAGGTTGTTGCGCTCGTATGTTAATCGCCGGCGGGTCTCGCGGGTCGCCAAGCCAATTGTTGTTGCTGGCGCTGAGTGACCAGAAGGTATACAAGCATACGAGTGAGCCCCACTAATTCGAACAGTAGCAAAACGGTCGTATTAAACAGGGAAATCTCTGGCATTAAAAACATTTTTATTAAGCCGACACAGGTAATAACGCGACAAGTATTGCCCAACAGCTTGAGTGATCTGTACTTAAAGCGAATACGCCATAACATTTTACGAATGATTTAATTTTTTAATTCTATTTTGGGAATTTTTATTTGTTACGATCTTAGGGGAACACAACTTTTTTGACACCGCTTATTTTTTGAATTCTAAATGTTAAATTTATTATGTATTATCCCAAATCTATTTCTACATTATCATTAAATAAAAAAAACCCATTTCAGAAATCTATCTTAGGAAAGTTCCACTGTTTAAAGGCAATTAATTCCTAACAGTCTGCAGTTGATAAATCGCGATAAGAGCGATATGTCGATGGTGATCAGCTGTTGCCAACAAACTGTATCTCTCCCTCTCTACAAGTCTGTCTTTCTCTGCTCTCTTAACTGTATCTGTGCCAATGTGGGAGCTTTTCAATGTCAAGGTCGCCGATGATGTTTCAGCTGTATTGTTGTTGTTGTTGCTGCTGCGCCAGCTGGATTTAATCTGAAAGTTGACCCATCTGCTGACGGTAGTGCACTCTACTACTCTACGAAAAAAAACAATAACAACCATAATTTCTCAATTTGCTGGCGTAAGTGGCAAGCGATGCTGATTAGGGTTAAATGAGCGAAAACGCCAGAAATTGATTAGCGCGATGCACTTGAAATCGAATTATTAACGAATTCAGTCCGATGCCACGAGCAGAACACGCAAATCCCGCTGATTTGTTTTCATTTACTTGTATTCGGTTGCTCCCGGCATCAGCAGAGGTTTTTTAAAAGTCATAAAAGAAATTCCCGACGCGACGCCCGTTTTAATCTCAGATAGGAGAGGCCGAGTGCCTGAAAAATCTTCCGATTTTGGCATTGGCCTTGGCGACCGATTATGATTAATACTTAACGGTGACGGGACGCGAAGTCTCGAAATCTTTCCCGGGATCTTATCGCACGGAAATTTTTTGTATTTTGGTTTTCGATTTTTGGTCGAATTATTCATGTTTGGCGCGTGGCCAGAAAAAAACCGTCTACTGATATCACCTCCAAATAATAATAGAACCGAAAGTCGGTCGCGTGTGAAACGCCTGATTTCGATGGGCTTATCTGTAGGATTTCTACACAGAACCAAACTAAGATTGTGTTTGTATTAACTAACTTGTACTTGTTGCAGAGTGATGGAAAAGTTTATTAAATTTAGATTTTTTTTTGTGATTAATTCTCTTATTAAATACAACATGCTTTTAGTTTTCTCTGTGTACAAACGTCTTCTAGAAATTCTATGAATTTTTATGGACCGTTCTAATTTTATGTTGAATTTTCCGCTTTAGAACATGCTCTATAGCACTCCCTTTATAACTAGGAATGCGGAACTTTAAATTAATTTTCCCCCGTGTAATAAGGATGCAAAATGTTCAATTTAATTCTTATTAGGTAATTGAAGCCGGCTGACACACACACACGGGCAAATATGCTGCTCACTCGCCCACACTCATACACATACATACGTCACGGGCATCGCGCGATGTGTAAAATCCAATAGGAATCAAGGTCAGTAACGAGTGAGCGAGAGCGAGAGAGCGCAAAAGAAGGCGAGCATATTGCAGATGAAAATAAAGGAATTGGAATTTATGCTGGGGATTGCACTTTGATTGAATTCGGCACTTTGGCCAGCGAATTCAAATGATAAACAAACGCGGGTCGCGATCTCTGGCTATGCTGGGGGGTTATTCACCCCGTCTATTTGCATATATGCGCATACATTTTGAATCGGGCCGTAATTACCCGTTTTAGCGCTTAGATTACTTACTTTTCTCCATCGCACTGCGCTTCGCACGTTTCTTTCGGTTGGCAATTTTGTTGTGTGTAACTGTTCTTTTCCGGGTGCAAAACTCTCTCTGCCAGGAATTTGGGGCCTTGACTCCCCGACTTGACGGTTCCTAGCGGTTCCCAGAGGGGCGTGTGGCACGGCTGATAAGCTATCAGCTTGTGATCGACTGCTGGGCTGTGTTTTGTTATTTTTCGCTTGATTTTTTATTCGTATTTCACGCGTAATTCGGACCACTCGATTAGTGTGGCCGTTGGCTGGGAAATACTAAAAATACTGGGGCAATGTAGCGAACAGCTGTTCGGGCTGCCAACCTATTTTCTAGATTATATGGCGGGCCAATAACAACATATCGAAATCGTCGATTGCCGCGCGTGCATTTTATAAACAATATAGAAAATAGATTTTCGAGCATGTTTGACGTGGAACCCATTATTGCCGACCACAAGGACGTTATACACGATGTGGTCTTTGACTACTACGGCCGCCGGATGGCCACTTGCTCCAGCGATCAGACAGTAAAGGTAATTTCTGTTTTTCCTGCGATTAACAACCTTTGTGATCGGGTTTTTTGGCTTGCAGATCTGGGATGAGGACGGCCAGGGAAAATGGAGCGTCACCAGCAGCTGGAAGGCTCACTCCGGCTCCATTTGGCGCGTGTCCTGGGCGCATCCGGAATTTGGCCAGGTGGTGGCCACCTGCTCGTTCGATCGCACCGCCTCCGTGTGGGAGGAGGTGATTGGCGACAAGGTCTCCGCCAGCAATACGCCCACTCGTCGCTGGGTGCGCCGCACCACCCTGGTGGACTCGCGGACCAGCGTCACGGATGTGGAGTTTGCGCCCGAAGTACTTGGGTCTCCTGCTGGCCACCGCCTCCGCCGACGGCATAATCCGCATCTACGAGGCCCCGGACATTATGAACCTCTCGCAGTGGCCCGTGCAGCACGAGATCGCCAACAAGCTGCCGCTGAGCTGTTTGTCCTGGAACACGTCCACCTATATGGTCACCCAGCTGCTGGCGGTGAGTTGGATCTTTAAGATCCTAATCCTCCATAATAACTTATTTTCCCTTTGCAGGCGGGCAGCGACGAGGCGGCCACGCCCACCGGCAAAGTCTTCTTGTTTGCCTACAGCGAAAATGCCCGAAAGTGCGTGAAAATAGAGACTGTCAATGACATAACCGACCCCGGTCACGGATGTGGCCTTCGCTCCCAATGCCGGTCGGACCTTTCCACATGCTGGCCGTGGCCAGCAAGGATCTCTACATCGTAAACCTGCGAGGCGTGACGTAAGAGCAAGATTGCGAATATCTTATTAGTATAGATTATACCCAATGATCTGTACAATTTCAGGGACGCCACTGGTGTTTCCAAGCTAGACATCCAAACTATCAAATTCAGCGAGCACATGTGTCCCGTGTGGCGCGTCTGCTGGAATATGCTGGCCACCATGCTGATCTCCACGGGCGACGACGGCTGCGTGCGTCTGTGGCGAATGAACTACAACCGGCAGTGGCGCTGTGCCGCCGTCCTGAAGGCGGAGGGCAGTGGGCCCAGCTACGAGCCAGCCCCGCCCACCCCGACGCTGGCCACCACCGCCTCGGCCACGGCCAAGTTCTACAAGAAGGGCACCATTGGCAACCAGGTGCCGTGGCACTGACCTTGTACTTAATCGTTAGAGTTCGAATAAATTCCTAAGCTGAAACTAATAAATATTGAATTATACTCTTTACTTTTTAAGAGATGAGATATATGAGGCCTTCAACTATGGCGGTTTCAAGAAGCTCAGCAATTCACTTTTGGCAACCAAGAATGAGTTTGGTCTTTTCTTTCTGTCGCGCATCATGTCGTCCGGATTTGGCGATGGCTTGTCGATAAGTACTTCGGTCATATCTAAATTGTATACCATACGCGACGACATAAACAGCAGCTCAGTATGAAATATTCTGTTTGAAGCTACGAGGACACGGCTTGCAAGCAGAAAGCAGGAGTCATATGAGCTCTATAATCAGAGCAGAGCTGCGACTCTCATCCACTAAGAAATTTGTATTGCGCTACATTAATACTATTTGACATGCGTTCAATTCAATAAAAAATTGTATAAATTAACAACTGTATTTCGGCACCAAAATTAAATTTTCCGTTTTTTTTCGGATGGATCTTTGGCAGATTCGGCGTTGGTAGGATTTAATTTTAGGTTTTTTACTGTTTTCCCGAAAATATGACGAAAATCAAAAAATGTTTTTAGACAAAAATAAAAGATATTTTATCTTTTTGGTTATAATAAATTTTTTTTTTAAACCTATTGGTTCCAAGATCCCGTTTTTTGCGTCAACTTTGACTATTTTTCCCGTTATCAGGACCAGATATGAAAAGTTTGAATGAAATCGGACCTTGAACGGAAGTTTATCCAACAAACTGCAAGTGGTTCAATAAAAATGTTTTAGAGTAAATAAATTTCTATTTATCTTAGTAGGTCAAAATTATTTATCAATTAATTATATCACGTGTATCGAGTTGTTGTTTTGTTGAAAAAACTTTTTTCTGTTGGAAATTGAAGATGTTGACGACAAACTAATTTATTGCTTTTATAAAATCTCTCAGAAACATTGTAAATATTTGTAATGTGCAGTTGTGTGTATCGATGGTTCTTTCATTTTATTCCACTTACGTCTTGGAATAATAGCCGGCATTCTAATAAATCCAATGAGTATCTTTCTGGTCCACATTTCTCTTTTTCAGTTTAGTACTCTGTAGATTGCGCTTCCTGGGTCATTTTCGAGTTACATCACAAAACGTGGAGATCTTAGTTCCCCAAAAACACTAAAAGACACTAACGAAAAACTGCACTAATACTCTACACACTTGCCGGCAAACTGAAGCTATTATTGATTTTGGTCTACTTGCCCGGAAAGGGAAAAATCAAAACAAATTTTAAGTTCACATGACAAATAAGAATAAGAGCGAGCACTAAAATAATAATAATAAAATACTCTCTTGCGTCACATGAGTGTGTGAGTGAGGAGAACGGCAGATCTGATATGCTAGCTATTTTTAAAAACCCTCATCGCAGGCAAAATCGATTAGAAAACCCAACAAAAAAAGTAGAAAAACGCATTTTCAGGTTCAGTGGCTGCATTCAAATCCAATGCTTTTATTAACTTTATTTATGGGTTATGTGTGTTCGATTAACCCCTCACATGGGAACAAAATCAATGGATCATAAAATCCTATTTAAGTGCATTTACATTCCATCCACATGTGCATAAATTAAATATTGCGACACAACAAGTGCCCACAGCCAAGGTTTTTATTATGTTTAACACGAAAAACCATTCAGAAATATCGCGAAATATTCCACTTAATTGACTCGAACCGCAATAAAAATTGGATTCATTTCACTTTCGATGACACCACACACAATTATAATGATATGCAACCACCCCGCGGCGGGTATTCGGCCTGGGCCTCCTGATCCTGTTGCTCTGCTGGTAATCCAAGGAATGAAATCCCGTCCGACCAGCCCAATGGTTTTTGTAGCCACCGCCGAGTGATAAAACCACCCCGCCTGCGTCGATATCAGAAATACTGCCCCGTCCCAGATCCGAATGATTGTCTCTAATTGGAAGTTTTGACGTGTGTATTATGTTAAAGGCGATGGTGTTGACGCCGATCTCTGGGCCAAACAACCCTTGTGCATTTTATGGTAAACTCCGGTGGGTGGTAGTTTCCACATCGCGTGGGAAGTCAAAGCTCAGGGGTCTCTCACATAGCCTGAAAACGTGGTAAGTCCCGAAACATTTATATGTGTTTAACCGGCAAAAATAAATTAATGCGCAAAAGATTGTTTCTTGTTTTTTTGTTAGGGATGATTTCGTATTTTCCCACATTCCACAGACAGCAATTTTGGTTGCTCGGTTTCAATGTAATTTCGGTTTCAAGTGATTTTTTGGTGTGGGCCAATGAACTTAATTGCAAGTAGTGAAATTCGCTTAAATTAAATTAAACTATCCATTTGGGAACTCAGGTCTTAAGGGATTGAAGACATATTGCTAACATTTTTACTTAACTGTGGGAAATATATACCTCTTTTTTTATCCTTCCTAAGAATGCTTTGTAAAACATATTTATATGAACCCGAGATCAGATCTATTGTAACATTTAAAGATATTTCGTTATATCTAACATTTTAATTTTGTAAGAGAAATTCTCTTAATGAATATGATAATCATTTTAATGGTAAAATCTAATGCCTTGTCTGTAAAAATTGTGACTATTGTCCTCTTAGACACATAGTTTACCCTGTAAATCACGTAAAATAGGTAGTAGTTTATTTTATTTTAACCTTCCAACCTTTATGAAACTGTTTCCCTTTCAAAGTTTAGGTTTCTGGATCCGAGGCAAGATCCTTAGCTGGCCCAGCCTGGTTTCCAGTTTTTCTCGAAAATTTCCCGTTTGTCCTGCGGTTTTGGGTTCGGTTTTTGGTGTTCGGGGTTGCGACCTCAGCACCTTGCTAACCCCGCTCCCTAATTGCAAGCGGCGAATGTGCAGCCGGCTTAACTAACCGCCGCGGATTGGGTGTTCACGTGCTTAGTTAGTTGCTCACGCATTCATATTCATAGGCATATGCAAATTTCTTAAACCATGAGCGGCATTTGTTGACCCCCAGCGCAGACTGACCAGCGGTCAGCGGTCAGCGTTCAGCGGTCCGCGATCCAGTGGTCCAGCGGTCTAACGAGCACAGTGGCAGCCTATTAGGTTGGGATTATTTCCGATTCAGTGCATTTGTAAATGTAAAATATTCAAAATTAAAAACGAAATGGTTCCGGAAACTGGGGGGCATCACTTTGCATCTGGTGGCAGATAACCAAAGCGCAATCGCGCCTGCTCGTACAGGATAAATGTGATGATTGTGTTGGGACTGACTCGTATCAGGGCCGGAATAAAGCCTTTATAGAAGGCCAAAGGACCCTGCTTGGCGATGCTGAGAAAGGCTCCCCCAATCCCGGAGAACTCGCCCGGCTTGGCATTCATAAAAGTGGTCTTGAGCACATCGATTGGCTGTGTTATAATCGTGGCAATGCATCCGGCTATCGTGGAGGTGGCAAAGTGCAGCGGCACCCCATCCTTTGCTCCTGTGGCAGTCTTAAGCATCTGCTTAACCTGGTCGTAGGCGGCATTGGTACCGATGGTCAGCAGGATGGCTCTGGAAACGGCTGGCACAGTGCCGCGGAAGAGACTGGACATGCCCTCCTCTTTGTAAATGCGGTAGAGGCCGTCAAAAACGTTCTTGTAGCTGAGGAATTGATTTCGATGAGAAGTGTTGGGTAAAACAAGAAATAGCTAGGGTCTCAGGATACAAAAAAAATACGGTTAAAAGGATGTTTATTGAGAAATAGTGGTTAGTACCTCAGTACGTTGACATTCCCAACCAAACCTTTCTAACAAACGGACAAACCCTTCTGACAAACTAACGGACAAAGAAACGTCCAAGACTGTACTGACTGTAAGATGATAAAAAATATACAAAAATAAATCCGTAATGCAAGAAACTCTATAAAAAGAAGTTGCTTAAGAAATTCACATTACAAACCTATTCCAAAGAAAACGTACAGACAAAAAGATGAGCAAACTAACGGACAAAGAAACGGACAGAGCAAATTCCACTTGGCTATCAAATCTTCTACACTCATAGAAATTTTTACCCTAAATCGCCCTAAAAAACTGACTTTTCGCCCGTGGATTTAGAAAATCGCCCATAAATCGTATCCGCTGGCGATTCGCCCGTGTATTTAGAAAATTTTCTAAAAATCCCGATGGAAATTTGGTTTAATTTAGGGTGATTTTTCTTGAATTAAGAAATATTTTCCTGTTTTTAGGGTGATTTGCCCTAATTTTAAGATGTATTTTTCTAAAATTAAGGGCGAATTTTCTATTTTTAAAGGCAAATGCCCTTAAAAATTAGACAAATTAAAAAAATCGTGTTTGAGCATGCTTAACTGAATTTGGGAAGCATGTATTTTAATCGTGTATATTCTGGGAACTGGGACTGCTTTAATTAAACAACACCGGCGGAGGACACCGTTTCATATTATTGTATTGGTGTGTAGCTTATATGGGAGCGGCGTTAAGAGGGGGGCCCGATCTATACAGCACAGCCGTTAGAACTGAAAAATCATGTTTGTAAACGAATTAGGGAAATAAATATGAGGAGAAAAAACAACTTACTTTTTTTGGTCTTTGCGAGAATCGAACCCACGACCTCTCGGTTTAGAGTCTAACGTCCTACCTCTGCACCACAGACCCATCGCGCAAGACGACGAACAAACTCTGCACACATCATATTTTCTTGAGGTCTACGTTATAATATGACTATAGGCAACTAAACCGTATATTTATTTCCTGACGACTGTGACAATTAGTCCCGTTTTCTTGCCCGCAAACACAAAGTATGCTTTTAACTCAGATTTCCCATACGTTTTTAAGGTTTAAAGACTACTTTAATTAAAAATTCGGACGAAAAAATGTCCTTAGTGTTTAGTCCTTATAATGTTTACAAAAAAAAAACATAAAAATCAAGTTGAATCACACAGGGTTCGAACCCACAACCCCACGACCTTAGTCCTCATATAGCAAAGTTGAAAGCGCAAGTGATTAGACCGCTGGGCTACCGAATTTCACACTTTTGGAGTGATTTTTAAGGCGAATCGCCCTTGTATTTAGAAAAATTTTAGAAAAAATTAGGGCAATTCGCCGTTGGATTTAGAAAAGGTCAAAACGAAGCAATTCGAAAAAATCGCCCTAAATATTAGAAAATAGAAAAATTAACCCTAAAAATATTTTTTTATGGTTACCAGCCTTGAGTTTATGGCAAATTTGTCATGAAAATAGAAAATTTTTTCAGTTCAACGGCGAAAATTTTTTTAGGGCGATTTTCTAAAATGTAGAAAATTATTTTTATGAGTGTAAGATCTGCACTTTATAAAGGAAGTAAAATAGAGCAATGTCTAATATTCTTCTTCTTTTTAAGGCCTTTAAGATTACAGGTGTACAGGTGTAAACCAAAGTAATACTCACTTACGTCGATTCTCCGGCGGCAACTTGCTGTCGTTCTGCAGACGCACTGTAACCACGTCACCAGGGACTCCCACAATCCCACCCACGAGTCCCGCGAAGGTGGCCAGGCCCATCTTGGCACCCATGTTTCCGGCGTCGACGTAATCCTTGCCAGCTTCGTACAGGGCAAAGCGGGTGGTGGTGTAAGTCAGCTGGCGAAACCATGAAGCCGAGATGCCGCTGTAGAAACCGGTTAAACCTCCTCGCTGGTAGATGTTCTTGATGATCTCGCTGACGGGCTTTCTCTCCTTACGCGACTGCGTCTGCAATTGCACCTTGATCAGGTCCAGCGGATGGGTGGTGGTCACAGCGATCGCCGAGCAGATGCCGCCGGACCACCAGCGCGGCAAGCGCTTTTCGTCTTTACTACCCATAGAGATCTCTGATTGATCTCTATATACCACGGGTTTTACTGATTATTTTGAAAATTAAATATTAAAAAAATGACAAACAATACTACAAATGCTTTGTAAATATATAGTTTTTCTGTGGGGGATTTAAAATAAATTTTTTTGTTGCTTACTTAATTTTTAATCAATAATTTTATAGCCCATATCCCTTTAACGTTTCAAACAGTTTTATACTGTTGGAAAATTAAGGACTTTCTTAAATGAAGTGCACTTCAACATTTATTTTGCACCCTATATTAAATGTTGAACCCTTTCACATAACCCCTTGAAACTTTTAAATAAAACAGATTTCATATTTTCACTTTTAAACGTATGTGTTTATTTACAATAGATTCACAAAAGGTTCAAAAACTAAGTATACTGAATGAATTAGGTGTAAATGCTTAAGGTACGTAGCTAATCTCACTGCATTGTTTCTCTCTTTTTCTCTCTGTGTAGGATGCGAAACTTAAGACTATCACACTTGGTCTGCTCTGACTAGAGATCCTGTTCTGAATTCCATTTTTCAACTTGAAGTTCTATCGCTTAATAGGCCATCTCGGCGCCCCAGGGTCGATAGGGTTTGGCTCCGTTGGGCGTGGCATATTGCAGGACGCTGGAATTGTTGTAGTCCTGGCCACCGCTAACGGGATACTGAGGGGCGGCACTGTAGCTGAGGCTCTCGGAACCAACGGCCGCTGGTCGATTACTGTTGGTCAGTTCTATATAGGTGGGTATCTGCTGCTCGGGATGCACTGCGCTGTGATCGTGGGTGTAGTGTTGCTGCTGTGCCGGTTGAGGTGTTGTCTGCGTGCGTTGCTGTTGCTGCTGCTGCTGATGTTGCTGCTGGTGTTGTTGCTGCTGTTGCTGTTGCTGTTGCTGTTGCTGCTGATTGCTGCTCTCGGAGTGAATATCGTGGGTGGGCAGGGATTCATTCACTCCCGTTCCACTTGTCCGCGAGACACTGGTTCGTCCGCCCAGTTGTTGCTGGCTGGTCTGCTGGGAAGGCGAGGCACTCAGCGTGGGATAGCTGGACACATAGGCAGCCGGATTCGAAGGCGCCGCGTAGCTCTGATAGGGAGCTGCCGCACAGTTCGGTTGATAGCCCGAAGAACTGGAAGGGGCGGGTGTCCAGCCGCCAACAGGACTGGCGCAACTCTTGGCCGACAGCTCGCGCTGCTGGACAAAGTACTGCAGGTGGGACATGAGGCGCAGGCGCAGCGGATCCTGGATGTCCATGCCCTCGATGGTGACCAGGTAACGGGCCACCTCGGCGGCGCACTCGCGGAAGCCGATGATGTGATAGTCCATGGCCACCCGCTGCGGGTCATAGCTCAGCGAGTCGAGAGCTGCAATGGGAGAAGAGGAGGCGGAGAAAGTCAATAAGCTGTCTAATCCCGGATCGAGCAAACAATTAAAATAGCTGTTCCCACGCGACATGCATAAAGAACAACCCCCGTGCCGTTGTCCTTCTACGGGATGACTAGCGAGGTGGTAAAAATCAGGGGGTGGAAGCCCGCTCCTCACTGTAGCTTTACTTTGCCATAGTGGTGGTGCCACGGCCAGCGTGGGAAGCCCCGAGATTCGAGATTCACTCGGCTTTGGGGGGTGGTGGTGCTGTTTTGTTTATGGCAATCATAACTTTCCCACAATTCGACCCTGCTCGGGACAACAGGTCAGGATTGTTTACCCAGATTTGTGATAATTTGCCGCATATTGTATTTAATTTTGTGTCTCAATTGCTTCCCACAGCGGGTTTCGTTTAGGGAATCTAGTTGGAGTTTTTCCTCAAAATGTTTTTATAGGAAGTAAAAATTTCGGTTTTCAAAGGATAATATTGCAACTCGTAAAAGATAATTTTTGGAATTTATGGCATATTTTCTGTCTTACGGTCTATCTTTTAGAGTCCTTATAATCTTTACTGGAACAAGCTTTACTACTTTTAAAATCAATAGAGCTTTATCCCCAAAAAAATTTAGTATTTAAAATTTACTGCTTTTGTGAGCCCAACTCTTTTAGTTTGACCTAAAAATAGACACTTACTTTTGGATTGCAAGTTCTTCAGATGCTCCACAGTTAGTTGCAGGATCTCCGCCTTCTCCAGCTTGGCAGATCCCTGCTTTTCATAGGCGGAGGGCACCAGGCGTTTGAGTTCGGTGAGCGAGGAGTTGATGCGATCTCGACGCTTCTTCTCGATCACTCCGCGACGCTTCTTGCGACTCATCAGTTGGCAGCTGCCCGGTTCGCTGGGCGAGATTCTAAAAGTGCAAATAAGAAAAGGTTTAGATTTAGAATTGGTTAGTTTATATAGGTGATTTTTTCTTTAAATAGAGCACATCATAAAATATAAAAAACACTGACACTAATAAATTTTGAGCTATGAAAAAATTTAAATTTTTCTTTATACCGTTAATAAAACGAAAATAGAACTTGGGAATGTAATGTTTGTATGAATTTAAAGACAAGTATTTTAGTTATATTTTGGTAAATTTTGAGAACTATTAAAATAACCACTGATAGCCTTAAATTATTTTAAGTATCCTTGAAGTGTTAAGCTGTTTTCTTGTGCTTTGATTTGGTGGTCAACTTTTTTTCGGGGCTCACTGAATAAGATTAATGTTGCAAACTTTTCGAAACTGAATTTCGCGTAATAAATCTCTTAATGATTTTAAGATGTTGTATAGCTCTATGGGTAAGAAATGTAAAACACTCTTGTTGCTAGTCACGAATACGCACTGTTCTTTGGAGGACTCCTCGGAGTAGAGATCGTCGCAGTCGCTCTCGGAGAGCGTCCGCTTCAGGCTGTTGTGTCCGTGGCTGTGTCCCGTGACCGTGACTGTGGTTGCTGTGGGCGCTGTGGTGGCTCTGCGGCGGCGGTACCCAGTGGCTCTGGGGGGTGGTGGCGGTGGCGCCCGGCATCACCACTCCTGGCCCGGTGGCATAGCCCCAGTGGTGCAGCGACGGCGCGTTCACGTGCATATTGTGATCCATTGTGCGTCGTTTGCTCGTTGTTTATACTGCTTATTTGCGACTGTTTATTTGCTGCTCCTGCGCACTTGACACTGTTGCCGTGCTGATGTTGCTGTTGTCGCTGGGCGAGTGTTGCGTGTTGCTAGTCGGCACTGTTGCAGCAAGTTGCTGATATAGCTAGCGGATAGCGGAGCTAGTTTGAGCACGTGACTTATCGTGTGCGCGAACGGCGTTCGACTGATTCTGCAGCACACGTCGAGCGGACGACCTGCCCTCCGCTGCCGCCGCTCAACCCCTTTTTACCGCCTGCGGCAGCCGTCCAATAAGATGCAGCAGCAACCACCCCCTGGCAACGCGTGCTGGCTGGGATTGGGATTGGGTTTGGGGTAGGAAATGCTCGAACAGCGATCGCTGCCAAGTGAACAAGGGAGTGTGCGACAAGGAGCGGCAATCAAATGAGCAAGCCTCTGTCATCATCTAGCAGCGATTTCGATTCTATCGCTATCGCTACATGCATCCGATATAGCATATTTCGGCAGCATCTGCAGCACGGCCTCTAATCGGCGCCGTGGGCGACAAACTGGCGACGTCCGTCGTCCACTTGTTCGCCGGCTGGAGCGGCTGCAGCGGACCATGGAACTCAAACTGGAGCACGCGCCCGAGCAGCCGTCGGTCGTGTGGCATCGCGTGGCGCCGGGAAAGCCCCAACAAGTGCAACAGCCGCCGTTGACCTTTATCTTCGCCGTGGGCCGTGTGCTGGTGGCCCACACATTTCTAGGTCAGTGTTGGCTCAAGGTTACGGCATCAGGAGTCCGCAATGGGAACGGGAACAGCGGCGGGAGCGGGAGCCGAGATAACAGCGACTTCGGCAGCAGGTGTCCCAAGTTGACCTAGAAATTACAAGAGGTAAAATCGATTGCTTTGCCTAGCGTTATGCCAATGCGGAAACTTGGCTTTCTAAACAATTTGGTTTCTTGTCAGTAATTTTTGTTTAGGAAAATGTTAATGTTAAAATGGTTATGTCCCGAAAGCCAACCATTAAATCATTATTAAATTAAATTAAAATTCAGCTTATTAAATTAAAAATAAACTTTTTAGGAAATAATACTCGCAGAAATCTCAGAAGAAGGTTGGATAACTTTTCCAATACACCCAGAAAAATGATGGACAACATTTTAGGTCATGCATAGCCTAAAACATTTTAAATGGACTAAAAGTTCCTTTTTAGGTCATGTACTGCCTAAAAATTTAAATTTTTGGTATATTTGCCCTACTATTTAGGTCCCGTATAGCCTAATATTTTAGGTCATCGTGGGCCTTAAAATTAATGCATTTTACCTAAATAAATTTGCACGGAACTCTGATTCCGTTCTAGCGACTCTATAATTCCCAACCAGTTATAGCGCGGCTTGCATGGTAACCCACTTCGATCGTTGAATAAAACAGCGATTTCACTGCTGAACAGTGAAGCCTCTTCGCTCGTTTTTGTGTGTTGGAATAATGACGACTTCTTGAAGACTAAGCCGACATTGACCTCGAGTTAGCTATAAATTTCTCTGTACTTACTTTATAATATGAAATATTTTTCAGTACAAATTTTTAGGCCAAAGAAAGCCTTTTTAAGGCAGCATATTACCTAAAATCTAGGCCAAAAATTACCCAATTTTAGGCCCTTAATGGCCTAACATTTTAGGTCATACAATCCTAAATTTTAGGCCATTCAAGGACTTAGCTCCAGTTTTAGGCCAATTTTACCTAAATTCTAGGCCATTTTTTGACATTTTAGGTCATTTTTTTTCTAGGTGTACCCATCGACATCATCAGACCCGCGTTTTGAAACATTAAAGTACACAGAGAAAATTATCAAAAGTTTTAGGTGCAAAATACTATAGTATTGTCGCCATCATAAGATTGTTATCCACCACACTCATGTTATGTTGTTACTAATATGTTTCTATGTTCTAAATATGCGTTTTATAACCATTGGTTAATCAACGTTTTTAATAAAAATGCTAAAAAAAAGTTTTTGCCGCACCAACAAACCCCCAAGTAAGATTTTCAATTTTTTTCAAGCTCTATAAAAAGTTAATTACGTGCTTAAACTGAATTTGAAAAAAAATGTACATCCATAAGTTTTTTAATGTTTTATACCCTTGTAGAGGGTATTATAATTTCAGTCAGATGTTTGCAACGCAGTGAAGGAGACGTTTCCGACCACATAAAGTATATATGCAAGGGTATATAGGCTTCGGCTGGCCGAAGGTAGCTTCCTTTCTTGTTTAATTAAATTTTCCCCAAAAATTCCAATTTTGTGTAAAGGGGGATATCCTTTTTACCAACAAAAAATTAATTCTTTCTTTTAAGGGGAGCCTTTTAGTTTTAATTGTAGTTGGCTTAATGTAGGGAGATTGTAATGAATGCGTTCTGCCCTGCAACGAATCCTCATAACGTTTTAAGGAATGGTCAGAAGAAACTATTTACATGTCGATGGCTATTACTGAACAAAACTAAATTGCATTAACAGTTTAACCATATTTTTGAAAATGGGCGCGCTAGACATCTTTAAGCGCTGGAGGCGTTAGAGTGGCGCTCGGCTGAATCAAAATGAACATTAAGGGCCGTTTTCTCGTCAGCCTGTTAAATTTAAAGTACCGTTAAAACTCTGTTTTCCCATACGATTTCAAGGTTTTAACCCTACTTTAAATTTAACAAACGAACGAGAAAACGGCACTAAGCTAATAAAAACATACACATTCTTGGTCAGGATCGCAATACAAGACGACCTTGCCATGCCAGTCTGTCCCTTGGTATGAACGCCGAGATCTTGGGAGTTACAACAATCATTAAGTTACACACCGCAAATATCTATTAAAATACATGTCTATTATCAATTTTTATCGATATATTTGACATTTTTCAAATATAACAATTTTGTTGCAATATTGCAATTAATGTAAGGTTCCTTCTTCAAGTCAAAGAGGATTAAGGGATAACTTTAACCGCTACCAAAAGCTCTAACTTATCGGAGAAGAAATTATTTTAGATAAGATTAGATTAAAAATCATAAAAAAAAGTACAATTCAAATTGGGAAATACATTTGTGTTGAGATATTTTAAACATAAATTGCTCTTTATCTTTTTTTCCGGTTATTTGGGACCACTTAGACCCTTATTAAATGCTGCAAAAATAGTTGTCTCCTTAGCTCTTACAGATTATGCTCTGGGCGTGTCCCCCCAAAAAATTCGTCTTTCAAACTATAAATATTTTTGTAAATGATATTTTTTCTTGCCCACTATTTGTTATTATTTCTTTAACCTAATCCAAAGAACTCCCCATAACCTTTTTTTTTGTCCATTTTCACGATTAATTTCGATTGTTGAGGCGTAAGCTCAATAATAATGGCGCCCCATATCAATTTCAAAAAAGTACATCAAAAAATCGAAAATTATAAAAAGTGCTTTTAATTTGATTCGGCATGCTGTCGCTCAGGTTTCGACTGTGGCAAACAGCAAAGTGGAAATGCTTAATGGCCAATGCCAGTGTCATAGCCAGCGTGGGACAAACTCGCACGGAATCGAGCTGGAACCCACCCCTATCAAGTGGACGGATAGTGCAGCTGTATAGGGCAATGGTTGTAGCAGCAAGTTGAACTTGCACCACCGAGGCACTGAATTCGAAATCGCAGCCGTGGCTCGTGGGAAAGCCAAAGGTCTACGGATTCTCACGAGCGTCCAGCACGTGCGGGTCGTGCGCCGGAATGGAATGGAATGGATCGATTGGGCTGGGGGTGGCGACGAACTTACTCCCACCCTCCCACAGGACAGCACAAAGGCCATTCGCTTTCGCATTTTGAAGTGCATTTACTCAAGGTATGGAGCCAAAGGAGCGCCGCACACACAACACACACTTTATTGTTAATGGATATTCTCGAAAACAACTTTCTATAATGAAAATTGCGGTCTACCGACTCAAATACTCGAATACATATATATGTAGGTAATTCTCACAAGACTGGTTTTCTTTTGTGCTCGATCGCTGGACGCAAAGTGGAGGTTACAAAGCCGCTGAGTCTCCGTTTCCGGATTCAGAAGCTCCTAAGGCAAAGATTACAATTGTTTCCGGCGGCCGCACTGTCGTGCCGATGCAGCTCCAGGCTCAGGGGTTCCGTGTCGTCCACCCAGGTCTCCAGAGTGCAGGAGCTGGACTGGTGGCTGGACTTCTGGGACTGCGATAGGGATCTGGTGACGGCCGCTGCCTGGCGCCACCTGTTGTCGAAGTCCTCCCAGCGATCGCAGGAGTCGTCGTCCAGGGAGTTGCCATTGATGTCCCACTTGACGATGGGGAAGTCGTCGTGCGGCGGCTCCATGATCACCACGCTGTGGTAGTTGCCCTCCAGCTTGGAGCCCAGACTGATGCTGCAGGGATGGTAGCGGTTGGCCGGGGGGATCTTCTGCAGTTGTTGTCTCCTCGGAGTTGCCTGCTGAACGGAAGGCTTCTCCTGCTGCTCCAATTGCCTTGGCTGCTGCTCCTCCAGATGCAAATCCAGACTGGAATTAGAGGGCGTGTGACGCAAGTAGCGGACATTCTCCTTGTAGTTCACCCGCTCGAATTCAATGCTCGTTGGCAGGGTATCCAGAACCTCGTAGCTGCCGTAGCTCATCAAGTACTTGGTCCGCAGATCGTGCTTAACTTCCGGCTGCGACTCCTGCACTTCCTTGGCCAAGTCCGGAGCGCACTCACTGAGCTGCAGCTCCTCGTAGATGGCCTCCGTCACCTGGCAATTGCTGTTCACATCCAGCTCCAGGTCCCGCTGCAGATCCACCTCCACCTCCTCGTCGTCGTCCCCATCCTCCTCGTCCAGCCGCTGCACAAATAGTTGCTTCGAAGTCGATATCTTGCGCAGGAACTGAAAAGAACAACGGGGCGTATGATTAACGTGCCAAAAGCACTGGCATGCAAACTTCACTGTTTATTTTCATTCGGCGGTGGTCGCCATCGATTTTTTATTGATTACCCAGTGGCCGGAGAGCCACCCACTCGGGCGCCAGACGCGGACTAACCTTCAGACAGGACTTCTTGGTGCGCCTCAGCAAATGCGACATGCTGAAATGGCAATGTCTTTGTGTCGCTGCCGATTATCCTCCCAAATTGAACAGTGCAATTACAGTGGCTATTGTTGGCCTTCCATCGCAGTTGTGGCAATGAGCCGGGGCATGTGCCTCATCGCTGCTGCAGCGCGTTGGCCTATCCAAACAAAACTGAACAAGGAAGCGCCGAGTCGCATGAGTAGCAGGTGGAGCAAGGACTTCCCACGCCGCACTCGTGCCACATGACTCATGGCAGCGGCACGAGTGCACGGAGAAAAAAACAGATGGACTCGCTCTCTACAATTTCAAAGTATAGGTTTTCCTATATAGGAACTAAGATGGTATCTTTTATAAACCCACTTTAACAAACTCTTTTCAATTGCATTGCTCCAAAGTTTAAGTTTTGATGGTTATTGGTTTATTAATGATCCTGGAACTTAAGACTTTTCTAGCACTAAACAAAATATTATATTTCACGTTTTATATAATTTAAATTCTCCACCAAAGAAATTTTAGAACGTATCGAAGTATTTTTAAATATTTAAGAACTATTAAAAATATTCTGAATGTTTAACAAAGTTTCCCCAATAGGTTGTTTGAAAATTTAAGCACGTTGAGATTTCTCACTGTGTACTGGGGAGCAGTGCAAGTGCCAGCTGAGAGCCGCTGCCGGCACAGGCGCAGTATAATCCAGGCGCACAGATTGGGAATCTCGAGTGGGTCGCCCCTAATGCGGTAATGGCCCGGCTTAGAGCCCCTTTCCCGGCGTAACCCCTGAACCGAAGGCCCTCGGATAGCCGGTCAAGTGCCTGGGGCGCTACGATGGGCCAAAGGTGAGTTCTGCTCCCAGATTATTATTGTTCGTGTGGCTGATGGGGGCGCCAACCTGGCGCTGCCATCCATGGCAAGTTTGTTATGAAACTATTTCCGGAGAGGGTTGCCGCTATACTTGCGGGAGGTGGTCATATAAGCATGGGAAATTTATTATTGCCACGCGAAATATGTTATAAATAGTGTGTCAATGCCGTGAGTGCTGAAGTGGAAGCGATTTTTTAATAATTATTTCAGACAGAAATTATTCGCAAAAGTATCTGTTAGGCTTTAATTTTGCTTTTAACTTATTGCGAGATTTAATAAATTTATTACATAAGATGTTTATTTGCAATATTAATATTTATATGAAATATATTAATAAACTGTGTGCACTAAATATAAAAATCGAATTATACATATGTTACTAACAAATAGTTATCCCTGACAAATCATATTGTACGCCACTGTAAAGAGTCTAATCGTTTGATCTATAAACAGGAAAGGAAGTTAACTTCGGCCAGCCGAAGTTTATATACCCTTGCAGGTATGCCTACTTAAAATGTTGTTTTTACATTGTCAAAAATCTAAACGCGTACTTTCTACAAAGTTACAATGGTTTTTCTATTATTTTTCTTGATTATTCCTATGGGAGCCATAAGGTATAGTGGTCCGATCCGGCTCGTTCCGACATATGTACTACCTGCAATAGAAAGAAGACTTTTAAGATCGCGATAGCTTTAAAAACTGAGGGACTAGTTCGCATAAAAACGGACAGACTCGGAAACGATGGACTCGGCTATTGATGCTGATCAAGAATATATATACTTTATGTGGTCGGAAACGTCCCCTTCTGAAATTATAATCCCCTTTGCAAGGGTATAAAAAATGTTTGAATTCGATTAACTCAACGTGCTCAATAATCTCTTATAGAGAGATTTGGATTTGGCTTATCAGCACACACTTTATAATTATATTCTACTAGATGTTGCCCAGACAGGCACAAAGCAGAATTAATAAAGTTGGTGACCCAATTTCTTTTCTTATATGTAAAGTTTATGGTTGTGCTAGCAGTAAATCTAGATTATTATTCACACAACTTTAAGCAAAAGGGCTAAAGGTAAAATTTATAAAGTAAGTCCGCAAATAACTTATGTTAATAGATTTAAATGTTTCGAATAGGCAAACACAAGCGAAATGTATCTGAATTTAAACTCAATTTATGAGGGAACTCCTGTGACTGACGATCAAATTAATGACATTCGCATGTAAATTTCCAGCATTTTAAGCGAATGATTTAAATGCATTTAGTTGTGAAAAACCCGAAACCTGTTTTACAATTCAGCATGCTGAAAGTGCTTCGGATTTCAAATCCACATTTTTTGTGAGCACTTTACAGCCTGTCGTCGATTTGTCACATCACTCAATGTGAGGAGTGCTCTTTGTGGTTTCGGGTTAGTTTTGAAATCGCGTCGGAAGTGGAAAACTGAAATCGAGTGAATGATGACACTCGCAGCAAATTGCAATCAAATCGCAATGATTCGGATATATCCGATTCCTTGGGTTTTCGAGCATGACAAGATCCTTTTTTCGCCCATCGCTCAATACTTTTGTCTGAGGCATTTGACAGTTATCATTCTGGGGATTGCAACTCCTTTTTTTGTAGCATCTTCAGCGAAGGCCAAAGGGAGTGCGAAAAAATATTGATGGGCCCAACCAATTAAAGGTTGATTGATAGGACACTCCAGCTAGCTGGCGATGAAGAGCTGCAATTGCCAATATCGATTACAAAAGTTTGATTTTAATTTTTAATTGCCCGTTTGGACGCAGTCGAGGGGTTGCTAAATCGGCCAGGACAACAGACCACAACAACCCTCCTTGCCGGCACGCACACTTCTATTATTATTATTATTATTATTACAATTGTCATTGCCGTGGAATTTTCTAGGGGTGTGTGTAGGGGTTTGATGCGATTCCGATTTAGATTTCAAAGGCGGTGTGAAGTGCCCCGTGTCCGCGGGGCAAGTGTCAATTATGCACGACTTGATGGCCACTCCGGCATTTGCTGTTGAAAATTTACATTTTATTAGTTTTACATGCCCATGCAGCCGCGCGAGGGCATTAAAATTATTTACGATGCCAAATATTGTTGGTTGTAAATTACGTACTCTGGCAAATATTCATTTCGGGGGAGTGAAGGGCGGGTAACGGCCGTCTCAATCGCTTGACCTTTTGCCGCTAATTAGAGCCACATTGTTTCTCGATGAGGAACGTTTTCGGAGCGTGTTCCTAAATGTTTCGCAAGTCTGTTGCGATTCGAGCACAAGTCGTTGACTGATAACAATTGTATTATGGGTCTGATCGGGGCTCTGGGGCCCCAGTCAGTTGCGAACAGTGCGAGATGGCGAGCGGTACCCCAGAAATTCAATACTACGAGCACGAGCTCAACATCCGCCGGGTGATCGAGCAGTCCGCCCTACAGAGTCTGGATCAGGCCCTCAATATCTGCGACCTGTCCAGTGTGGAGCGGAAGCATCGTCTTTGGCGGGAGCTGCTGCCCAGGATAAAGCCCTACTACGCCGTCAAGTGCAACGATGATCCCGTGGTGGTCAAGCTGCTAGCTGAGCTGGGCGCGGGATTCGATTGCGCCTCCAAAAATGAGCTCAAACTGGTGGGTCCTCTAATCATTCTTACCGTTATATAGTAAAGGTTATAGTACAGAGCGTTTCCAAAAAAAAAACGTGGTCTTAGCATTAAATTTGAACAATTGTCTGGTTTATAAGTCAGGAAATATTCCACCCTACTTTTATTGCTTCTAGACATATTTACAAAACAAGATTAGAAAAATAGGTACTATAAAATTAATCTTTTAGTTCAACGTGCTTTTAATTAAACCTAATGATATGTTTTTGTTCTACCTCCTTAAATTTAAAGGTCTTAGGCTTTGATGTCTCACCAGAGCGTATTATCTTTGCCAATCCCTGTCGACCTGTCAGTCATCTGGAGTACGCCAAGGAGCACCATGTGGCCAATGGCACCGTGGACAATGAATTTGAGGTCTACAAGCTGCACACGCACTATTTCAACTCAAAGTAGGTTTTAGTTAATTTGAAATTTCAATTGTACAATTTGGTTTTTCAGCCTAATCGTGAGATTCAAGAGCGAGGCCAAGGAGGCGCAGTGTCCACTGGGTGACAAATTTGGCTGCAATGCGGATGTGGATGCAGCTGCCCTAATGCTGCTGGCCAAATCCCTGGATCTCAAGGTAACCGGCACCAGTTTCCACGTGGGCTCCGGATGCAGCGAGCTGGAGGCCTACGACAGGGCCATCAAGAAGGCAAAGAATCTCTTTAAGTTCGGCGGGCTGTTGGGCTATGACATGGACTTTTTGGACATAGGAGGCGGGTTTCCCGGCAGCGATGATGAAAAGTTTGAGAAGGTGGGATGGGAGAACACTTTAATTTAAGCACTTTCTTGAGCACTTTCTTTAACACAGATTGCCGAGAGTGTTAATATCTCGGTGCAGCGCCACTTCCCCGATGAGAGTGTCCAAATAATAGCAGAGCCAGGACGTTTCTTTGTGGCTGCTGCCTACACATTGGTCTGCAAGATCCATGCAAAGCGGGAGATTCGCAACGAAGCTGGGAAGCTGGACACCGTGATGTACTACCTAAATGATGGAGTATATGGATCCTTTAACTGTATTCTGTACGACCATCAAGTGGTGACCGCAGAGCATTATCTGGTAAAATCCAATACTCAACTTTTCAATAACTTTATAAATTTCGCAACCAAAACGAAGTATCATACATACGTATAAGGACTAGCGAGGCAACATTTTTCAATAGAAAATGTTATCAAATGAAGCATTGTAGAAAGTTTTAAGTATCTAATTTGTCTTGAATTTGTCTTACAGGATGAAGCAGATTCCTTGCCTCAGTTAAAGTCTCTGATTTGGGGTCCCAGTTGTGATGCTTTTGATAAGGTGGGTGAAGAATATCTTTTTTAACCAGAGATATCAAGTAATGTTTTCCTCACTTTTCAGATATCGGAGGACCTACTCTTGCCCAACTTGAACAGAGGCGATCTTTTAGGATTTCGCAACATGGGAGCCTACACAATGCCCATTGCAAGTCCATTTAATGGATTCGATGTTCCCAAGACCGTTTACTTCCGAGCTATATGACTAAACCGTTTAGTAATAAAATCTACACGTCTTGGCCTCTGTAACAAACACCGATGCTTGAGTTTAAAATTTTCTTGGGAATGGGTGGGAAAACCTTTTTTGTGTGTGAGAAATCAAATTTTTTTCCTAAAAAACTTTTTTTGCATGCAACTTTAATAAAGTCTACTTACTTACTTTTGAAAGAATACAATATACCCTTTTACTCTACGAGTAACTGGTATAAAAATCAAGATATTTGGAAGAAGAATAAGTTTCAGAAAATTAATATTATCTTCAAATAGAAATGGAAATCCAAATGTTTTCATGACTGTACATTTTTTTTACTTTTCCAGGTAGGTAAAAGTATGCAATAGATTTTAATAAAAAGCCCTCACAAAGTATATTTACTTTGATTTGGAGAAGCTTAGTGACATCTGTTTCAAAATATGGGGTGGAGCTCGCGTTAATATTATTTTCCGCGACAACAGAATTGTCCCTAACACCACCTGCTTTTGAATACATACATATTTATAGTGAAATTACTAAACAGAGTGAAAGGGTTTCTAATAATCGAGGAATTTGATTATAGCATTTTTTATTATTTGACTTGTTTTGCATCTCTTACTTGCATCTCGAGCAATACTATTTACAAATTGATTAACAGGGTATTTACAAGTCCAAGCACTCTACTCGTTCTTTATTCTTTGAGATATTTTTGGAAGCTTTGAGACTCTGCAAGCCAATTCAAGTTTGAGTCCAAAAGCTACTCAATTTAAGAGCAAATAAGTCTTTTGTTTTTCACTGATAACACATATAGCTTTAGCTGGGATTATCCCGGACAAAAGCGACACATCTTCCATCGGTCAGTTTCAATTTTTTCGAGATGGTGAACGGTACCCCAAAAATTCACTACTACGATCAGCAGCTCAATATCCGCCGAGTTATCGAGCAGGCGGACTTGGAATATCTGGATCAGGCCCTCAACATCTGCGATCTGTCCAGTCTGGAGAGAAAGCTTCGCCTCTGGCAGAAACTCCTGCCCAGGATAAAACCCCACTACGCCGTCAAGTGCAATGACGATCCGGTGTTGGTCCAGCTTCTGGCGGATCTTGGAACTGGATTCGACTGCGCCTCCAAAAACGAACTCAAACTGGTGGGTCTTACAGTCGTGAAATTGTCAACGTCATCATAAAGGGGAAAGTGTGAACTGTAATCTGAATTTGTTTATTTCAAGTTAACCTTGAAAAGTGAGAGGGATAGAAATTCACCATGAAATAGATAAGCCCCGAAGTGATTTTAATAAACTAGTATGCGTATTCATTATAGACTGAGAAACAAAATTTCGATTGTATTGCATAATTTATAAACAGTTATTCCTATTAAAATACTTTACAAACAAAAAGGACAAATTTAAATTTTCAATATTATAATATTTTACATTTTTTTATCTCGATGTAATTTTTAAGGTTCTGGGACTTGGCGTTTCACCTGAACGTATAATCTTTGCTCATCCTTGTCGACCTGTCAACCACTTGAAGTACGCCAAGGAGCAGCAGGTGGTCAATGGTACGGTAGATAATGAATATGAGGTTTACAAGTTACGCAAGCACTATCCCAACTCCAAGTACGTTCAACCGAACTGCATTTTTGGGTGGTAGAATAATAGGATGATTCATAATGATTTGTTCCAGTCTTATCGTAAGATTTAAAAGTGAGGCCAAAAAGGCGCTGTGTCCCTTGGGCGACAAATATGGCTGCGATGCGGAGGCGGATGCCGCGGCTCTAATGCTGCTCTCGAAGGCCCTGGATCTGAAGGTGACTGGTACTAGTTTCCATGTGGGTTCGGGATGCAGTGAGGTGGAGGCCTTCGATCGAGCCATCGAGAAGGCGGAAAACATTTTCAAGTTTGGAGAGTTGATAGGTCATAAGATGGACTTATTAGATATTGGCGGTGGGTTTCCTGGTATAGATGATGGGATGTTCGAGGAGGTATGTGCGTTTAAGCCTCTGGTTTGCAGTAATTTATACAGATACAAATTATTTGCAGATTGCTGAGGCTGTTAACACCTCGGTGAAACTTCGGTTCCCCGATGAGCGTGTCCAAATAATTTCCGAGCCAGGACGATTCTTTGTGGAGGCTGCCTACACATTGGTTTGCAAGGTCCACGCAAAGCGGGAGGTCCGCAATAAAGATGGAAAGCTGGAGAAATTGATGTACTACCTCAATGACGGCATCTTCGGGGCCTTCGCAGGAATGTTTTACTATCCTGAGGTGGTCAGTCCTGTCATTTACCTGGTAAGGAATGGATTTATATGCAGGCAATCCAATAATAATATTATTATAACAAATTAATTGTTGGCATTAACTATTTAGTAAATGAATAAAATCCAAAATCTTCAGTAATATGCCATTTAACTAATGAGTACAATCAATTTTCCAGGATGATGCCGAGACCCTGCCAAAGTTCAAGTCGGTGATTTGGGGACCCAGCTGTGATGCCCTGGATAAGGTGAACAAATTATTTGATGCTTTTAATATATTTCTTAACCATCGCTTTTTTTAACCTATAGATATCGGGAGATCTGCTTTTGCCCAATTTGAACTGTGGCGATCTTTTAGGATTTCGTAACATGGGAGCCTACACAATGCCCATTGCCAGTCCGTTCAACGGATTTGATGTTCCAGAAACCAGATACTTTCGAGCAAAGTGACTTGAAAATGGAAAAAAAAAGTCGGCCACGAAGCTTATATACCTTGCGATCTTCCTATTATTAACAATGAAAATGTTATTTTTAATATTTCTCTTATTTTCCGATCGTTCCTATGGCGCTTATGATATAGTGTCCGTTTTGATCAATTAAAATTGAATTCGGAATATTTAAAAGAGTCATATCCTAGAGTGAGATAATACATAAAACCAGAAGCTGAATTTATTTCTATTCTTTTCCATTAATTTTCCGATCGTTCTATGGCGCTATATGATATAGTCGTCCGATTTTGATTAAATTAAAATTGATTCGGAATATTTAAAGAGTCTATCTGGTGAGATATACATAAAACCAAGAAGCTTGATTTATTTTTTTTTTCCATTAATTTTCGATCGTTCCTTGGCGTTATGTATAGTGTCCGTTTTTAAATAATTAATTGATTGTATATTTAAAATAACATCCCCAAAGTGGGTATATTTCAAAACACCGGCTTTTTTAAGTTTTTTTGTTGTTCTTGGGGTTGTTGTTGTCCCCGGTCGGCTCCTTTCCTGTGCTTTTGTTTTGTCCGTGCTACTGCTGTTTGGTGACCCGCCCCCTGGCTGTGTCGTCTTGTGTGCTGTCTTTTTTTGGGGTGCGTCTTTTACTTCTCTACCCAATGGATAAAAAAACTAGCTATTATGCTTTGAGTTTAATTTTAATATGGGCACCTAAATAACGGGTTTCCCAAAATAAATTTCTGCTAACGAAATTAAGTAGTTGAAGTATACTTTTATGGTCCATTTCTCTCTCTCCAATAATAATTTTTTCTATTGCAGGTAGAATAACAGTCGGAACTCGACGGATTTTTAAAGATTTCAGAATATTAAATTAAAAATTTGATAATATCTGAGTTAGCGGGGTTTCTTGTGGCCATCCGAGACAGTGTGCAGTGTCGACCCGTTCCGCGTTTATCTTGTATGATTACGCGTTTTGGAAGTATTTTTGGTTGTAGGACTGTGCGGATGGCGGTGGGGCCATTCGTACTACGGCGCGCTATATCCGCCGGTGATCGACGCACACGCCACTACTTTTTAAAATGTGTCTGGGCCCTTTAAGTTTCCGGAGTATAAAGCAATTTTGTTGTGTATATTTATTAGCATCTGCATGAATAACAAAAATACATATTATTGAAATGTTCAAATGAGTTGATGGTTGGAATGTGTAGGAACACTGGCTTGAATAAATAAGTGTACTGACGTAAACTCGTCGACCAGAATGGTGATGGAAAGATCGGTAATGGTACGAACAACTCGACGACTTTTCGTTCTCTTGCGTCTAGGGCAAATGGAAATTAATTTGTTTTGAAATATTCTAATATTTGGTTTTGTTTTTTTTAATTACAATCTACCTTTGTTTTGTGCCTGATCTGCTTTTTTAACCATGGGCCGGGGGAATGTGTGTGGGGCTTCCTTTAATCTAAGAATGGTCCAGAGGAGCGTACAAAATATATTGCGGAGCCAGGTCGAATGGTCTTCTTTGGCCGCGCTTCTTAAGCATTAATCTGCAAATCCGGATGACAATGCTAAGAGGTTCGCGGCAGGAAGCCTTTTCGGGCGGGGCATTTTGGTTCTGGGTTGTTCTACTATTGTTTTCTTTTTAATTTTCGTGGTTTTGTGTGGGCTTGGTTGATGATCCAATCCTATTATAGACATCTATATTGTTTTTGTTTTTTGTTCATTTTTTTGTTTGGTTTAAGAAGATGGAAGTGGTCGAATAACTCGTTGATGTAGCCTATTTAAATGATGGCATTCTGTTTTGTTCTGTTTCTGGCCTCTGTTTCTTCGGCCGTGCCTCTGTTGTGTGTGGTTTCTACTGGCTTGCCTGTTTGTCCGTCTGCGTGTCTTTTTTACCTTGGATGTTGAGCTTTTTAATCGGACCTTAGTTTGGCTAAAAAGTTTTGTTCTCCCTGCCCTTTGCGGCTGATTTGTTTAGTTTTTGCCTCCTTTTGAGTCCCCGCCTTGACTGATCTATTTAAATCTTTAACACTTTTTTGGTTTTTTGGCGGGGTGGTGGCTCTGCTGTACTGTCGTTGTTTTTTCTAACTCTGTATATCTAGTTTATCTTTTATTATTTTGGTGTGCTGGGTTGTGTGTTATTTGCGCTGTGGCTGGTAGCCGGGGGGGGTGTCATGGCCGGTGTGTTGGGTTTCGTGCGCACTCCCTAGTATTTCCACCCGTGTTGGATCTGTGTGTGTTTTTCGCCTTTGGTTGGGCCGGGGTGTTTGGGGCATATGGCTGGTGGGGGCGGACGTGGCTTGGGCCCTGCGGGGGGGGGGGGGCACGGATGCCTCGCTATCACTTTCTACTACCCGGAGGTGGTGAGGCCTGAACATTATCTGGTAAATAAAATATGTTTTTAGGGTAAAGTAATGCTATCTTATTTAATAAATGTTTCCAGGATGAATCTGAACCCTTGCCAAGGTTCAAGTCCGTGATCTGGGGTCCCAGTTGCGATGGCCAGGATAAGGTGAGCTATTGAATAGTGATCATCATCAGTTAATGTTTCCTTTACCCTTTAGATTTTGGCAGACGTGCTCCTGCCCAACTTGAACCGAGGCGACCTGATAGGATTTCGCAATATGGGAGCTTACACAACGCCCCTGGCCAAGCCCTTCAATGGATTCGATGTGCCCAAGACACTGTACTTCCAGCAGAGTCGTAATAAAGAAGACGCCTGCTTGCATTTGTAACCAACATGGATTCTTTATTAGTTAGATTCTCAGAATGTTCCCGCGCGGGGGAATTATTGCTCACATGGAGAGCATATGCATTATGCAGGCCCAGCTTTCGATGGGATTTTGTGGTTCTGCTAATATTTCGAAAAGAACAGCTCTAGCCAAAGGAAACTGACCCGAATCGGTGGTGCGGCGCATTCTCTTGGAAATATTTCCGGTACCGCAGCCGCTCCCGCTGCACCACCACCGCCCACCAGTGGGTGGCTACTGACCCAAGCCACCGGTTGGTTGGGCGCTGGAAATGGGCATGGGAACGGATACGGATTGGGCCGGAGGGGGTGTCAGTGTTAGTAGCTATTAGCTAATCGAATTACAACTTAGTTCGCATAGACATAATTGAAAAGGTACGTATGTATGTGTGTATAAAAGTATATGTATAAAAAATTTCAAAAATTCCACTCTGCATATACATTTTGCTTAATCCACTTTTTTTTGTCTTGCATAAATATCAAACTTGTCAGATGCCTCAAAAATGTAAGTAAATTCTATAAAATGTCACTATCTTAGCAGTGTCGAGCCATCCGAGTGTCTTACTACTGGGAGCTCTTGATATGTCACGATATAATAACAATATAACGATATGTATTCTCAATTTTTCGTGAGGGGATTGCCCCATTGGGTTGGTTGGGTTTTCGGGGAACTAGGATTGTGGATTGGGGACTGGGAATTGGGAGTACTTGCCCCTTGTTCATGGCAAATAAAGAGTACAAACTACTTATTCCATAATCAGTTCTTGGTGATTGATGCAAATGAATTTTCTTATTTTCTCTTGGGTTTTCCCTCCGTTTCGCCTCGCCTCTGGCACCCACAGTGGAGCCACAATAATAGTAGATTATAATTGAAATAGACCTGGTATGTACATAGACTCTAAGAACTTCGACCAGGCTAGATTGCTCGGGGTTGGATTGGTTGGGTGCAGAAGGTAGGACGGGAAACAGGTGAGGGGACTACGAAACGCGTTAGTAATGATTGTATCTCACAACACCGACGACAAGACGACGATAGACTACACACAATAATAAATGGGTATCCGTATCCTTAGGTTAACGCGCATAACAACATAATCCCTTGCTTAAACGTAACAATATTCTGATATGTTTGGGTTTCGATTTGGTTTACCTCTGCAGTAAAGCAGGTGCACTGTTTCCTAAATCACACCTTAAATCTAAGCTATGTCCGTTAACAATTGAATATCTCCTTGTGCCGATCTCGATCGGCATTAGCATCGCGTCGAGCTACTGTGCATGTCTGCAGTGGTGTGGAGTGGAGTGTTTGGAGATTGGATGATGGTGCTGCCTCTGGAGGTGCTTCAATTCAACAAGGTGGTTTGGGTGCTGCCGCGACTTGCTGCTGGTTCAGAAAGCGCGCTTTCTGAGTCTAATTATTGGCAGAGTTGCATAATTCACGGACTCTCTATAATCTATAAGAAAACATACAATACAACAACACAGAAATGGATTGTAGACGTACGGAAAGGTCTGTGATCTTGGGTCTGGGTATGCGTATGCGTATGCGTATGCTATTCGCTTTTTGCTTTTCATGGATCTTAATCTGGTTAGCTTGCAAGCCGAATCAAACCGAATCAAATCGCACTATTTACTATCACTGAAAACTGATCACTGAGTCTGATCCGAGTCTGAGGGTCTGAAGGTGGAACTGAAACTGAAGCTGAAACTGACCCACATGGAACATCGCGTCTAGCTGGACAGAGGCGTCTCTAGCTTTAGACGCTAGTCAGAAAGGCCACGCTACACACGGCAATCTGGGCCAGGATGTTCACTTGCAGGATCCGCATCAGACCGCCGCTGGTGGGCGAGGGACTCACATTGAGGCCGGCGCAGTGCATCTTCTCGGTGGGCATGGCCTGCACGAAGTACTCGCGGTTGTCCAGCGACATGTGGCACAGCGGCTTCTTCTTCTGCGACATTTCGTCGTCTTTGTTCTTCAGGTCCTCGAGCAGCTTGGGGAACCAGGTCAGCTCGCAGGAGCAGTTCAGCGGGTTATCTGCAGGGCGAAAGGGTATTTGGATATTGGTTTAGTATGGTCAAGTCTTTCAATAGGTCTGAGTGCTCATGACTTGCCGGTGATATCGATGATGCGAAGGGTGTCGATGACCGGCTCCATTATGTCCTGCGGAATGCGCTGCAGCTTGTTGTTCTGTAGGTTCAGCGTCTCCAGGGAGTTGAGATTCTCGAACAGAAGACTGGGCAGAACCTTGATGCTACACAATGGAAAAAGTAATCGTTAGGTAATCTTATTATGCCACTTTAAGAGATTTATAAAAAAATATCTTTGTAATGATATTAAAAGCGCGTAAGAACTTAAAACTGAGTACAACAATAAAGCAATGAAGTAAAGAGTTCTAAAACTATATGATCAATGTTCTAAAGGATCTTAAAAAAGTGCCTGTTAACTGAAGTATGTTATCTTCCTTAAAAAGTACATATCATATAAGAATATGATCAATATTTGTTAATGTTCAAAGGATTTTTTTTTAAGAATCCATAAACTTAAAGTGAAATTCTAATATTTTCTGTAAGTATCATCTTACTCATTCTTCTGCAGATTGAGGAAAGTGAGAGAGTCTCCGAATCCAGTAAAGGCATCTTCGGCCAGAACATTGATATTGTTGTTGCGCAAGTCCAAGTGGCGAAGGCGGTGCAATGGACGCAGTGCCTCGCTGGGGACAGTGTGGATTTGATTGTCACCCAGGCGCAGATATTGCAGATTCTCTGCGTGAGCCAAGAAGGTAAATTAAATAAATCACTGGAAAAGGGAAGAGACAACCCACCTTCGAGGCCCTTGAAGGCATCCTTGTCAATTGTACTGATCTTATTGCCCTCCAGTTCCAAGGAATTTAACTGTGTGAGGTGGCAAAAGACATTGGCAGGCACGGAGGTGATCATGTTGTGGGCCAATATCAAAGAGTCCAAGTTCTGTAAGCCTGCGGAGAGAAGTCAGTTAAACAATGGCCAGGTGTACTTAACAATAGTCACCTTCAAAGTCTCCTTCGCTGATAACGCGAATCTTGTTCTCCTGGATCTCCAGTTTCTTCAAAGTGGCCAAAATGGAAAGGGCCTTCTGCGGAACACTGCTCAGTTCGTTGCCACCCAGATTTAGACGCTTAATATGGCTAGAAGAACGTTATTTATGTGAATACCACTTGATAAAGAAAATATATTCAATCTTACTCCTCGAGTCCTCGGAAAGCCTCGGGGTCGATCTGTGTAATCTTGTTCTCGTAGAGCGTCAGAATCTCCAGGGTCTCCAGTCCCTCGAAGGCATTGTTGTGAATCACGGTGATTTTGTTGTGGTTCAGATTGAGGATCAACAGGTGGAACAGGTGACCCAGTGCCTGCGAGGGCACCGTCTTCATTTGGTTCAGCGAGACGTCCAGCTGGGTGAGTCCCTCACCTGTGGGTACAAGTAAATAAGTATATGCAAATATATAAATGCGGAATCTGTTTTACCCAGCGAGCTGAGGGCATTCTCCTCGATGGCCGCCAGGCTGCTGTTGTGAATGGTCAGGTGGCGGATGTCCAGGGCCAAGAAGACGAAGCCCTGCAGCTTGGGCAGATTGTTGTGGCGCAGCTTCAGGTAGAAGATGATGGGACTCTTGCCCTTTAGCGTGCCCATCGACTTGGTGATGTGCGCCAGGTCGGTCGTCTCGCACAGGATGTCCAGCCCGTTCTTCTTCACCGTGCAGATGCAGGGCGCGATCTCGCTCTGCTCGGGGCACACCTGTGCCTGCGGCAGCCCCTGGCCGAGCACCTGGCCGCCCAGCATCATCAGCATCTGGAGCAGCACCATCGCCGCTGCCGTTTGTCCCGCTTCCAGCTGAAGTCTCGCCATGCTGAACACCTGCTGGTGGTTGCGATTTCCTTGGGGAATGTGGCTTCTTTCACAGAGAAATATTGCAAAGTGTAAAAGTCGTGACTGGTCGCGATTTCCGATGCTGTGATGAATGCTATCTACAATGGCTATTGCTATTGCCGTAGCCCTGTGTGCGAAAGGAGAAGAGGTTCGGTTCGGTTCGGTTAGGGGGCTTCAATTAAGCGCACAATGCGCGATTTTATTTGGGTTGTGTGCCCGCGGATTAAATATAAATTGCCCGCAATTGAGCTGTCCGTCCGGCTGTCCGTTAGTCCGTTAGTGCGGCTCCTCTCCCAAATCTCTCACCTAAATGGTTTGTCCGTCCGCGGCTGACGAGTGCCAACTGAAACATGCCTCCAAGTGCCACCGAGATGCAACAAATCTGGTTCTCTCTCGCTTTCCGATTTGCGTGGAGCAGCTGGATTTGTCGAGCCGAGCCGCACGCTCTCTGTTTCTTTTTGGGGTGGCTATGGGGCGTATGCGTAATGGCCAGTTGTGGTGTTAGTGGTGCCAACTGGGTTAGTGTGTGTGTATAACGATGTAACGGAAAATCGATACGGCGACGTCGAGTGATTGTTGAATGGCCAGGAGCGTTTGTTTGTATTTGTTGCTTCGCTGCAAACTAATTCAACGGTCCTCGAATGCTCCTTAGTGCCTCCTTTGGTCCTTCGCTGCCCATTAATACCGTTGCACCACTGAATTCCGTTACATCCACTTTAAAATGGCGAGCCAGGTTCCGTCTAGTGGCTATTATCGCTCTGCCAGGCTCTTCTTGGCCCTTCGGTTCAAGTCAATATCAATCCCGTTGCATTCTCTGCGGAATCCCACTGGCAAGCCCCCGAGTCCTGAATCCTGAATCCTGAATCCAGAATCGGAAAATATTTGAAACGGTTCGAAACGTTAGTTGGTGGAAAATGAAGCACGTTTGGTTGGCAAAACCGACGATTGCGGACTGAGAGCACTCGGCGTGAAATTGAATATAACATCACTGCTCTCGGGGGTGGCTCAAGCTTTTCACCTTGTTTGGAGGTGGATTTTCGGATTGGGGAAAAAAGTTGAAAAACTCTAGGCGAGTTATTTTAGTCAGTTATGAATCTATTATATTTTCTGAATTAATATCACATCGATCATTACTTCTTTTTTTTTGTTTGGTATGCTACTACTTAGACAGAATTTGGTGGGGATTGTGTGTATATTTCGGTTATTAATCCGCTGGCGGCGGATTGGTACTTGTTTTAAATACGATAGACAAAGGAACCGACTGTAAAGCGGTCAGTCTTTGGTTTTTCAGTTTACTCCCATTTTACACTACAAAGCAAAAATAATTTAATTTATTAATTTAATTATTGTAATTTAACATAATTTAAATAGTTAAAATAAATAGCAATAAGTAAATAAATAGTTAAAATATTAATCGTCACCCAATTTTTCCCCAACACCCAACAGTATGCCATTTTAACACTGCATTCTAGCGCCATCTGTTGAAACTTTCAGAACTACAGACAAATTCCACGACGCGATGAAAATAATAAATTCAATTCAATTCGAATTATTATATTATTATTATACCCGTTACGCGTAGAGTGAAAGGGTATATTGTATTTGTGCAAAAGTATGTAACAGGGAGAAGGAAGCGTTTCCGACCCTATAAAATATATATACATTCTTGATCAGGGTCACAAGCCGAGTCGATATAGCCATGTCCGTCTGTCCGTCTATCTGTCCGTATGAGCGCTTAGATCTCGGAAACTACAAAAGCTAGAAGGTTGAGATTTCCCACACATATTCTTGGGCTTCCTACGCAGCGCAAGTTTATTTCAGCCGAGCGCCACGCCCCCTCTTACGCCCACAATCGCCCACTAACGATTTTAAAATTTGTCTGGCGCCCACACTTTTAAAGATTTCCGAGAAGTATAAATGCAATTTTGTTGTATTTATTTATACCTATCGAAATCGGACTATTCATTAAAAAGTTATACGCAATCAAAAAAATGTTATATATCGATCTCCCTCGCACTCCCTTTAGCCGAGTGACGGGTATTAGACAGTCGGGACACCAACCCGACTACAGCGTTCTCTCTTGTTTTTTTAATATTTTATATAAGTTAAATAAATAATAATAAAACAAGAAAGGAAGCTAGCTTCGGCCAGCCGAACCTTATATACCCTTGCAGATCATTCCTATTAATTAACAAATCGCAAAAATGTTCAATTTTCTAATATTTCTTATTAATTTTCCGATCGTTCCTATGGCAGCTATATGATATAGTCGTCCGATTTTGATCAAATTAAAATTGAAATTCGGAAATATTTAAAAAGAGTCATATCCTAGAGTAGAAGATGATACAATAATAATCAAAGAAACTAGAATTTATTTCCTATTACTTTTCCATTAACTTTCCGATCGTTCCTATGGCAGCTATATGATATAGTAGTCCGATTTTTTAAATAATTAATTCGAAATTCAGAAATATTTAAAAAATAACATCCCCAAAAGTAGAAGGTAATATTTCAAAAAACACCGAAGCTAGAATTTTTTAAAGTTTTTTTTTCCGATCCTTCCTATGGGAGCTATAAGATATAGTTGTCCGATCCGGTCGGCTCCGACATATATACTACCTGCAATAGAAAGAAGACTTTTGCGAAAGTTTCGTTCCGATAGCTCAAAAACTGAGAGACTAGTTTGCGTAGAAACAGACAGACGGACAGACGGACAGACGGACAGACGGACAGACGGACATGGCTAGATCGACTCGTCTTGTGATGCTGATCAAGAATATATATACTTTATGGGGTCGGAAACGTCTCCTTCACTGCGTTGCAAACTTCTGACTGAAATCATAATACCCTCTGCAAGGGTATAATGAAATAATAATAAATAAGTTGAACAGTAAATTTTTTCGAAGCTAACGAAAAAGCAATAAAATCGCAGATAATTTCATATTAGTGATAGGAATCTACTAATAGCATGCCTTGGCCTAGTGATCAAAGCGCCTGAATTAGCGCTAAAAACACTGACCTGGTAACGTCATAACTACTTGGGAATTCAGGAATTCAGTTGAGCTATCAATCATTAAATTCAGTCGATGTTTAAAGTACACATTTCCAGCGAAGAATGATGCATTTTTTTTAATTAAATAGAACACTGATAAACCCTGATCTTTGATTAATCACTAAGATCATTTGCTTGTTTATTCACTATTTTACATAGCTATAGCTTCTAAAGCTTAAGCTTGTATACCTTATTCGGCACGCTGTATGCAAAATGCCTGTAAAGTAATAAATCGTATAATAAATATTCGTCAGAAATGATTATATCAGAACTTTTGTATGTTAAAGGTGCGATCGTCACTAGTTATGCCCGTTACTCGTAGAGTAAAAGGGTATATTGTATTCGTGTAAAAGTATGAATTAGGGAGAAGGAAGCGTTTCCGACCCTATAAAGTATAAATATTCTTGATCAGGGTCACTAGCCGAGTCGATATAGCCATGTCCGTCTGTCTTTGTATACCCTTGCAGAGGCTATTATGATTTCAGTCAGAAGTTTGCAATGCAGTAATCAGGCGCAAGTACGTACCGGGCATCGATAATCGCAAACATTCCTTCGTGCCAAAAATCGTTGATTTCGATACAATCCAAATTTTTGTAATATTTCTGAGATTAATTTATACATTTTATAGATACGATCTGTAAGAGTATATATACTTCTACATTTGAACTTTTATAAATTTTGGCGAACAAACAGGCCTGTGCAGATTAGCTCTTGGAATGGAAAATCCAAAAGCACTCTATGGAAATTCCTAATCTTTCATGTTTTGGGAAAAAACTTGAACGACATTGGTCCACGTAGTTTTCGGAAGACCATGTCCGCTCATCAGCAATATTTTAGGTTTCTTCATTTTTAAGAAAGCTGCTTATTTTCAGTCCGAGTTAAAAGTCCCCCTCGAGTGCACCTAATTATTCGAAATGTTTAGGCTGGCATCCTTTTCTGTGTTGGCCTTTATTATCCTGAACGGGCAAGGATCATTGGCCAACTCTCAGGACAATAGGAACTCCATTCGACTTCCGCAGGATGCTCCCATTCATTGTGGAGAATTCTGCCTTGCCACACTCCAGCCGATGATGGATTTGATACTCGCGATGAATTCCAAATTGGAAACGATCCACAGCGAGCAGCAGTCCATTAAGATGCAACTCCTGGCCGTTCAGTCGACGGTGAAGGCCCAGCGGAATTCCTTGAAGGACATCACCACGAAGGAAGAGTTCGGAGCGACCCTCAGCGAGACGAAGGAAAAACTTATGACCGATTTGAAAAACCTTCTGCAGTATATACTGGCGAATCTGAAGGACCAGCAGAAACCTCTTCTGGACTCCCTGCAAAGGACATTCACAAAAGACGACTTGGAGATGAGACTGAATGTGACGGAAGATCAACTTTTGGCCTCGAACTCCGAACTTAAGACCGAACTAAAGGAAATGCGCACAGATTTAAGAGATCAGGAGATATCGATGAAAACCAAACTGGATGCCCAACTTTTAGAGATTCAGGAAAAGCTGGAAGGCTTTATGGCGATAAATTCCGATAAGATAACCCTATTTCCATGGCTCTTCCCCGATGTGAGAGATCAGCAGACATCCATGCAATCTCAAAAGGATGCCCTTGTGCTAGAGGACCAGAAATCCACTGCCATCGATCCTAAGTTCCAGCTAATTGGAACTAGATATTTTCATTTCGAACATTATTTAACAAAATCCTGGAATGACGCTGCAGAAGCATGTCGTGAGATGGGCGGCAATTTGGCAGCTTTCGAAAACGAAGAGGAACTTACAACCGTAATGGCGAAACTTCATAGAAGCAAATATTACTGGACTGGCGTTAAGAAGGAAGATGGCAAGTTCGTTTCTACTGCCTCTGGGATGTCGGATATGGCTCTTAAGTGGCCCAGCGGAGAGCCAAACAATGCCGGTGCATGCGTTATGCTAGATAAGAAGGGGATGGATGATTACCTTTGTAGTAATACCAATCATTTTATTTGTCAATTAGATAATGAAATACAAATAGACGCAATCTAAGTTGTAAGCTTCATATTTCTTTCAAAATGCAAATTATTAATATATATAAAATTTCAAAGGTTGCATAAAGTGTTAAATAAAAATTCTTCTTGTATCAATAAAATTATAATTATTTAAATTTCTTATTTGTTATTGTCACACTAGTGAAATGGTGAGCATCAAACAAAATTAAACTGGGAATAAAACATGTTGAAAACAAGAAAGGAAGCTAGATTCGGCCTAGCTATATAGCATTCATATTAAATTGCAAATTACAAAAAATTGAATTTTGAATAAGAAGTTTGCAACGCAGAGAAGGAGGCTTTACCGACCCCATAAAGTATATATATTCTTGATCAGCAACACAGGAACACTAAACGATTCGATCTAGCTATGTCTGTCCGTCTGTCCATCCGTTTCTACGCAAACTAGTCTCTCAGCTTTAAAGCTATCGGGCTAAAACTTTACCAAAAGTCTTATTTTTTTTGCAGGTAGTATATAAGTCGAAACGAGAAAATATAAAATATTATATCTTGGGTGTTTTTCAACATATAAACTCCTATTTTTGTAAATACCATATTTTATCTTATGAATTTCGAATTAAGTTTTACCAAAATCGGACGACTATATCATATAGCTGCCACAGGAACGATCGGAAAACTAATGGGAATATAATAGGAAATAAATTATTGCTTCTTTGGTTTTTTTGTATTCTCTTCTACTATGGGATATAACTATTCAAACTATCAAAATCGAACTACTATATCATATACCTGCCATAGGAACGATCGGAAAATTAATGAGAAATAATAGGAAATTTAACATGTTTGCGATTTGTAAATTAATAGGAATGATCTGGAAGGGTATACAAGCTTCGGCTGGCCGAAGCTAGGAAGGCC